GAGGGTAAACTACACATGAGTTGTAACAAAAAATAAGTGTATTGTTCTGCCACAAATCTTGCAGAGAACAATGGTAAAGACATGTTTTAACATGCATATAAACTACGCTAGTGAACAGTAATAGGATTCTGATATGTTCCTTTTCACCAAAAAGTTTGATTATGTTAAAAGATCTTTGAAATGACATATAGTCTTGTTCAAGTCATGGACGACAATAAGTTCCTACTTCACTGTGTCCATTCTCTGTGTATTTGCCCTAAGCAGGATTTAAGATACGATATGATAAGACGTTACTTTACTGATCCCCTGGCAGTTCAAGTTTGACTGAGTTGTGTGTAGTTTGCAGTCTCAGTCAGCGGAAGAGGTACTGGTTGCTGTGGTGTATTGGAGTCTAATGCCACAAAGAATCCACCTAAGCACTTTGAAGAACGTTGGTAGATGAGTTTGCGGCTGAAAGTTCTCCTGAGCCATCTCAACTCAGAAGAGAGAAGATGAGAGAATTTTTCCATGGTGGCTTTCAACTTCAACAGAGACGGAGAGACAGAGCTGCACAGCAATATCAATAGCAGCAGTACTAGTAGAAATGACGTGGATGATAATAACATGACTAATAATAATAATAATAATAATAATAACAATGATGATGATGATGAATGATAAGTAATGAATAATAAAATGATGGCCATGTTGTTTTCTTGGTGGCCCCCAGAGTTCATATTTTCTGTCCAGAACTTTATGTTTTAGGGAATATTGGAGTTCCCTCAACATAGACAGCAATAATGATAGGGCAGCAAAGTATTCTCTAGACCAGGAAAGCACCTGGAAAACCTGATTTTCAGCATTGGGTAATTTAATGGGAAAGGTTGCTGAGTATGAAAGAATGTTATATAGAAATTCTAATCGAGCAGAAAATATGAAGTGAAGTGGGGAAGGTATATCGTTCATGTGGATTTTATGTTGTCAAAGTCTTAATCTGTACTGAGGATTATTGTATTTAGTTATGTTATTTAATTTGTTTTCTCAAGTTTTTATGGGGTGGGGAGGGACAATGGGGAAAGACGGTACACTGGATTGTTTTACTCTGAATGCAAGTCATAAACAAACAACAACATTCTGGTTTAGTAACATACTAACAAACCCCAGTCTCCAGGCAGAGACTGATAGGCAGTCCTTATTCACTGTAGACAAGATCAAGGTGCAAAACTCTCACTATTACAGACGTTAGCAGGATCCTTTTTTTTAAAAGTATTTTTTTGGGGCTTTTTATTGCCTTTATTTGATAGTGACAGCTGAAGACAGACAAGAGAGAGGGGAAGACACGCAGCAAAAGGCCACAGGTCGGATTCAAACCCTGGGCCGCTGCAGCAAGGACTCAGCCTCGGTACATGGGACGCCAGCTCTACCGACTGGGCTAACCAGGCACCCAAACAGAATCTTTATCAGAGATTTGAGATATGAGTCCCATCCTGTTTTCTCTGTTACAACCAGATTTGGGGCAGCAGTAGCTCAGTCTGTAGGGACTTGGCTTGGGAACCGGAGGGTCAGCCTGTGTGTGTGTGTGTGTGTGTGTGTGTGTGTGTGTGTGTGTGTGTGTGTGTGTGTGTGTGTGTGTGTGTGTGTGTAAAAATAAAAGAGTGAAAAAACTATTTCCCCAATAGGGGATTAATAAAGTACATATCTTATCTTATCTTATTTTATGTGTGAGGACATTTCAGTGAATTATACTGCCCAGATACTCTGGATATGACCTCCAGTGTATCTGGGCCCTGATGGCACACTAACCTACAATGTGGTGATATCAACCGCTGTTAGTCGAAACCAGAAGCTGTAAAAGAAAGGAAGGGTTCAAACCATACAAAACCTTTCCGTCAGGTGATTCACACCAGTGAATGGAAAGTATTCTTAGGATATTTTATCTCTATGTTAACATCATAAATAATTAACGAATCTTCCTAAAATAATTTTTTCATCTTATACCAAAGGTCTGTCTCACCGCTATCATTACAGGAAATGCATAACTGAAGTGTGATTGTAAGTGTTGATTACAACTGGCTGTTTAACATCTAACACTGGTTGCTATATTAACATAGCAAAGTGTATTTTCACTTCCTTGTGTCACATGTTTCCATGGTTTCACAAGCAACCAAAATTGACACTCGCAACATAACATATTTTGTGGAAAAATAACACTCTTACTTGATCACCCTTTAGTCACATTTTTAAGTAGACCTGCACAGACAATTTAATGAGTGGTGGAAGACCTATGATTTTTTATTTACCAAAGACGAAATCTCAGAAGCAGAGACACACTGTGCAACCCTCTGTAGTTTGGTATTCAAGCAATTTCGATAAAGTGTTTTTTTGTGGATATCAAAATGAAACAAGACACTTCAGTGGCTGCTAAAACATTGCATGCTATAAACATTTCCGTATCTCTTTTATGTTTTCAAATAATAAATCATCCCTCTTCAAACATCCAAAAACTGCAATGTCACATGAAGTTGTTGAAGAGTAATTTTTTAACACTGCAAGTCCAACACACTGCATTTCACAGCTCCACCATACACTAAAATACTTTATGTGAAATGACAGGTGTAAATCACAACAAGTTTTTATCTGGTCTGAAAAATAATGGCTTGTTTTACTTTCATGGCCAGATGCATGCATTTTCATCCACATCTCTCACCACAAGAATTGCATAGTGCTGCAAAAAGGTGTGAAAAAAACAGGAAAACGCTGTGAACGTTTTGCATTGGAGATGGGCGGGAGGAGAACAGACAGACATTTAAACCCCTTGCTGTAGCAGGTGTCAACCTTGCATTACAGTGTGCTTGTGTGTATGAGCAATACTAAGAAAAAAAAAAAGGTGTGATAATATTTTGAGGTTTTGGAGAAGAGAGAGAACTGGTAACTGAATGGTTATGGCTGTTGAAAATGATCAGATTTTACACTGATAAGTGACATTTCATTCATTATTTTCATTCATTCTGATAAGACAGTATAGCTTCATAACAATTTAATATCATCCTTGTGAGTTTCTGTTTGTGTGTCAGTACATACTATTCCAATACACCTCTGTACTAACACAAGAACAACCCACTGTTGTTCCTGTAAACTGGGATATAAAATAATAAAGGTGACCGCACTCATTTCACTGCTGTTTACGAAAAACGCAGACATGCAGTTGCACAGTTTTCACTTGTCTCTGTCATTATACGTGTGAAATTCGAAATTGGATGAGCTGTCAGTGTGGCCTGTTTTATTTTTCCTGTTTTTAGGTGCATCACTCCTGATCTGCCTTTTATTTATTAACTGCTCAATTGCAAGTATACTGGCTTTTAATTTAGTGTCTCAGCTAAGCTATACTAAATTAAGTTTTATAACTAGGTTCGGGAACAAAGACCACACCCTGCACTCACCTCATTTGCGCTCCAAACATACATAAGCACACCTTATCCATTCCCTCCCTCCTTGACTCATTTTCCACATCCCTACCCCCCAAACCTTTCTTTTTCTCCTCCTCTCTTATCCAAATACAGGAACCACTGGGGCTCTCTACAAGAGATACGAAGAGAAAGCTCCCCCACTCAGAGTCTCACAACCCACTTGGTTCCCTCTTACCAGCGCCGAACCCCTCCATCCATTCGTCCATCCGCCAGCAAACCTTCATCCCTCATCCCTTCATCCCTCAACACTCACCCCTCAACCCTTCATCCCTCGACCTTAATCCCTCAACCCGTTCATCCCTCAACCCCTTCCCCTCATCCCTCAGTATACCACATCAGTTCACATTCGTTCATTATGTGCAATAAACTTTTCTTATTTCATACATTCGATGGCGTGGTCTTTGTTAGTGAATGTCCTTTTCAAACATGTGCTAGTTTCTGTGTGAGTGTTACAACTGTAGTGGCAGTTTCATGTTATCTGCTGTGACCTTGTGTCTCTTTTACTGTTGTTATTGTGCATGAACGACAAAGCTCAGGTCAAAATTTAAATTTAAGAAACTGCATTAATGGCTTCAACATCTTTATTTAATGTTGCATTAAATTCAAATTAAATTCTAGACATAATCATGCCAGGAAAGTGAAAGCACACACATGAATGAATGACTTGTGTTAATGTGCACATTTGAACAATGGAAACTAAAATGCAAAGATCATTCATGCAATAAACTTATTCAAATGGCGTAGTGATGGTTGGTCTTGAATGTGGTTCATAAAGGAAGTTGAATGTGATTTCTGGAATACAAAGGTGATCTGAAAATAGTCCTATCTTGCACACCTGAAAGTAAAACTGTCTGCATGCTGATGTTCAGGGACAAGAGTAAATGCTCTTTAGGTTGCTAGTGTCACTCATAGACTGTAAAGATGACAATGTGTTATAGTCACACTTTGTACCCAACCCAATTCTACAAAGTCCACACTCAGCACAATGTAATTCTTATCAACACTAGCTTCTTCTGAAACACAAAACTCAAACTCAGATTCAGTTGATGTAATTTCAAAGAAATGTTAACTGCAATATCATTTGCTTTGGAAAGTGCACCAGCCTACTCACAAACAGTGACATCTTATGTGCGCTTGGCATATTCATATCTTTACATTGGTGTAAAGTCCCTTCATTAACATAGGACAAAAGGGCAGCATGGATAGTCTGAGTCATTCAAACCAAACCAAGAAATCAAATCAAATAAATGTCATTTTACAGATAATTTATAAATAAGCTAATGTCTGTCTGATTTGTTCCAGGTTTCAGTAATAAAAAAATAAAAATAAAAAAAATGTTTTATGTTTTATGTTTTATGTGTCAACATAAAACTTCACAATCAGGCAGTTTAAAAAAAAATAAAATAAAAAGTAATATAGAAATATAAATGTGAGGATTAAATCACAATAACTCTTACAACTCAATACAATAGTGACAACCATTTCCCTAATCAAGCCCCCCCACCCCCCTCTCCAACAACACTCACAGTTTCTCCTCCTTAAAATGGTCACGTTTCATGTGATTGAGGGTTTTTTTTGTCTTGTCTCTGTCTCTTCCTCTGTGGTGGGGCCGTATTTGCTGTCATTGGTGACACTGGATCACTTGGTAGAGCACATTTCTGCCGTGTAGCCTCATACACCTGCATACATCACAGGATTACATCATGGTAGGTTATTATCCTTATTCTTTAGATGATAAACATATCATTATTTCCTAAGAAGATTTTAATTCATGTGCCTATATTATTCTTTATGATTTGAGGATTTCAATCTGCATCTGTGAAACACTCTTGCATAGTGCATTTAAGCTGTTTTCATACCTCTCTGATCATTAACCTTATTAACTAATTACTGTTTAACATAAATTGATTCATGCAGCACGTTTGCTGTATTAATTACCCCTTTTGCTACTAGACCACAGTATGGAAGACTGTGATATAGTTTGACATGACAGTGCGCTGTTATCAGTAAAAAGATTTAGTGTTAGGATCAAGCGACAAGGCACAGATTTAGCCACAGTCAACTTTATGTTGAAGTTAAAAAAATACGCTTTTGAATAATTTACAGTGACCAAATGATTATTTACACAACAAAGTTACAGATAATAATTAATATTATCTGTAACTTTAATTTAATTAATTTCAGTGCCTCAAAGCTCTTTTTCTTCTTTTCTTCTTTGCTTTGTCCTCCACAAAAAGTAATTTAGTACAAACCCTAAACAGTACTGAAATAGCACAGATAGGGAACTGAAATCATGTTGAATGGCAAAGTCCTACAGTTCATCAGGCATAGAAACATGAAGAATGGGCATGGTTGTATATCACCCATACTTTTCTTTCACCTTCAAAATATTTCAAGGCAATAAAAATAAAAATAAAAAACTTAGTTTATAGTAGGTTTATTTAAAAAAAAAAAAGTTTACTTTGGTTAAGGATTATTCTTCATAGTCAGACTGCAAACAGAGCCCTATTTTGTTTTATATATTTCAGTTGTGTGCGTGTTGAATTGTTATCTTGCTCTTATGTTATTTTACTGCATTGAACCAAATCATATATACAGAGCACAGACAGCTAGCTAGTGAATAGATAGATAGATAGATAGATAGATAGATAGATAGATAGATAGATAGATAGATAGATAGATAGATAGATAGATAGATAGATAGATAGATAGACAGCACCACCATGTGGTTAAAACAAGTCAGATGCTCAAACCAAATGACTAAATATCCTCTTCTTCTTCTGCAGAGTGACTACGACCTCTTAGAAGGCTTTGGTGACCTATTTAACCAATCTGACAACTCGTCCAGTGGAGAATATTGCTGTGAAGGGGGTGATGTCTGTGACCTGAAGGAGACCATGTATTTTGAGGCAGTGTTCATCCCAGTTCTGTACTCTCTGGCATTTGTTGTGGGTGTCCTGGGGAACGGGGTGCTGCTGGGAGTTCTGGTTCAGAGCAGGAAGTCCTGGAGTGTGACAGACACCTTCATCCTCCACCTGGGTATAGCAGATGTGCTGCTGTTGGTGACGCTGCCCCTCTGGGCTGCACAGTCCGCTCAAGAAACTGGCTGGACCTTTGGCACTCCTCTCTGCAAGATCACTGGAGCTGTTTTTACGGTAAGAGTTGTGCAGCAGGAAAGAGGCACTAAAAACTGTCTGCATTAAAGTGTATCAGAGTAAATATGTAGTTGTTGCAAAAGGATTTTTTGACTTCTCTTTGACCGATTTCTTTGTACCCTCAGATCAACTTCTACTGTGGGATCTTTCTGCTGGCCTGCATCAGTCTGGACCGCTATCTGTCCATCGTCCATGCTACCCAGATGTACTCCCGCAGGAACCCCTGGGTCGTTCAGGTCAGCTGCTTGGCAGTGTGGCTCTTCTCCATGTTCCTCTCTATCCCTGACTGGATCTTTTTGGAGTCGATGACGGATGTGAGACGGGAGAACAGAAAAGAATGTGTTCCCAACTACAATAAGTTTGCCTATCAGTCAGTAAATGACTATCAGTCAGTAAATGACTATCAGTCAGTCAATTACTCTCTGTCAGAAGGTGACTGGCAGTCAGTACATGACTGGCAACTGGCATCGCGGCTGCTCTATCACATTGTGGGGTTCCTGATACCTTCAGCTGTCCTGATCTTCTGCTACTCCTGCATCTTGCGCCGTCTGCGATGCGGCTCCCAGGGCCTCGAAAAGCAGAAAGCTTTTAGGGTCATTGTGGCTGTGGTGGTGGTTTTCTTTATCTGCTGGACGCCATACAACATCACACTCATGGTGGACACACTTCACTCTGAAAATAACAGCATGACCTGTGGAGGGAGAACATCTCTGGAGAAAGCCAGGGTAGTCACATCCTCTCTAGGTTACCTCCACTGCAGCCTCAATCCCATCCTGTACGCCTTTGTGGGTGTGAAGTTCCGGCGTCAGCTCCTGAACATCCTGAGGTCTTTAGGCTGCAAGCTGAAGTCAAGCGTCAAACTCCAGTCTACTGTCAGCAGGAGAAGCTCCATTTGGTCTGAGTCTGCCGACACCTCCAACTCCATTGCTATCTGAGAGAGACACACAAACCTTAACAAGCTTACTGACTTAAATTGACATGGGGACAGAGACATGTACAGCTGAGTGTCCAATGCCTTGCTTTACATTGCCTGTGTTATATAACCTTTCACAAGCTATGTTTCCTTCAATTTCCTTTAATTCTTAGGGCATTAGTAGCTGAATGTGAACATGATCACTGTCTGGGACTTGAGGTCATACACCTGTAGTTGTAGGCAGCAGATCTATGTTTCTTGTATAGCAGAATATATCTCCCTTTTCTGACTGCAAGACAACATTGTAACATAAATAAATAAGGGCAGCATGTAATACTGCAGTGAGTGTTATTACTGTATTAGACATACAAACATTGAAATGACAATTTTTATACCACGATTTTACTGTATATTGCATTATGTTTTTTGTATTGTTGTGTTTTCTGTATGAAATGTTCAAATAGATAATAAAACTGTATTTTCTGAACCATACCGGAGTGTGTTTTAAACATTACAGCACAGCAACAGGGCCAAAATAAAATAGTATATAGCAGAGGTCTTTCCTGTTTACAAATGCCTTTGCTCTGCTTCCCGTACCCAGACCAGCTCCATGTTTTTAATGACTGTCTAATGTAGCTCCCACTGCAGACATGGAGCCAACCGATATGCCCTTGCTGGGGTATTATGTCTTGCTTGTTTTATGTGCTTCTTTTGTAATTATTACATTACATTACACATGCTTTATTTTAAAATTATTGTGGATTGTTTACTTGTGAAGTTTGTACTGTAGGTTTTTGGTTTGTAATCTTTATTGAACAGACTTTTATCAAAATGTTGCTATAAAGCCCAGTTATACAGTTATAAAAGTAGTCTGAATACATTGTAATACATGTTGCAGCTCAGATGGTTGACAGAGAACAGGTTTGTAGCACAAAATCTCACAATTTTAACTTTAGGAGAAGTTAGATTGTGCAATGTCCCTTTCTATTCTCGGTCTTCCTTCTGCATCTGCATTTTAATATATATAACTTTTTGTAGCGCTTTCTAAAATACTATATATGTTTTTGGTATAGTTAGATTCTGGTGATAACACGTAAGAAAAAATCTTAAAATGCAAACCCACATGTAAGGGTTTCAGTGGAAATGTCTTACATCTTTTTGACAGGAAATTGAAACAAAGTGACAAAAAAAAAGCCGCACATCCTCAGACACGTGGTTTTAGCAGAAAAGAAACAAGAGCAGCAGAAAGCACTGAGAAATGTTGTAACTTCTTCAGATCAACCAATATGCAGCACCACAACATACCACCACTGACGTACCTGGCTCATTCAAGCACATTAAACTTGGTGTGGTGTGTGGTCAACATATGCTGGTTTTGTTTTTAATCATATAGTCAGAATAAAACTTATTTCTGTCTTTGTTTTTAGTGTGCCTGGTTTCTTGCGGGGAATCAATGCCCTTTCTTGTTGTCCTGACACGAAACAAAATCTGTGTTTGTACTGATAACAGGTTTAGTTCTCATTAAAGGAAAGCACTGATAAGTAGTGTGAATCTATTTCAGTTAACAGATAAGCTCTAGCAGATGCAGGAAACAAGAGTTTAATTTGATGCAATACTGAAGACTAATTATAACCAGTAATGCTATAAACTTGATGTGTTGCTGCTGCTACAGTCAACCAGCATTTCTCAGATTAAACCACATTTTCCACAAGTCTTCTGATCTAATTGAACACTATTCTGGTTAAAGCGGAAAGAGGAAGGTGAACTGTAGCTTGAGAGGAGGAAAACAAGTTTTTCTTCTTGTGTGAAATGACTGCACACTGAGTTTCTTAAAGAATACCCATTTGTGAAAATACACTTTATTTAAGGTTACATTTATATTTATTAAATGTCCAGTGTGTAACATGTAGGATGATCTATTGGTAGAGATGGAACATCATGTGGTTAAGTATGTTTTCATAACTATATAATCACCGCCCATGTTCGTAGCTGAAACATAATAAACAAGAAGCTATTTATCTGTGAGTGCTGGTATCCTGTTTGTTTTGAACATCATGATTTTGCCTTGAGCCCAGAAATCAGGTTTGTCTGGCAGGCCGAAACCTGCACCAAGGCTTCAAAGTGATAACACAGATTTTGTGCTCGGCCCAAACATGTACATCTTTAAAATAAGATGTTATCCTCCCTAAGTCCTTTTCTTTCCTGTTTGCCTCCTACACTCTTTTTTTTCAGCGACGAGAGCTGTGTGCATTAGAGGCACACTGGTCTCTGTTCAAACAGACAGACAAGTCTTTATATGAGAGAAAACAGAGAGCTATGAAAAGCCCGCAGCACCAACAAAGAGCTCTTCCTCTTCCTATTCCCCGGTCACCTGACTGATGACATCAGCACCTGTTTGTGTCATGCTGTGTCCTACAGTCTGCATGTTGCAACAATTAAGTGAAAGATAAAAAAGGCTGTTGGATTTGCCATGGGGGAATTCCATCACTGTGGTCATATACAGACATCCCCATGCTCACTGCACAATTGTGGAATTCACACATCTCGTTACTGCCTGAAGACAACGTGTAAAATGAAAAGTTAAACAGTTTGTGACATGCTATCAGCCATAAAGTTATAAACTGTCGGACTGTTTAATGTCGGATCACAATAACATCGACAAGGATAACAGCTTATGTTTCTTTTCAAACATTATGACATTAGCTTTATGATTGAAGATTGCGCAACAGGTGAAACCTGTTCACTGACTATTTTAAATACATATAAAATAACAGAAAAACAGTTTGATTTCAGTACTAATTTTTAGTACATATAATACACAATTAAAAAAATACAGATATCTACAATTGAGTAAAAAAACAACAACTCATGATTTAGGGTAAAAAGTTGTGCAACAGTGATAACAAAATAAAAGTACATTATATGTCATATGACGTGGCTCTGAAACCTTCACATTGAAGTGCAATGTCAGGGTGTCAATCTTTTAAAAATATCTACTTCTCCTCATTAGACAGAATATAGTCCTCCACCCCTTGAACTCATGACATGACTTCACATTAAATTCCCCTCAAGTCTGAAGCATTGTTTGGTCACTTCTGAGTAACAAGAGGGCATTTCTGTCCCTTCTTCATCACTGACTTGACTGCTTTTGATGCTCGACATTTAGTTCTTTCAGTTCTTCCTCTACTGGACGCTGGTCAGGCAGAACTTTCTCTCCCACACCCATCTCCCACAGCGAGCTGTCATCTGTAGCACGTCTCCGCATCGCCAGGAAAAGACAGAGTAGAGGCCTGAGGAATGCATGAGTGCAGCCCAGAGCAGATGTGACTATTAGAGGTGTCTCCAGGGAACTAACAGTAAATAAACCATCATTAAGTTTCTCAGAGCTTCTTCTGACGGTGTCCACAATGAGTGTGATGTTGTACGGCGTCCAGCAGAGGAGGAAGACCACTACCAGGGGGAGGATGACCATGATGTACCTCTTCTTCTGGAGGTCTGTAGGGCTGTGCCGCAGCCGTAGCAGGACCCCGGAGGAGCAGCAAATCAGAGCGGCTGCAGGCAGCATGAAGCCCAGCAGGTGGTGGAGCAGGCGGGACAGCAGCTGCCAGTCAGTAGGTGACAGAGAGTATTTGTGAACACACACGGATTTCTCTTCTGGATCTTTCCCAGCCACCAGAAAAATATAGTCAGGGACGCAGAGGATCAGGGAGCTGATCCAGACCAACAGGCAGCTAATATGAGCTAACCTGGGCCTCTCAGAGGAGTAAAACTGGATGGAGTGGACAATGGACAGGTAGCAATCCAGACAGATGAGAACCAGCAGAAAGATCCCACAGTAGAAGTTGATCTAGGAAAAACAAAAGGAAAAGTTTAGCTATGGTGTTGTGTAAGAGGGGAACTTTCACTTTCACTTCTCCCCTACTCTGATCCCCTCCTTTTGCCTTTTCCAAGAAATGTTGAGCTTCCTGGAGGTTATCAGGGGAGTACTCTTGCTCAATAGCAGTATTAAGTACAATGAACCTTGATCTGCAAAGAGACTTTAAGCAGGAACTAAAAGCCTGGGGCCAAACAGTCCATCCAAAAACAACTTTCTCACATCGCCCTTAAGAGACCACCCTTCCGCTTTCCTGTCCCTGTCTGTTCTACCCACCACTCACACACCACTCTGTATTATTTTATTATTATTTTAAATATTATTATATTTATTTGGTGTTTATTTAGCAGGGACATAGCGTGTAAGCATGTATTTTTACCAGATATAGCTAAAAATGACTTTCATCTGTAACAGAGATAAAAAATCTGTAGTAAAAAATTAAAACCTTACACAACAGACAAGATAAAACCCTATATGACAAACTAAGAAACAAAACCCAAGAATAAGAATCACCCTCAAACAAACAACAGAAAAACAATAATACATTTATTCTAGGGAGCAAATCAGCAATCCCAACACAGGGACATACAATTCATCAGAAATTACTACATTCAATGTCTCGCAGCTCATTGACGACAGAGTTTTCACACTAGGGGGTATTGCACTCTCTGATACTCAGTGGTAAAGAACTCAACTGGAGTCCACTGGAGGAACCTCTAGTTAACCGTGAGCCATGTTGCTACAAACTGTTTAGGAGGTTGAGCTGCAAAATTGTGAATTATTTTGAATAGTAAACCAACATTGTACATAAACAGTTTACAAAGGTCAACATGTTATATTATACTACATTATAATATAGGATGTATGCTTATACAGAGTCTGAAGAGGTTGCCTTAAAATAATATGTGTCTGAGACCAGGTTGTACTACAGTATGCAAAATGTGATAATATCATTGCATTCATGTACAGTTTTGCTGCATCTGCACTCATTTGATTTCTCATAAATCTAAAATTAGAAAGGTCACACGTTGTTGTTTTTTAAATCAACCGCTACTTACATTGAAAACAGCTCCACTGATCTTGCAGAAAAAGTCTTTGAAGCACCATTCACAGTGTTGAGCGGCCTGTGCAGTCCAGAGGGGCAGCGTCACCAGCAGCAGAAGGATGTCTGCAACAATCAGGTTGAGCATAAAGGTGTCTGATATACTCCAGGATCGCCTCTTCTGAGCCAAAACGAACAGGAGTAGTCCATTCACCAGCAGACCTACAATCACCACCATGGAGTACAGAACCGGGATCGACACCAATGCAGTGTCTTTTGACTCAGAATCATCTTTGTACTCATAGTCCAAGTCATAGTCATAAGTGCTGTTGTTGGCAAATACTCCACCGAGCTCCAATTCCATGGACATCTTCTGTGGAGACAAACAGGTTAAACTCAGTGAGGAATAATAAAAAACAAAATGCTGCTGCTTCTTCTGGGTGTCAAGAATACTAAACCAAACGTTCTTCTTTCTCTTCTCTCTCTCTCTCTCTCTCTCTCTCTCTCTCTCTCTCTTTCGGTGTGTGTCCTCATACAGCCATGTGACAGTGAAGTCTTAAAAATCTCCCCCTTTGGGAAACCCAGCTGAGGATTCATTCGTTATCACACGGACACATACCTCACATGGTGCAAAGTCACTGGATGAAGCAACAGTGGAGTGGATTTAAACGGAAAAGCAATGTTCCCCTTGGTCATATGCACACACACACACACACACACACACACACACACACACACACACACACACATCTATGAAGCTATGTCATGCACAGTGTCCGTGACTGTCACTTTTGATTACTGAAGTAGACATACAGCAGATAAATATGGCACACAGGCTACAGCAGGGATCCGTTTCGAAACTAAGAGTAATACAGAAACAGAAAGGGATTGGCTTGAATGTTAGTACTGCAGTAATGGTTACAACTAAAAACAGGTCTCTACTCATCTCTAGTTATATTATTATTATGTAATATTATTATAACATAAGAGCCAATATGTTACACGACAAAAATAAACCTTGAGAGTCTTACCATAAAGGGCTTCAGCTGTAGAGGTCAGTAAGTTTTCAGGCGCTGTGGACTGATACTAAATAAGGACAAACACAGAAACTCGCAGGTATCCCTTCACCCTGAGGTCAACAGCTCTGGATCGTCGACTGTATGGTCTGCACTCGCAAGTCAGTCGCTGTTTTTCGGAGGGAGGACAAGGACGAGATCCTGCAGTTGTCGAGCGCCGCTCAAGTCCAGCCGAAAGACAAACAAAAGAATAAACTTTTTCCTGTTTGAACGCACACTTCAGGAGTGAATCCTCGGACACAGAACCACCGGGTACCAGGGGGAACTGAAAAACAGACGATGAGATAAACTGCGCTTTACCAGCTGGAAGTTTTCTAACACAGACGCACGTCGCCTGCAGACGGGCACCGGGTTACATTACAAACCGGGACATGTACGGAACTGACGTTAACGCACTTTAATTAGTTCCTCGGCGGATTGTTTTGGTTCGTCAAATGTCAAAACCTCTCGCACATTGCCTCCTCTACCGAAATCTGCCAACTCACATAAAAACGCGTCGCCCGATCAATTGTTTTTCAAAATAAAATGTGTAATAAAAAACACAGCAGCATCTACGAATATAAATCCAAGAGAAAGATGCTGAAACATAGACAGAGCTCTTCGGTTTGTATTGAGAAGCACATGGAGTGATAAAAATGGCGCAGTCGTCATGGTCTTTGCCATAATTGTGGAAAAAAGTTGCTTTAATTTGAAGGCCGAATTGCCCCACGTCCGCGTTCCCACTTTCTATGTCTGACTTGACGCAGATATGTAAATATTTCACACAAAGCGAACAATGCGTCGCACAAGGAGCTGCTCTCCACTAGATGGAGCTGTTTCACAGTTTCCAAACTGAACCACAACCACAGGCCTGTTCCAGCCTGCAGGGTTACAAGGTCATCAAGATCATTAAGCTGAATACAAGGAAAAGTTCAGCTATGGTCTTGTGTATAAGGGGACCCTGCACTTTCACTTTCTCTTCTCATCCTATTCTGATCCCCTCCCCTTGCTTTTTCCCTTCCTAGAGGCTATCAGGGGAGTATTCTGGCTCAGTAACAGAACCTTGATCCAGGAGTCCTAAAGCAGGATATTAAGGTCTGGAACCAAACATTGTCCATTTAAAAACAGCCCTTCCGCTTTCCTGTCGGTGCCTGTTCCACACACCACTCTGTAATTATTTATTTTACTTAATGTTTATTTAGCAGGGACAATGCACAAAACAGATATGGTGCCAGATGTAGCTAAAAATGACTTTCATCTGTAGTCCCTGGGCGGAGGCCAGTAGTGTGCAGGTAACAGAGATAAAAAAAAAAACAGAAGTAAAAAATAAATTTCTTGCACTTTGGCAAAACAGACAAGATAAAACCCTATATGACAAACCAAGAAACAAAACCCAAGAATAACAAACTCCCTGAAACAAACAAACAGAAAAACAATACTAAATTTCCACTAGGTGCCAAGAGTCTTTAAGCAGGAACTAAAGGTCTGGATCTAAAAACACAGTCCATCCGTTCCTGAAGAGGCCGCCCTTCTGCTTTCCTGCCCCTGCCTGTGCTACACACCACTATTTTTTTTTAGGAGGATCATGGTTTTACTCAGTTATTGAAATAAGCCAAGTGTTTGAGGTATGCTAAATAACCAAAGTATTACTGTGGACCATAATAATAATATATTTACTCAAGTGCTATTTCAAAGGCCTCATATAGAGCCAGTGTTTGGTTTGTCCTTCTGGGCCTCCATAGAAACAAGGTGGTTCAACATGGCAGACTCTGTGGAAGAGAACCATAGTCCTAAAATCCTAAAATCTGCAACTTCATCAGTAGTTGCTATTAGATCCACACTGGACCTTTAAGACCTTTTATCAACTATGAGTTCTGCAGTCTAAACCTTACTACGGTCAAAGTATTTAAGTATTATAGCAAAACATTTTTAAAGTAGTCATAGTGCATTAAAATGTTCCCATGTTTAACCTTTATATCTTTTAATTTAATTTGCAGGGACAGCACACAATTAAAAGTAATGACACCAGAGTTAGTTAACAGCTAATTTACATCTGTTGTCCCCTGGGCAGGTAGACAAGAAATGACAACAGAACAGTAAATAACTACATAAAGCAGGACAATACATAAAAGTCCATCAGTGTGAGATAATAAATAGAATCAATATGATAATGAATACGATAAACACAAAGCAATCATTTGTGTTGATTTCAGCCAGAGCTTGATCTTGGTTCAGGTTTGGAGATGCGAGTGACACCACAAACTTACCTTTCAAATGAGTCCTCATTCATGCATTTTGGCCTTACATTGGCCTTACCTTTTTGTTTTTTGGGGGATGTTGTGGGTAATATTTTTAAACAGACAAACATTAAGCACCAGAATCTCATTTTGCTACTTTCCCCTTTGTTTCCTTGCCAATTTTCATACTTGTAATTTATGCATTTGTAGTACCTTTATTTTTGTATTTACATTATTTCTAGATATTTGGCATATAAAAAATGTAAAAACACAAAATGTCAGTTTATATAAAAGAATCAACTCAGCAGTCTACACAGTAATATAATTAAAATGTGCTTGGTCAGCTGCAACATGTAAAGTCTTCCCACATATAAATTAATAAAACACTACACATAATAACATAAATACCTTTTGCTGAATAATCACTTAATGGGGTATTTTTACACAACATCACTAGTTTTATCACCAGTGTCTAGGATTTAGTGGCATCTGGTCGTGAAGTTAAAGCTACTCGAAGATGACTAACTGAATACAAGAACCAAATAAAACTTTCTTTAAGCCCCATACTAAATGAGCAAACAAGAGCATGTTACCTTTCAAATGCATTTTGGCCTTACACTGCGTTTTTGTAGGTCACAAGTCAAAAAGATTGGGAACCACAAGTTTAAATTTGATCAAGGCAAAGGTAATGAAAACACAATGATTTCTATATTCAGGTGATTATACACTAATGAAAACATACAGGTGTCCTGATATCTCACCTGGTAAATCTGATCCCCAAGGCTTAGTCCTTGCTTTAGCAGCCATGGGATTGACTCTGACCCGTGGCCCTTTGCTGCATGCCATCCCCTTTATTTCTCCTTCCAATTGCTGTCACTCTTCAGTTATCACTATCAATTAAATACGATAAAAGCCACCCCCCACCAAAAAACAAAAACCCCACATGTATGAATATTATATTCTATACTTGCCATTGGATCCTCCTAACTCCTCTGAATACTCCCCCACTGACCGTATGCTTTCATTTAGAATTTCTTCAAAACATGAATAATAATCTCAGATTAAATTCCACATGCTGGCTTTTAAATAACACATTTGTATGATGTTGTCATTTGCTGGTTTGGACCTGTGCTTGCCAAAGTGTTACAGTGACTCAGAATCAAAGGCGTCATTCTCTCCAAGGCGCTCTGTTTCGTCATCACACCCAGTTCATTGTAGTTCCAGACTTATATTCACTCGTATTTGTATTAATCATGAGATCTGTGCTGGATGAAAGTAATGAACATGTAGAGAGAGAACCTGAGGTGTTGATTAATATATAAAAACAACACTTTATTTTTATTCCAAAATATTTATTCCACAAATCTTTGAAAATAACAAAAACGTTGGGTATTACAAAACTCAAAATGAGTCATTTCATTTCCTCCTTTACAGCAGTTCATTTTTGAAACACACAGCTGTAAAAACAGCTTTATATGGGCCATGAAAAAAAGAATTGCAAAATGATCATTTCAACATGTACAACTTTTCAACATATATGAGCATTTTCACTGTTTTATAAGCTGAAAACGTTTCCTGCAAACGTATCTGCGTGTGGAATCTGATGAGACTAATCTACCAAGTGCAAGGATGTGAGATATGAGTCTGACTGCTGAAGCTACAGGCTACATCTTAACTGCTGATCAAGCTTTTTTTAGGAGTATGAAGAAATCTATATGTTGCACAACATTTGACCTGTGGACAAAAAAATGAACACATTTTCACATAAAAGGCCTCAGCATGTGTTTTTATCTCTGTTCCACTCTAACTTAAAGACTTTACTATAATATTCTTGCATAAAAAATATAAACAACATAAAAACAACGTGTTGTAAGCTGCACCATATCAACAACCAGATGTTAAAGCACCAGGGGGACAGGCAGAAAACTTTCTCGCTGAGAATGTTTTTAAAGTCTTCATTAAACTGAACTTATATTTCAGTTTATTTTCTTTACTTTTCTCTTAACCTCCCACACACACACACACACACACACACACACACACACACACACACACACACACACACACACACACACACACACACACACACACAACCACATCTCCTCTTTAATTAGGCCTATCTTGGTTTCACACCATCACAGAATAAGAGGTGTTTTCGCTTTCTGCAGAACTGAACGATCCTGTGGTTTTTCTATTCCTCCTCTTCCTCCATCCCTCCATCCCCTGCCAGCCTCTCTGTCCCAGCAGCCCCTTACACATTTTGGCAAGCTCCCTCCTGAACTTTACCCCCACAAAGCCGTACAACAGAGGGTTCAGGGCGCAGTGTGACAGCCCCACGCTTTCAGTGATCAGAGTCCCAATGTCCACCACACGACCAAACTGGCAACCTGCAGTCACCACTCCTAGCCAGTGCAGACTATCTGCCAGCTGGAAGCAGTTGTACGGTGCCCAGCAGATGACAAACACAGACACTAAGGAGATAATGAGGCGGAGAGACTTTCGCCTTTGGCGACGAGTGGCATTGCAAAGAGACTTGAAGATGCGCATGTAGCAGTAGAGCATGATCAGCAGGGGGAGCCCAAAACCCAGAACCACACTGATCAGCTGCAGCCCGGCCTGCCACTGTCTGAAGTTCTCAACGAACCACACCTGGCACATGAGTGTCTTATGATGACCTATAGTCTTCACCTCCACTACCTGTTTGAAAGTAATGTCCACTCCACTCAGGCCCAGGCAGACCACCCAGATGACGGCACACGCAATCTGGGCATGGCAGGTGTTGCGCTTCCAGCCAGAGCTCACAGCGTGAACAATGGCCAGGTATCGGTCAAAGCTGATGCAGGCCAAGAAGAGGATGCCACTGTAGCGGTTCAGGGAAAAGAGGGCACCGGAGATCTTGCAAGCAGCCAAGCCGAACACCCATTGGTGAGCCCACTGCACTGCAAACAGGGGCAGGGTGAAGGCCAGCAGCAGGTCAGAAATGGCGAGGTGAAGGAGGAAGGTGTCTGTCAGAGAGAAGGCACAGGCACCACCACTCTGAGTGTTTCGGTAGCGTCGGATCACACACAGCACCAGGACGTTGCCCACCACAGCCAGGAGGAACACCAGAATGTATACAACAGGGGAGTACGCCTTTGCAAAACTGTAGATGTCCTCCTGTAAACATGGCTCTGCACTACTGCTGCTCATGTCAGGGGCATGGTGTAATTGTCATATTCATCAAATCCCTGTTGACAGAAGAGGGGAAAGCAGTTCTGTCAGATTCTAGAAACAGATGAGTTATTCAGGAAAAGTGCACTTATCAACATTTTACAGATAAAGTGGAAACCAATCTTTTTCTTTTTTTTCTTCATTTAAGCCTATAATAACATTTCAAAAAACGTCAAATAAAATCTGTTTCAGTAAAAAACTTAACTCTAAAGATAATTGATATACATGCTTGATACTATATGACAGTTGAATAACTCATTTGAAAATATCTCTTGGAGGAATATGTTCCTGTATACAGTGTATTAAATCTGCTCATGTTAAAGAAAATAAAGTGCAAACTCAGACAGAAGTATATCAAACATAAAAATGGCCACTCACCCAGTAATCTTCTGTGGTTGGCGTCACTTGATCCATATTTGTTGCAAACAAGGAGGCAGCAGAACACCTGAAACCCTACAACAGTCAAAGACAGCACACTCATAAACACATTAGTTTTTCTATCTATGCCACTCTTGTCCAGATGAAGGAGGATCAGAAAGAAGAAGTCATAATTTCAGGAACTGAATCCTTGCAGATTTTAGACGGATGCAAAGAACAGTGCTTTAGTAGGAATAGATGACTGTCTGGGAAATTGTGACATATATTTTTAAAACGTGGCATGGGGCAGCTGTAAAGCTCGGCCAGACAGACAGTGCATGACTGAACTACTCTATATGGAAAAATAATCTATTTTCTATCTTCTAGATTGTACACCTGTATCTACTGCGGATCCAAGTTATTTTATGTATAAAATGCTTTCCATATCATAATATCAAAAGGGAACAACATTTATGGGAATGTAACCTTCAAGAAGCAGAAACTGGTTTTACAGAACAATCTTTTGCAAATGGTTCGAGAAGTGAAAGTGCTCAGTTGACAAAAATTTCAAAGTCTCTACTATGTTATTCTTTATTTATTTGTTTTGGGATATTAAGCAGTACACCCAGATTACATTGTAGTATATTGTAGGTGAAGACTTTAGATTTTGGGCAATCCGTATTTTACAAATCTCAGAATGTCAAAATGAAATAAAAATTGTTTAAGAAAACTACAAAACAATTCAAGGTAGACCTCTGTTTATATGTAGTTTGTGCTAAATGAAACAAACAAATTAACTTACTCACCCTCTGAGATCTTGTAAAGAAGAAAACTATGAAGCTTATGTTGGATGGATTAAATACTATATGTGATTAGATACGCTTAAACAGGAAGTATTTTGTGCATCTTTGTGGCTGAAAATAACAGACAGGAACACCACTTTATTTCTCATTAGATATGCATTGCATGCATGCCCTCTGCTGTTGAATTACATTTATTCAAATCTCTTTCATGCTCTGTTAAAACAACTTTAACCAATTAAAATAATATTGGGATAGTGATTTGACATCTACCTGCAGATACCTGATATGAGCAAATGCCACGGAAACATTTTTAACCTCTGAAGTGTAGATAGGGGTTTGAATTGGGGTTTTATAAAAAACCCTTTCAAACTCCGCTCAGCATTCAAATTTTGTGAAGCGGTAAAGTGAGTCATAATGCCCTTCACAGACACAGAGATAGACAGGATGGACAGAGTGTGAAGTCCTCATTCCCCTTTTAGTATTTCTGTAAGATTAAAAAAAAACAACCAAACAATTAATGTGTTAAATGTGTGAGGAACTGAACACACTTGCGGTTACTTCTGTCTCGACTGAGGGTCTTTGGGGAAAATTCTGTTGTTGTGCAACTTTACTGATATTTTGCTTCCTTCTGTCATAGTCGATGAGCAGTGTATTACACATCACAGAAGCATATTGTTGAAGTTATATATATATATAATCTGGTGCGCACATGGAGGAAAGGAAAGAAGGACTTCTGACTTCTCCAAAGAGCCTTTTAGCTCACTGCCATGCTTCATTTTTTAAAACTTGGAACCTCTGTGGCTCTCTGATATGACCCGAGCTCTGCAAGCGGTTCCACTTCCTTTTTGCCTTTGCTCCAATACACCACTGTCTATAAGAAGTGTTAACTTGACTGATTAAAAGATCTAATAGGAATCTGCTGACAGTCATTTATTAAAACAAAAACACATTACATAATCAGATAATCTTGATATGGATCCCTTCGGATTTCAACTAGTCAGTGCTCTCTGGTGGACAAAATATGTAGTGGTGACACTGTTTCTGAAGTAGGCTACCTCTAACACAGGCCTCTGTGTATACTTATTAGTCTTTTGTCCAGGCATGATTCATTCACTCTACAAAAGAAGTGCAAAAACATGAATCAAAACAAAAATCTAAATAATAAAATAGCTCCTACATCAATATATCTGCATTAGGCTAACTTATCACATATCTGTAAATTACTTTATATCTGTGGAAAGGAAGTTTTGTTTTAGTGAACAGAGAAAAACTATATTTTATTCTTTTTTTATTTGGCCCTCTCAGATAATGGAAAATGTGCTGCATATCTTTTCTTTATTTATTGCAGGTTTGAAACTTGATCACTGTGAGATAGGTCAAAAAATATATTTTTTTAAAAACCTTAAGGACTTAAAACGGTACATTTGAGAAGTTAATTGCGAGTTTTAAAAAGCATGTGAAATCATACATGCTGCGAACGAGTCAGAGGAGAGCACAACAATATCTGTTCTGTCTTGTCTTGGCAGGCGTTTTTCGTAATCTGAGTTTAGTTTATAATCCTGTTGCAGTTTAGAATAACACATTTGGATCCTGTTTTATGGCCACACCTCAGTAACCTTACTGCAGGTGAGCCAGTTGATCTGAAGGTATCTGACAAAAAATGTTCAGAAATCTTTGCCTGTCTAAGAAACAAAAAGTTCCTGAATGTAAACTAACAAATCCATGACCATAATACGATCAAGTAGTGACTATGCAGGGTCAGCGTTTTATCATGTTTAACCTTTGTGTTTTGTTGACACTTGCTTTACTTCCTCATTGTTTGAGTCTCACGGACTCCACTTGTGTGTGTGTTGTGTATGTGTAAAAATAAAACTATAACAAAATACAGAAATGACGATAAATGTTATGTTATATGGGTTTCACATGAACAAATATATTCCTTTTGTTTGTGGGTTAGAGAGGTTTAAATCTCTGTCAGACCTCTAATGAATAAACTGTTATAAAACTCCAACAGCTGTGATCCAAACAGACTTTGGATTTAGGAGGGTAATCATTTGTAAACAGTACTGTCAACACCAATCACAGATGTAGAGCATATGCAAATTCATTATGATTAACCAAGGTTTTACAGCAGGGGCCTCTGAGAATCCATTAAGTATGCTTTTTAAGCTGTTAAAGAGGGTCTGTGGTGTCCAGCACCCCAAACAGAACATTGAGGTTAATTGTTCAGCAGCAAGGCATGTTAATAAATGATTAGAGGACCAGGTATTGGCATATTTACAGGTGTGTGAGTGCTCTATTGACAAGAGGGCTGTACTATGAAGGGAGCTTAACCTACTCAGATTTAACTCAGTGTTTCCAAGGAACATTCGTGTTGTCACATTCTGATTGCCTACATTGCTGTTAAATGGTACGACGACGGTGATTAAGATGTTGGTTTATTCAGTGTCAACTTAAGTGTGTGTGTCCACATGCCAGGGGCGTGTTCAGCAGCACAGGAAGAAGTTTTTTTTTTTATAATGTCTTGTGCTCCTTATTTGTCCCTAGAAAAATGTACAATGATAATATCAGGATATGAGGAGTTTTAAAAAAAGTTAAAGGATTAATCTACTGCAGTAGGGGCCAGTGTATTGAATTGAGTATTATATGAATTTAAAACTGCTATATGCCTCTATAAATCAGGCATGGTGCCTGAGAACTGAATTAAAAATCTACTCCCTAAAGCGCCAAGGCTGAAGGCGACCTGTGTGAATGTAATGCTGCTGTTAGAATAAATATACAATCAGATGCACCCATCACCCTCTGGATTCCTCTGGAAATAAAGAGTTCTGTGTAAAGGCCTGGTCTATGTATATCAAAAAGTACTTCTATTCTTTATAAATATAATTACATGCGACCATAAAAAGCCTCTGTGATCTTTATAACAATTAAATGGGAACATAAATGCATTCTGGCCCTAGTAGCTGGCATAGATAGCTGCTGAATTCTCGCAGATGAGAATCGATATCTTTCATAAAGATCATCTGGGTAAACTAGAGGATTTTTACAGTCTCTGTGCCCTGTGCAGTAAGCCTCTACGTCACCAACGTCTTCCAAATGTTGTCTGCGTTTTTTTTCACAAGATTGTGGACGGAGGAGAGAGAGGCGGTTTACAAGGTGATGTCGAGTTAACCACGAAGATAACCTGCTATGCTACACAAGCAGTTGTTACATTTGATTTAATTGTGTTTATTTTATGTTATTTGTGTTGGATATCTGTCTTTTCCTATATTTGTGTACATCAGCACATACTATACAATTTCAAACATCTCATGTCAGGTGAGGGCCACAGCTCACTTTTATACTTTTATTTTCCCATTCATAGTTTGACCCACAGTGTGTACACACACCACACCTGCTCTTAAAGTAAAATCTGGTTTATAAGTTTCTGAAATACAAATATGCACTATCTATGACTTTGTTCTTCAATTGCTGAATGCTGATAAAGACCACGTCATGTTAGGTGCACCCTTGATACGCCCCAAAACTAAATATCTGGGTCTTTACAAGATGTTTGCGCCTGCCCAAATGGCCTTTGTTTGACATGTCATATCAGCATAGAAACTGGGCTTCAGTATACGGCTGATGTCGCACTGGGTATAAGAGCTGTGGCCTTAGCCTTGCCCTCCTGTTTGTGGATTTCCCCCGTGACCATCTACAACCTCAGATCACTTTTCCGGGAGCCATACACGAACTTCAGGAGGTGAGATCTGAGACGTTCCCTCCAAACTAAGGTTGGCCAGAACTGCTACATGGAAAAGTCATCCGGCTTCCATCACTATTAATTACAACAACGGATTGTAGTAATTTAATGCTTGCCTCTCTGGTTTCTGGGACACTATTATTGAAATAATTGTCTTTGGTTTGCTTCGATGGCACAGGACAGGACACGGAGCAGGATATTTGCTTGGAGGATACAGTGCCTCAATAGAGCCAGAAAATGTTACCATATATGAAGCGTAGGAGCACAGTCTAGACATGCTCTATTTGAAAAGTGTCATCTGATAACTCCTGTTATAATTTGGCGCTATACAAATACAATTGAATTGAATTGCATTCCTTTTTAATACTACTGTTTTGCAACTACCTTATTATTTTGTCAAATCATGAAAATGATCCAGTATGATCTGTTTTTACATTTCTGCTCTTCCTCATATTCCTTGTTCTCTATTTGCAGCAATGGAGTTCCAGTCAAATGTGATCAACTCGCAGCCTCAGGTCTCCGTCACACAGTACACTGTCTCCACCGGATTGTCAGATTGGAGTTCAAATGTGTGCGACTGCTGTGAAGACTGTGGCATCTGTAAGTGTTTACGTGTGTTTGTGGAAGCAGAAATTAACCAACATTGTAAAATGTTGAACAGGAAAACATATTTCTCCTCTCCAGGTCTTTGTGCAACGTTCGTCCCTTGCATCCTGGCCTGTAAAGTGGCTCAGGACAATGACGACAGCTGCTGCATTCCCTTCCTTCCTGGTGCCATGATTGCTCTGAGGACAAGCATCCGCAGCAAATACCATATTACCGTAAGTGTGCTGAAGTGTAAAGATTAGACCACAAAAACAAATTTAAATGCAGAGACCTAGTGTTTGATCATGGGTCATCACCACAAAAAAAGTTTTTTTGCATGAGCTAAGTGACGTTCGTCACCAGTTTACTGTGCCTGTCCTTCTTCCCAGGGCTCGGTGTGTGATGACTGGGTAGTCATGGCCTGCCTGCCTCTGTGTGGACTGTGTCAGATGGCCCGGGAGCAGAAGATAAGGGGACGAGTCTAATTTTTAAATTCCAAAGAAAGAGAATATTCACATTCCATTGTCTGGACGCAATTTCTGAATTTCAGATTAAATTTGACATTTGTTGGCATGACAATAATTAGGTACTGTGTTTTTATAATGTGAGAAGATTGGTGATAATCAGACTGAATGGCAATTTTTGTTTAACTTTATTATTCTATACTATTTTAACATAATATATATTACATCACAACTATATACGTAAAATAAAAAATTAGAGATGCAGGAAGCAATTCAGAGACTGAATCATTCATATGGAAGAAGATATAACAAAAAAAATAATTCAGTATTTCAACAGGTCTAAACTTTTACATTGAACCACTGTCTTTAAGTTAAATATTCACTCACTGAGATGAAATTGTCTTTATGCGGAGATTTCCTGTACAGTATAGTGGTTAATTTACACACATTATTTATTTTTGGAACGCAATTGTATCCGAATACAGTTTTTCTTGCTTACAACGTCACAATAAATATCATGTATTCATCTAATATTCTGTAAAAGGACTATTTTATGTATGTGTAATTAACTAACGTATATTAATTCAAGCAACAGTATTTCATTAAAAACCTGGAATCATCATGCTGTGTTTGGGGCTTTTTCATGTTTCATTAGCCGAACTCCATACAGGAGGAAATGAACGGGGGCATTCATTGGCTGCACCCATCTTCCTCTTTCCGATTTAGTGTCTACCTAAGAAATCCATTGTACAAGAAGCACTCTGAAGAGGCAAGATGAGTTGAACGGCATTCATTTGAGCGGGTAAGTTTGTGAAATAAATACATAATATAAAATTACTTTTACAGATTTAGTACCATATTTGGAAATGACTAATTATTACTGCCAAGTATGTTTTTGATTAGATGAGAGGGTGAGAGTGAAGAATTTGTGTGAAGGATTACATAAGAATAACCTTTAAGAAGATATCATTATATGCCAGTTTTTAGACTTTTTTTTTTTTTTTAAATGTTGGGAGAAAAATAATAAGGGAATGTTTATGGCAAATAAGGTACAAAGATTGTTTCCCTGTTCTCCCTATCTGTGTTTATACTGCGACTGTGACAACATGTTGCTGTAATTTAGCCTATTGCACACTCCTGTAGTAGTTAACCCAAATTGTTTGCCGGTTAGCTAACAATGTCAACCCTTTCGTGACATGTTTTTAACCGAATCATACATGGATTATAAAGTGGAACAAATGTCAGGAAGAGGAGGAACATGCGAGTGAAAAGGGATATGAAAATATCACAAGAGGAACCAAGTTATCTTTGCTGCAAGGTTAAAATTTCTTGGCAAACACAGCAATACCTCAAGTGACGATTATGAAGAGAAAGTTTAGTTTTGTAAGGATTGTGAGGTTTTTGTAAGGCACACTTAACAGTCTGCGTTAGTGTGGGAACTGTTAGTGGAGGAATACATAGTACTGAATATACTGCAACATCATCATAAAAATGTGGCCATTTTTATTTTGGGGTTTTACTATTCGGGGTGTAAACATGGCTGTATTTGATGAAAAAGTTTTAAAAAGCATTAATTTCTGTCATGTAGTATTTCGGCTATCATAAAGAAAATATTATTCGAAATTAATCAGACTTCAAATGTTATTATGCTAATTGTTCTTGTGATTAAAATATCCACAAATGAATACCAAAGAACCAAACATTTTAGAGGAAGATACCTCAAATTATTTTTATAGGTATGGTAAAAAAGACATTTAGAGCAGGAATAGTGGTAGCAGTTCTGTATTAGGCTTGTTTTACTTAGAAAATAAGAAATCTTATTTAAAGCGTAACTTTAAAACCTGCTCTCTGTCTTCAGATTCCTGTACCGTGTTCAACTGGTGACCAACCCAGAGGCTTTGTTGACAGACAACCAACATCAAACCAACCAAACTAAAAGACACTGTTGAAAGAAGCCTAAAGTCCCGTTTCTCGACAAAATGGCGAATCTAACTTATCAGCTGTTGTCAGTTACAGTTGTTCTTGGTGCTGTTCAACTCATCAGTGGTTACAGCTTCAACAACTGCATTGAAGACCCACACTTAAAAGGACAAAGTTTCAACTGCATCCGTCGGAAGAACAAAAATATGAAGGATATTATAAATGACCTGCCACAATCTGCCATCAATCTCACCATCTCTATTAATCCAGTGTGGTACATTCCCAACAGGAGCTTTGTTCATCTACCAAACCTTCAACACCTGAGAATAGATCATAATCATTTGAGTATCATCGATCAATATGCTTTTCAAAACCTGTCTCAACTTAAGTCTCTAAATTTGTCCCTTAACAACATATCAGCGCTCCATCCTTTTCTGTTTAAGGACCTGCCCAACCTCACCTTTCTCTCGCTGTCAAACAATAAACTAAAGCAGCTCCCAGAGTGCATTTTCTCCACTGTTTTCCAGCTAGACACTTTAATAATGAGGAAAAACCTTCTGATGAATTTCTCAGGGATTGCAAAATCTGTGTCGCATCTAAAGAATCTGAGAGTACTAGATCTTTGCTTTAACAGTTTGAGCTCTCTCAGCCACTCAAATGTGCCACTACCCATAAACCTCACTATGTTGTATTTATGTAGAAATAATCTGTCTACGTTAGGATGCAAACCCTCGTTCCTCGGATTCATCCAGCTACTTGATTTGTCATACAATTCCAGGCTCCCTACGATGGCATTTCAAGATGTGGATTTGAGACATATAAACTATCTGCGTTTGCGTTCAACAAGTGTCAACATAGTGGAGTTTTTAAGCATCAGCAACGTCTATGCAGGTCATGTTGATTTCTCTGGCACAGGTCTAAAAAATGTCAGCCTCCTCATGGAGCTATGCAGACTGTTAAAGAGAAAATTAAAAGGGATTAAAAACTTAGGGCTGGGTAATAATGGGATTGCGAATCTAACAGACACACTATACCATTGTCCTACAATCACAGGGGCTTTGGATATATCCCGCAACCAACTGAAAAGAACAAGTTTTTGTCTAAACTTTCTCAAAAATCAGACACAAATAAAAAGCTTCAGTTCTGAACATAACCATCTCACCTCCCTCCCATCTTGTAAAAACCAAAAGACATATTTCCCAAATCTGGAAGAACTGAGCTATCGTTACAACCGCATCCTCTCAGTCAACGCTTACGCTTTCAATCACACACCAAATGTAAAGACACTTAAACTTAACATAAACATAATTGCTTTTCTCCACCGTAAAGCTCTCAAAGGGCTAAAAAATCTTGAGACCCTCCGTTTGGACAATAATCTCTTAACTGATTTGTTCAATAACACCTTTGAAGATCTTTTAAATCTGCAAATCCTTAACCTACGTAACAATCGTATTTCTGTTATTTTTAATGGGACCTTCCTCAACCTCACGAAACTGACTACACTGGACCTAGGAGGTAATAAAATCACTCATTTTGAGCGTTCTGGTCTTGATGGACTAAAAAGTCTGTCCAAATTCTATCTAGATGGAAACAATCTCAAAACAATTGACACCTCCCTCTATCGTGCATTTCAAGACACACTCACAGTTCTGGATTTACAGAGTAATCAGATTTGCTTCCTCACTGAAAGTATCTCTTATTCCCCATTTATGAATCTCAGCAAACTCAGTGATCTGAAATTGGACAGTCAGCGGCCTCATGGCCTCGGCGTTTTACCCCGCACTTTTTTCCGTGGACTCCACTCACTGAAATCTCTGTATCTCACCAACAATAACATCTTTCATCTTGCTCCTGATGCTTTTGATGATCTGACAGGCTTACGTTTCCTCACACTGGATAACTGCTGTGTTGGGGTGACGCAACTACAACCAGGAGTCTTTAAAAATCAAAGAAATTTGAGCAAATTGATTGTAGAAAATATGGGCATTCAGAACTTCACAAAGGAGGTTTTTGGGAATCTTACACAGTTACACACCCTGCAGCTCAACCGCAATGTGATGCAGAGCATTCCTGTTGATGCACTAGATAGTTTACCTAACCTCCACTACCTTGACGTACGTAATACTCCTCTAAGCTGCACCTGCAAGAACAGCTTGCTGAAAAACTGGACACAATACAACCTAAATGTCCAGGTGGTCTATCTATACAATCTGCCATGCCCACACAATGAAAAACTCAAATTCTACAACTTTGATACCAATGTTTGTTACATAGATTTAGGAGAGTACCTGTTCCTTAGCACAACACTTTGGATCTTCCTGTTTACGGTCACTCCTTTACTTTATGTCAAACTCTATTGGAAAATGAAGTACAGCTACTATGTGTTCCGCTCCTGGTTTAGTGAGCAGTGGCGCAGACTCAGAGAGGAGGAGGAAAATTGCAAATATGATGCGTTCATTTCCTATAATTCTGCTGATGAACAATGGGTCATGGATCAGTTGCTGCCCAAGCTGGAGGGACATGGATCATCTTTTAAACTTTGCCTTCATCACAGGGATTTTGAGCTGGGCCGCGATATTGTAGACAACATCGTCTCTGCTGTATATGGCAGTCGTAAAACTATTTGTGTGGTGAGCAGGAATTTCCTACGAAGTGAGTGGTGCTCTCTGGAAATCCAACTGGCCAGCTACCGCCTCTTTGATGAGCACCGGGATGTTCTCCTGCTTGTGTTTCTGGAGCCGATCTCTGAGAGGCAGCTGTCGTCCTATCACCGCATGAGAAAAGTGATGTTAAAAAAGACTTACCTGCAGTGGCCTGACTCAGACTGCCCTGACCCGATACAGGCCCAAGAACTGTTTTGGAATCAGCTACGCAGGGCAATAAGAGCAGGTAGCAGACTCAAAACGGAAGAAAATGACAAAAGCCGAGGTTCTGAAACTGAACATATTGAAAGTTACACATCAGATGAAAACTATTACTTGCAACCCTAAAAAGATGTTATTTTATTAATGATTGTCAAGACAAACCTCCCAGTAAATGAGTAATTATATTATTAAGAGTGTCATGAAAATATGGTGTAAATAAGTAGTGAAATGCGTTGTAAGACTAGTAACAATCCTTTATTATAATCATTTATGCAACCATGAATCAGAAATGTAATTTAATATCTCTGCTCGGCTTAATTATATATTTAGCAATGCTTGATATTGCATGTCTCTTGCACCATTGTACAAATGTGTTTTATGCATTTAAATGTAGCCCATAGGTAACATAAAAAAAAAAACCAAAGAGCTTTCACAATAGCACATTCTTGGCTAAGATTCTTGGTCTGTAAAAAAATATATCACCTGTGTTATTGAAGATATGTGTTAATATACAGTTCTCCATAAAAAAATGCTCCAAGGATGCAAACAATACATAATTGTGTGTTTCTTTATCACAGCACAAATGGGACAAAATAATAAAAGAGTTAACTCTTGAGATGACAGCTGTTGCCATTACATTTAATACTGTGTTTTATTAATAAAATATAGGCACACAACACATATTTTTGCTGACTGAACAAAAAGTATCAAGATAATTCTATTTTTTTAGTTAGACAAAGAAATGTTCACAGGCAGGTCTCTATGGAGTGCTTCACCACACTTTAGTACAGTCTCATAGGGGGGAAGAACCAGAGCTCAGGACTGGGGAAAGAAGATAGAGGATGTGCTGGGTCTCTTTCAATCATGTGAGATGGGGGGTAATGCATCATGTCAGTGTGATGGGAACTGAGGAGGAGGACAAGTTGAAGGGTGACTGAATTGGCTGAAGGGCTCGAAGTTGGTGCTCTGCTGAGGATGGCAGATTTGGGCATGGAAGAAGGGAGCGAAAGAGCTTCTGTCTGTTTCAAATGGGTCTTGCTCCCGGGGAGGGTGCATTGCTGAATTTCTATGTGGCAGCTGTGCTTGGTAAGGAAAGAAAGGCTGGATGTTGCTGCGATATTGAGACCTGCTGCCCCTCTCTGTAACTGCTCTGTTGTGGTTCAAAAAAGAACCAAACATAACATTCTCATTGCTCTTTGCCTTGTTGAATCTGTCTTCCCAGTGCTGAGATGCTGAGGCATTTTCTTCCCAGCATGATGTATGAGAGGGAGCGAACAAATGATCACTGGCTTTAACTCCAGAGGGCTCAAAGTCCATGCAGAACTGAGGAGAGCAAGTAGATCTGAGGATATCATCCAAAAGGCTGACCGAAGTCTCCACAGGGCTGGTCAACCATTCAGCAGTCTTTAAATGAAAAGCAGAAAGTATTTTATTCCAGAGTAATGGAATCTTAACTTATCTGAGGATTACTAAAGGAAGGATAACAGCTGGGCCATGTGTGAAATAAACTTCAATAAGAGAGTCAACTTAAGGTCTTACCTGTTTCATGTTTTTGTGTAGCTGTGGACTGGACTTCCAGTTAAAATGCCCACTTCTCGTCAGTTTGAGAGATGTGGTTTTCTGAGTTTCAAAAGGTGGCTGACTGGCAGTGTTGGCTTGAAATGCTGTTGTGAAACAATAAATAAAATAAAGGATACACAACTGAAAACCTGCCCACAAACTATGACTATAATACCTGTTTCAATGTATATATGAGCTGACTATTGTTTTAAGACAGACTTTAAAAAAATTGTGAACCTCCTTAAAGATAGCTTGATATCACTTAACGGCACTGCTAGCAGCACTATGGTGTGATGTTTTTATGAATGGGCCCTGTTCTTGTTTGTATCCTGCATGCACATGTGGACACACAAGCATGTTCACGAGCATGCAGATGCAATACACATTCCTTCTATTGTGAATGATTGACTGGTGGTAATAATACACAAACAATTGAAGAAATGCTCCAACAACCAAAGAAGAAGACTGCAAGCTAGTAAACATAGATGTTAACAATTAGCTTATTGAAAAAAGTATCCCAGAGTATTTCAGTTCCTACCTTTAGTCAGGAGCTCATCTTCATCTACCGTGGTAGGCTCCTGATCCTGGACTTCGTTTGTGGGATCAGTAACAAAGGTCAGGCATCGCTGCACCTCAAGGAGGTTCTCCTGAAGCCGGGGTCCATGTCTCTCCCGTAGAGCTTTCAAGAGCACCTCTCTGCTCTCTGCCACTAGGCTTCTCCTTCTCGGGACTGGGAACTGCAGACAGTTGCACAAACCTGCTGCCACTGCACTGACAGTCTTAGATACACAGTCAGAATCTGGTCTCCTGTGCCGTATGTCAAAGCTTTCAGCAGAGTGTGAGCTGGAGAGCTGAAGTGGGCTTGGGCTGAGACCAGGAGCTTGGGTTTGGTGGACAGGAGAGTCCTGGTTCTTTGGGGTGTGCTCCAGAGTAGATAGCGTGTGTCCCTTTACCTTCTTGTTCAATATTTTCACATTTTCTCTATCAACAGTGGGAGTATGCTGTGACTCTCTGCCCTTCCTGCTGATAGAGCTGTGCTTAGATGAGAGGCTGCTTTTAAAACTTCCAGATGAAAGATCAAGCTGTTGCTCTGCTCTCTGCCCTGGTGTAAGATCTGAACCCTGACTGATCTTACTCTCTTTCTCCAGGCAATTGTCACGGGCCTTTGTAGCGGGGTCTGCTTTTTTTCGAAATGTCATAGTCTCACGAGCATCAGCACACAACACATCATTAGTGGGGAATGAAGAAGGAATTTGAGATGTTGATGGGTGTGAAATACAACCGCTTTTTTCTTGTACATGTTGTCCACTTTTCTTCCTTTGCTTACTTAGCAAACGTTCAATGTCGATAGACTTCACCTCATGGTTGAACAAGCCGTGGTGTCCTATCAGACGACTGTCTGTGATGACACTGGGCTCCTGTGCAGCAGGAACGACATTTGGAAATGGCGCGTCTCTCCTTGAAGAACAATGACAGCTACTATGACAGCAGTTATGGTAATATGCCATGTCTTTACTGGGTAGACGATGGAAGGGATGGTGATGTGATTTGGACTTTGAAGCTTCTTTCCCAGCACCTCTCATCTGACTCCTCTCCTTGCGGCTCTTCAGTCGCTTGGTTCTGTGCTGCGCATCGGTCTTAATATAATGGTTTGAACATTTGCAGTCTGCAGTGAATCTGTTCACTGAGCAACAGTTTTTATCCGCTGTTTTTAATTGCTTCTTGAAAACATTAAGAGTTTTTTCTTTGTCTGATGTAGCCCTGCCACGCACGCAGATCATGCTGCACTGGATTCTGTAGAAAGATAACAGCAGTTATCAATGTGTAGATGTATAGGAAATTAGACGAGAGCGAGATTAGAGAATTAGGTAAACGCCACAGGATGCTGGTGAACCTCAATTAGAATAAATCTTATAATCAATAAACTCAATGAAAAAAAACTGGTTCTCAAAAAAAACACTTTGATTGTAGCCTCAAAAATAATATTAAAAATTCGGATCTTGAATGTATTGTCACTTTCTACAAGTGAGTAGTCAGGAACAAGACTTAAGGTTACAAGTCCTGACACACACACACACACACACACACACACACACACACACACACACACACACACACACACACACACACACACACACACACACACACACAGCATTGCCCGATATCTGCATTCACAAGGCCAATAAACAAAAAACACATCTGCAGACACAACCGGCAGACGTGTCAGTGTGGAACAATGTCAGTTCTCCCTCTTTTGAAGTTATGGTAAGGTGCTGAAAAAGTCAGCTACTATAACTCTCATGCATCCAGTAAATGTTTGCCTAAATATCCAAAGTCACCATTGTCTATTAAAGTACTGAGATCTACAGCATAACCCAGTGGATTTTTCTATTTCATTTCAAACCAGGCTGAAACACAAATATATAATTGTTATTAATAGACCAGTGTGAAAGATTCTGTGGCATCTAGTGGTGAAGCTGCAAGGTCCGTGTATGTTTTGGTCATTGGATTTTCCTTTCAGAAACGGGTATTAAAAAACAGAAAACGAGTGGTTATTTGATTTTCGTTTTAAAATACAAAAATTAAAATTGAAATACAAGGCGTTTTTCTTTTTCATGGTCAGAAAGGGATGAGCGAAATTTAAAAAATGATTCGATTTTCATTTTCTATTTCATATAACAAAAATTAAAATCACTAGAAAACAGAAACAGAAAAAAGGCCTGTTTTTTCATATTCTGAGACCGGATGTTGTCATTTACAGGACGGTGCTGTGGAGAAGAAACAGTAGGTTAGTAGACTGCGGTCAATCCAGCCGTGAGTCCGATTTCCGTGGTCAAATCAGCCGCACTTAAATTTCGAGTGTACAAGTATTCTCAGCATTAAGGTAAATGCGGAGAAACAGCGTATTTACTTCCGGTTTTCAAAATAAAGGTATTTAGAGCCGTAAGCTATAATCACCTCATTTAATATAAATTTGTTACATTAAAGTGTTTCATGCGCCCCTGATGAATAAAAAACACTTTATATCAAGTATCTTTACTGCACCAGTGTGGAGAAATGCCCAAAATAAAAGCCTCATATTTATGCCTCCAGAGATTGCATATTTGACCATATTTGAGGTACTGTAAAAACACATTGCTCAGTGTTTCCTGGCTACTGATGGTATATTTGACTTTTACACATATGAGACTACAAACATACTTAATATCAAGCATTTTTACTGTACCAATTTGGAGAAATTCAACAATAAAAGTCCATATTTGTACCTCCAAGTGGTATTTTCATATATTTGAGCTACTGTAAAAACACTTTGCTCAATAATTCCTGGCTATGGATGATATATTTGACTTCTACACATCTAAGACTACAAGTATACTTAATATCAAGAATTTTTACTGTACCAATGTGGAGAAATTGAAGAATAAATGTCCCATATTTATACTTCCAGATTCCATATTTTCTTATATTTGAGCTACTGTAAAAATGTAAACTGTATGTGGAACCACCTGCAACAGCTGTCACACTGAATAATATAAAAAATAATATGTGAGGAAGAGACAGTAGGTACAATGGTGTTTTGAAGTTAAAACTAATTATTTTTCCCTTTTACCTACAAATGGACACAGCAGAGCTGCAAAATAAGAAGAATGTGGACTGCATTGCATTTTGTGTGAAAAGTAAACAAATTAGAATTGTGTAGGATTTTGTGTTTAGTGTTTATATTATCAAGATGTTATTAAACATTTGTGTGAAATTTTGTCATGATTACTGCAGCATTATTGAAGTATAATGAAAATGCTTCACCCATAGCCTGGAAATATTGAGCAATATGTTTTTACAGTAGCTCAAATATAAGAAAATATGGACTCTGGAGGTATAAATATGGGGCTTTTATTCTTCAATTTCTCCACATTGGTACAGTAAAAATTCTTGATATTAAGTATACTTGTAGTCTTAGATGTGTAGAAGTCAAATATACCATCCATAGCCAGGAATTATTGAGCAAAGTGTTTTTACAGTAGCTCAAATATATGAAAATATGCCACATGGAGGTACAAATATGGACTTTTATTGTTGAATTTCTCCAAATTGGTACAGTAAAAATGCTTGATAGTAAGTATGTTTGTAGTCTCATATGTGTAAAAGTCAAATATACCATCAGTAGCCAGGAAACACTGAGCAATGTGTTTTTACAGTACCTCAAATATGGTCAAATATGCAATCTCTGGAGGCATAAATATGAGACTTTTATTTTGGCATTTCTCCACACTGGTGCAGTAAAAATACTTGATATAAAGTGTTTTTTTTATTCATCAGGGGCACAACACTTTAATGTAACATATTTGAATTATAGCTTACTGTTCTAAATACCTTTATTTTGAAAACCGGAAGTAAATACGCTGTTTCTCCGCATTTACCATAATGCTGAGAATACTTGTACTCTCTAAATTTAAGTGCGGCTGATTTGACCACGGAGATCGGACTCACGGCTGGATTGACCGCAGTCTACTAACCCACTGTTTCTTCTACACAGCACCGTCCTGTAAATGACAACATCCGGTCTCAGAATATGAAACAACAGGCCTTTTTTCTGTTTCTGTTTTCTAGTGATTTTATTTTTTGTTTTATGAAATAGAAAATGAAAATCGAATAATTTTTTTAATTTCGCTCATCCCTTTTTGACCATAAAAAAGAAAAACGCCTTGTATTTCAATTTTAATTTTTGTATTTTAAAACGAAAATCAAATAACCACTCGTTTTCTGTTTTTTAATACCCGTTTCTGGAAGGAAAATCCAATGACCAAAACATACACGGACCCTGCAAATTGTAACCATCTGAATACAGCTCAGCCTACCAAGCGTCAAGATGGCAGCCTATTCGGAAGAGGACCCGCTCTCAGTGTTGATAAAAACAACTCATTCTAAAAAGGTTTTCGCACCGACCCATAAAACAAAAATGCAAAATACTCCCCTGCAAATATGTTGCTTCAAAACAATTCATTATAAAACAAATAATTCAATCCACACACACTCACTGTATTAGCCGAATTAACATTTGGATTCAGCCACTTAATGAAGCCTAACTGTAAGATAGCAAGTGAAGTGGTTAGCGAACAGCTGATGATAACCACCAGGTGCACTTTTACTTGAAGCACACGTGTTTCAAGTTACACAATTCCGCTGCCGCTGCTACTTTAGGCACATATCGTTCGTGACAAACAGCAAATCTGCAAAGAAACTTTTTTTTGTTTGTTTTTTATACAGAAACTTAAAAGCATTACTCAACAACACTGCTTACCGAAATTGTCCGCAGTCGTCTTTTTGGCCGCAGGTAAATCTGTCGTTGCTGGGCAACATGCCGCAGACGTGTTTCTTTGCGCAGCAGCAACTCTCGCGAACGCCAACGAGCAGGACGAGTCCATTCACACAGACGAGGAGGTAAAACCGTCTCATCTTTTATGTTCTTCTTCACTTTAACAATTATTTATTTTATACTTCCCTCACATAATATGTTCTAATAGTCATCGTAAAGCACACTGTATTAATAAAGCGTCGGATAATTCTAAAATACATGAAAACATATAATTTGTTGCCCATGGAGAACAATGGTACGTGCAGCCATAGTGAACATTTACTTCCTGAAACTGAATTGGGAGATGACGATTTTTTGATTTTATGGTAGCCTATGTTCAATAATATCTCTAAATGTAGCCGCTATATAAATCTCTGCCTTATTCCCTTTAGCACAATATAGGCTTGCATAGTTTAACGTTAATAACAATCCGTGTTACACGCTTGTGACCGGCGTTTCTCTGTTAAACTAACGTTAGCTACATCTATCTTGTGTTTCAGCAAGCAGGCTAGCTTCTGTTGCTAATTCTGACCAACCTTGTTAGATTCAGCTCGCAGTCATAGCTATAGGCTGTTGACTTATCGGTTTGTGTACGTTGTAGAAAGTGCAAAAAGAAAAGAAGAAGCCTACGTGACTGCTTTCCCAACGCAGATAGAGCCAAGTCATGAGTGCAGAAGACCCAAACCCTGCCGCCACACCCACTCCCTGTGAAGACACCCAGGGAGATGGACGATGGATGTCTCTGGTGTGTGAAATAACCTCATTATTATGAGTTTGCTTTTACCTGTATCCTGGGTTTTTACATAGCTACAGCATTACAGCATTACAACATCTTGTTTTTTTTTTTTTTCCCAGTCTGCATTGTAGCTTGTGTTTAGTGTTGTGAATTTAAAGTAAAAAAACAAACAAACAAATGAATAATTAATTAGTTGTCATTTGTTTTGATGACATATAGCTGCATAGACATAGTCATAAAGCTGATCTATCTTTCTGTAAATTAGCATTTTTTTTTTTTCAGATTGAGATGGGATTATGCACTGAGCTTTAATCCACTGATTAATCTTTTTATCTAATATTCAAGATAATGCCATACAGTCTCCATGTCTCCCATTTTTTTTTTTTAAGGTGTGTCTGCATTTCTCATGAAAACTGATGTGCCTCACCTTTAAGAATAGCCTCAGATGCTGCATCTAGTACTTTTCTATATACTATATAAAAAATACCAAAGTTTGTCTTTTCCTTTTTCTCCTTTATAGCACAACCGCTTTGTGTCTGACAGCAAAGACAAAGAACCTGATGTCCTGTTTGTTGGAGACTCACTTGTTCAGCTCATGCACCAGTTTGGGGTAAAACAATAGATCACTTTTCTGTGTCTGGTTCTGTATACGGTGTTTGATAATGTTTCTTGTTCTCATAAACGTCTATGCATGCTTTCAAATGCTTAGGGTTTAACATGTGGACGCTTTGTTGTTGTTGTGGTTTCTCTGTAGATATGGCGACAGCTGTTCTCTCCTCTCCATGCCCTCAATTTTGGGGTGGGCGGTGATGCAACACAACATGTGCTGTGGAGACTGAGTAACGGCGAACTGGATAACATCAGCCCAAAGGTCCTAAACACGGCCAAAAATAGAGAACATGATCATGCTTGTTTATTCACACAGTAGACTGATTGTGCTTATCTTTGTGCTTAAATGCAGCTTCCAGGTACAGTATGTATTGACCCTAAACTATCAATGACCCAGTAATGAATTCCTTTCTCTTTTGTTGTTGTAGGTTGTAGTGCTTTGGGTAGGCACTAACAATCATGGTCACACCGCTGAACAAATCTGTGGAGGTATCATGGCTATTGTCCAAGTCATCAAGAACAAGCTTCCACATGCTCGGACGCTCATACTTGTAGGTCTTTTTCTGATTCATTTCTCATGTAAATCTACTCACCCACAACCATTAAACTACATAGTGATATCTCCTCTTTTTGTTCAATCTTCACTTTGTGAGGTCAGGTTAACGACTTTTGGACTCCAGTATTTTGTTAAAAAGGGCTTTAGACTGTATGTGAACTGTTTAGAGCAACTTTTCACACCATATTTAAAGGGCTTGAGATTGAACTTGCTGTGTGTTTAGTAGAGCTACAAACTTCATTGGACTTTCAACTAACATACCTAACCTCATTTTCATTTCTGGAAACATTCCTTTTGATAGTAAATAGTTTTTATATTAATTTGTTTATTTCTAAGAATAATAATAATAATAATAAAAAGCTAAGGAGTGTTCCACCCTTTTAAACAATTACATCCGTATGTCTGTTTTACAGGGTGTACTGCCCAGAGGTAAATCGCCAAACCCTCTGCGGGAGCGAAATGCCAAGGTGAACCAGCTGGTCCAGGAGGCCATATCGTCCCTTCCCCACGCCTCGTTCCTGAATGTGGATCCAGGCTTTGTCCACTCCAATGGTAGCATCTCCCATCAAGACATGTATGATTACCTTCACCTGACCCCTCAGGGGTACCAGGTTGTGTGTGAACCCCTGCACGCCCATCTCAAGTCCATGTTAGATAAACCTGCTGAGAATTGAGCAACCAGGGCACAAACTTACACTACGGCAGTGGTCCTCATCCCTGTTTCCAGACAACATCACACTCAACTTATTAACACAAGGAATGATGGAGAGAATCATATATTAAGGGCTAAGAGCTGCACACATTATTTGTGTAAGTCCTCTTCTTGGCCAGGGTTGGTGACCACTGTCACAGATAATGGTAACCTAAAGTCTTTTGTGTTTATAATACAGTCAGAAATTAAATGTGCTGTGCTATAGAGAGACAAAGTCTTGCCTCATACCTGATAAGCATCTGTTCCACTAGTTTTTGGTTCTCAGTGTTTTTCCCACAGAAGGAGTTCTTAATTTCTCTGCCACATGATACAAATGGTGAATATGATATGGGGAAATCCCTCTTTGTCATCTGTCTGGTCATGACAATGAAGGGATAAAACTGGAGGGCACAGTTATAGGTAAATAAATCCAGATGTCCAGTTGTTATGAATAAAGCTTTTAAAAAGATGCAGCAACTTTCTTTTTACGCTAATGAAGATGTGCTGTAGGTCAAAACATTAGTTGCTGATCCTTATTTATAACTGTGTCCTCCAGATGTCATCCCTTCAGCTACAGCTCTCATGAGACTATCACAGCCTATTTTTACCTTGGAATATGGACAGATAACTGCTTTTCAGAAGACACCTTCTATGACATAATACATTGTCTGCCCGAGGTTACTGGAACAACTAGCTGGAAAAAGGTGCAAGACTTTGGCTCTTCAGTAGCCAGGATATGTCTGGTAAAAAATATGACATATAAGAACTGCCCTTACCAGGAAGTTGCTGTAATTTGTCATTTTGGTTTCTTAGTTTCACTAAGTTCCATGAGTTACATTTATTTGGCAATAGCTTTACTTTCTTTGTGGTGTCTGATGTCTTTTGTATATGTTAATTTGAATGACCAAATGTTTTGGATTGACCATTACTGTCTATTTGCTTTTTATCATGTCTCATTATTGTTCTTGTACTTTATTGCTTCACCTATTGTAACAGCAACAGATATTGACGTGAGAAGCTGTTTTTTTGTTGCAAACATAAATGTATTCGAGTAGGTCGTGAAGTTGTATAGCTATATCTAAAGTTGCTTGTGCTTCAAGTTTAATCTCATCTGCAACATGGTGATCCATCAGACCACCTGAAAAGGCTTTACTTCACACTAAAATTCTTCTGAGCCTCTTGTAAGGATTGTGCTACAGAACTTGAATTATGATTCAGGATGTCTGATTGTGTAAGTGATGAAAGAATGCATTAAATATGAAAACAAAATGGTTTCAGTGTCCTGTGATTGATTGGTTAGATCTGTGTGCTGATAGTCCAAGGCATTGATTGCCACTGATGCACTGCTAAATTTTTATGCCCTGAGATTTACCACCAGGTTCACCAAGAGTGTGCAAACACAGATTACGTTCACAAGAGATTTATTGCATTTGGTTGACTGGTTTTATTATGGTCTCAGACATTGTTAGCTGAAAACTGCATTTCTGAAACTTGAGGAGGGTGAACAAGTCTTGCTTTGCTCTTAACTTGCATCTATCCATGTCAATATCAGTACAGGACTGACACTTCTTCTAACATTACACATAATACAATACCTTATGCTTACACTTCTGGCCGTTGGCTAGATCATAGCAAGCATGCTTTTACAAGTGACAGTGGTGTATCCCTTACAGTGGTGTTGCGAGGCAGATAACAAGCAGCCATAATTATGATCGATTTGTAAGTCAGCACAAAATGCTTTTGCAGGAAACAATGTTTATAATTGACAATATGTGTTTTGTTAAAAGTTAGATGAGCATAATTAACCGTTTTGATGTCTGTTTTTTCCCATGTTTAAAGAGTGTAACAGCATACTGAAGACAAAATTTGATCTCAAATCAGTAAGAATGTTATGCTACACACTTAACCATTCAAAGTAAGATCATATAACAACAAGATCCAGTAAGAAACACTTCTCTTTGGCATTCAAGTGCTCTAACGCAAGTCATGTGGGGCCCTCATGACAAAGAGCTTTCATCAGTTTACCACCATCAGTGGTTTTTTGGCAAAGGTAGATCTTTCCTATTATTCAGCGCCACCAACTGTAAAGGGGCTAGTTGGACAAGACATGATTCATATGACTGGCAGTTGCTGAATGTACCACGGCTATGATTTCAGAACCTAACACCATCCTTTATAAGGAGCCAAAACAACGACAATTTCATTCCCTCACTGGGACTGAAGCCAGTGTGCATGCAGGATTTCTTTCCCTGGACGTGTTCAACTGACTTTACTACAACATGGGATCAAGGATGTTTTTGCTGTTGGTTCTTGCACTGCTTATATTTACTGATCACAGCCGAGGTACTGTATACTTTTTCAAAATGAGACAATGTAATGACTTCAAAAAGGAAGTTTACATCCTGTGCATTTTATTGTTTTGTTTTTTATTTCTTTTAATTTTCTCATAGGGGTTCCTGAGACACACGATCAATCCTTGATCGTCAATTTATCCGCTGATGGTATGTGAGATTAATGTTTAAAGCAAAAGTGGTTAATTAATATTTACTGATATTTATTTAGTTGTATTTGTACTACTTAATCTAATTGTTATTATTAAGTTATTTTCTTTTATGAAGTTTGATATAAATTGTGTTATAGCCTCTGATGTTGGAGAACCACTGACTACTGCAAATCCAGTCAACGCCCCAAGACAGAACCACCAAGAGTGCTGTAAAGGTAAACGCAACAGTATCAAGGGTATAGAGTAAACAAAGTATTAATCTGGTTATCATCTCATTAGTTGTTGTATATGTAAGCAGAGCCTCAGCATTAGTTGAGTGCATTATCCTAACCCATTCTGCTCGTTTGTCCTTGTGTATTTGGGTCACTCAGGAAAGGGAAAAGAGATGGTGAGTTGTCGTTGTCAGCAGTCTGCCAGACGCAACAATATCGGGCATGGAAAAAGTGAGTTACCTATAGTTTTTGAGATTTATAAAATAATAAAGTAAAAAAGTGAGGTCAGTAATAAGAAAGGGACTTCAAACTGATTTGTTGAATTTTATGGTTTTGGACAGTGGAATTGATAATTTTTTTTCTTCTCAAATTGCTTTACCTGTCTGGATCTATTCAAACCCCAAGTGAAAAGGAAGTGCCACAAGAAAAACAATAAGAATCTGAAGAAATGCATGGTTGTCAAACAGAACAGGGGTAACACCAAGAAGTATGGTCCCAGTGTCCCCATATGAATAAAACTGTACGGACTCCTTATATATGTGTGATGTTTATGCAGTGATCACTGTCATACATATTTCTTTGTGCACAAGTTATATTTTTTGTAAACAGCATTTATGACAATGTTTCACTATAAATGTTTCCATGACTGTAACTGTAACTTTCTGAATCAGCACAAAGACACTGTATCCTCCTCAATAAAGTAACCACAAACTCGATTGTGTTTATTGTTTACTGATTAATAAACAACAATACAATAAATCAAAACAAGACTTACATTTACTTTATTGTACTTACAATGTTATCACACAGAAAAGAAAAAAACGCAGGTACTTAGAATTAAGAATGGCAATTTATACCAAAAGAATATGGAGGTATTTCAAAGAATTATGATTTAAATTGTTTCCCCTTGTTAAACAGTGCAAGTGTATGTGTTTGCAAGTGTGTAAGTATTTTTATTAATCGCAAAAACAACAACCACCACCACAATAACACCAACACAGCTACTTTTACTTGCAAATAATGATAACATTTAAAATAAAAAATGCAATCAAATAATAATAATAATTGCCCTTTCACTGTCAGCGTAAATTTCACTATTCTATATTGTATTTTAATGAATATAAGTCAATTACAAGGAAATATAAAACAACAAACTATAACTTGACTATGTCTGTCACACTTTTACATTATTCCTTGCCTTTCCAGCAAAACCCACAAAACCTTTGCCTGTAGAGGGAGCAAGAGGCCTTTCAGTCAGACTAGACAGCAGGAGGAACTCAGTTGAACAGCGCAGTGACAGACAAAGCAACCAGAACCATCAACATCATGTTGGATGGGATGTGGAAGGTTGAGGCATGATCTAAGAGGGAGAGAGGGATGGAAACAATGACAAGATAATACAAGATAAATGGGTGTCATTCTGAGGGGAGAAGGAGGTTACATTTAGCACAACATGAGACATCTGTAATTGTATAGCACCTACTCTGATTGTCTGAGAATTAACTCACCGACAGTAAAGGCTTTTATCTCGTACATTGTGATATTGGTCACAGGGTTCTTCGCTTTACATGTATAGTTGCCCTCATTTTCTTTTGTTGCAGGGAAAGTGATAACAGAGCCAGTCTTTATAGCTGATGGCTGACTGTTTAAGAACCAGTCGAAGTCACAATCTGGCTGAGAGGCAGCAGAGCATGTCAGGGACACAGAAGAGCCAACCTTTGCTGAATCTGGACCCAGGATATGTACACTCAGAGGGCCATCTGCAAACACGGATAGAGAGCTGGTCAGAATTATGTTCAGTAAAATTATGAATACTGTGTTGCTTTGGGACAATTTTAGTCTAAAAAGTTTTTGCGAACAGCATTTAGAAAGCTTTCCAAAACACAGCTATTTCTGGCCATGTTATGCCAGTTACTATTACAGTAAATATTATACATACACTATTATATTTAACTAAAAAGTAAATATCACCAGCTTTAATATATCTGTCATTGGTAAAGATAGTAGTTATTGAGGAGGTGATGTATTACACCTGATTATACACCCGCATAATAATACAAAATGTCATACAATGTATTTGGGTTCAATAATTCATGCAACATTTAAATACTTCTTTTTTTATGAAACCAGTTCAAATGAACAAAAATCGTTTCTTTAATACTCTCAAATGTCACATTGTTGCCAAAGCACTCACAGTTCACCAGGAGCACATATTGGGGGCTTGCATGTGGACCAGCCTGATTGGTAGCGACACACTGATATATCCCATCATTGTACATTGTCACTGGAGTGAAGTGCAGCGTGTTGTTTTCAATTTCGTAGGACATGTTTGCTTTAGCTGTGGAAGTGTTGAGGTACATGTTGTCCTTCATCCAGTAGATCTTATCATAGGGCCCATTGACTTCACAGGTGAGAGTGAAGTTTTCAGAGTTTATTGGAACTGTGTTATTTCTGATCATCACTGACTCTATAGCCTCTGTGGACACAAAACACAGTAAAAATCAGTATTTGATCAGTTACACAGTCACATTCAGTCAGGGTATACGCAGATATATGGAGTATATACACCCACTTCTAAATCCCCTCTGATGTGCATCATTTAGTAGTGTTCTGCAAGATGAGTTTATGATGAAGGTATAGTTGTCTGATTTTCATGACTGGATGGAGCAAGGAATAAGGAATACTTTAACCAAAATGCATAATTAGGTAATTGTCTCACCCTGTGGTCTGTGGGACAGCACTGATTGCAAAATCTGCACCTCTTCTGTGTCTAATGTTTTTCATAATTTCATAATGATCTATCCTCACTGATATCAAGCAGCACAAGTTAAGTGACAATGTGCAAATACTACTAGCGGGTGAACTAAATTTGGAAGAGTATTCTTACATGTCACTGTTTATAACACAGGGAGTCTGACCTTTGCTGGAAAGGCCACTTTAAAAACAAATTTGGGGCATAAATTAGTACACTTACTTATCCAGGCACCACTACACCACTGGTCAAATGAAATGCATTGAAAGAGTCAAAATCGTACTTGAGGTTTTCTTACCAATGACTGTGAGCATCTTGACGCTTATGCTGACATTTTCTGTCACATAATTGGAGGCCATACAGGTGTATTCCCCACTCATATTGAAAGACAAAAGGCCAGTTGTAAACACTGAAGTATTGGCCACTGTGGAGTCATTGAAGAACCAGTGGTACTGGCTGGGAGGCACTGACTTAGCAGAACAGCTGAACTTTGCAGTATGTCCTGTCTCAGCAAAAGCTGGCCCATCAATGATGGGTGTTTCTGGTCCAACTGCAACAGCAAAGGAGACAGTAGGCTGTTATGGTAGTATATTTAATTAAATAACTAATAGGATGATGTACTACAGTATATAAAACTGTCAGTTAAAAATAGTCAGTGACATTAATCCTTAAATCCTTAAAGGTACTCACAGTTCACAAGAAGTTTGAAAGGAGGGCTGGTGATGCTCCAAACAGTATTAATTGACATACACTGGTAGTTTCCAGTATCAGTTTGTTCTAGTGGATTGAAGGTGACTGTCTTGTTGTTCATGTAGAAGACAGTTCTGTCGTTTTCATGCAGTGGCTCATAATTTTTCAACCAGTAAATATGCTCAGTAGGTCCAGTCACATTGCATGTTAAATTATAAAAATGACCTTCTATGGGAGGATTCATTGGTGCCTCCACATGTACCATTATTGGATCTGAAAACCAATCAAACAGTTATTTAGTTCACACTTGAATATCCAATTTTCCTCTTTTTACATTGGGAAACAAATGGCTATTCAAGACTCACCAATAACAGTCAGCATCGTGTACGCTGTGCTGTTTTTGCCAGTGATGTTGTTGTAGGCCATGCAGGTGTACATCCCACTCAAATCTCTGGTAAGGGGAAGTGTGACATACTCAGACGTATTGGCCACTATAGAATCATTGAAGAACCATTTGTAGATGCTGACAGGGTTTGATGAAGCGTAGCAGCTCAGTGTGACGTTGTCTCCTGTCATTGCCATGTTTGGTCCCATGATAGTTGGCTTCTCTGGTCCATCTAAGCATATGGATATTACCTTAAATCACCTTCATTGAAAACATGTTCACATGACTCATTCAAAGCAGAACTGTGAAAAATTCCTCCCCGCCATACAACGGATGTGATTTAGGGCAGAATACTCACAAAAAACCTGCAGTGTAAAGATTTCACTGGTTGAGCTGCTGAGTGGGTTGGATGCTACACATCGATAGTTCCCATTGTCAGAGGCCATGACAGGATCAAAGGTAAGGATGGTGTTGTCCATTGAGAAATTTCTTGTGTTGTCAGGATACAGTGGGGACCAATAATACATCCAGATAATTGACTCAACACTTCCAGTTGTCTCACAGATTAGAGTGAAAGTGTGGTTCTGGATTGGCAGAGGTCCGACAATTTCTATTGATGCCATGGTCACTGGAGCTTTGGAAATATAGAGAATAAAAGAATGGTGGAAATTGAAGTAAGTAGACTTACTCAAAAATATCTATGATTGGCTGTCTGGTTTGGTGATATCTAGTTTTGCATTAGACTAAATCAATATTGAAGGAATAATTTGACATTTTGGAAATTTTTATTTGCTTTCTTAGGTTAGAAAATATACACATTTGCATGCCCATTAAGTAAGAAGCTAAAGCAAGGAGCTTTTTAGCTTAGCTTAGACTAAAGACTGACAAAATTTGAAACAGCTATCCTGGATCTGTCCAAAGTTAAGAAAATCTGCCTACTAGCCGAACTAAGACTCAGTGACCTCTTGTCTCTTGTTTAATTCATGCATGTAAAAGTGTGAAAATTGCATGTTGATGTTTTTAGAGGTGCTGGTGGATGAATTTTGCAGCCTTTGGATAGAGCCAGGCTAGCTGTTTCCCCTTACTTCTAGTCTAAACTTAAGCTAACTGTCTTCTGGCTGTAGTTTCATATTTAATAGACAGATATGAGAGTGGTATTGATCATGTAACTCTAGGAAAGAAAGAAATGAGCATATCTTTCAAAATGTCTACATATTCTTGTACATTAAGTTACCTAAAACAGTGAGCATCGTGTACGCAGTGCTGTTTTTGCCAGTGATGTTGTTGTAGGCCATGCAGGTGTACATCCCACTCATATCTCTGGTAAGGGGAGGTGTGACATACTCAGACGTATTGGCCACTATAGAATCATTGAAGAACCATTTGTAGATGCTGATAGGGTTTGATGAAGCGTAGCAGTTGAGTGTGACGTTGTCTCCTGTCAATGCCATGTTTGGTCCCATGATAGTTGGCTTCTCTGGTCCATCTAAGCATATGGATATTCCCTTAAATCACCTTCATTGAAAACATGTTCACATGACTCATACAAAGCAGAACTGTGTCCACCAATGAATAACCTGACGCTAACAATCTGATGTTTAGTTCATTGCAGTCAGTATTTTTTTTAAATCTACTAGATGTGGCCACATTTGTTAATGTCTAATCTAATTACTCCTTAGTTAATGATTTGCTACATTTCTCTGAAATAATTTTGACTGTAATATTAAAGTGTTTGAAGTTGCATTTCTTCTTTGGTTTTAGTTAAATCCCTTTTTTTGACATATTGAAAAATTCCTCCCCTCAACAACGGATGTGGTTTAGGGCAGAATACTCACAAATAACCTCCAGTGTGAAGATTTCACTGGTTGAGCTGTTGAGTGGGTTGGACGCTACACATTGATAGTTCCCATTGTCAGAGGCCATGACAGGATCAAAGGTAAGGATGGTGTTGTTCATTGTGAAATTTCTTGTGTTGTCAGGATACAGTTGGGACCAATTATACATCCAGATAATTGACTCGACACTTCCAGCTGTCTCACAGATTAGAGTGAAAGTGTGGTTCTGGATTGGCAGAGGTCCGATCATTTTTATTGATACCATGGTCACTGGAGCTTTGGAAATAAATAGAAGAAAGTAAGTAGACCTACTCCAACATATGTATGCTTCCAGTCTAAACTTATACTCACTGTCTCCTGGCTTGAGCTTCATATTTAACAGACACATGTGAGAATGGTATCAATCACGCAACTCTTAGCAAGAAAGCAAATGAGCATATCTACCAAAATCTTTAACTATTCTTATACAGTAAGTTACCTAATACAGTCAGCATCACAGAGGCAGTGCTGTTTTTGCCGGTGATTTTGTTGAATGCCATGCAGGCATACTTCCCGCTCATATTTAAGGTCAGAGGTCCAATCTCTAACTTTGAGGTGGTAGCCACAAGGGAATTGTTGAAGTACCAGCTGATGAGGCTTGGAGGATAAGAGGCGCTTGAGCAGTTGAGGATCACCCATGTTCCTGCCAGAGCCATGGATGGCCCTATGATTACTGGTTTCATTGGGCCATCTTTTAATATCAGACAATTAAGTAGAAAAGTTCAATTTTTCAGTATTTCTGCTCGTTGTGTGTGTTCAGTATTTCATGTGCACAATACATCCATATGCAAAGAAAAGAGAGATAAAGAGGTAAAATACTTACAGTTTACTTTAACTGTGTAGGGGCTGCTGGTCATGTTGCTCACATAATTAAAAGCTTGACACTGATAATTTCCATTATCTGAATGTTGGACTGGGTTGAGAGTCAGTGTTGTGTTGCCCGTGTCAAATACTGTTGTGTTGTCAGCGGAAATAAGTTGACCGTTCTTCCACCACTGAATATTGTCAACAGATCCATTCACTTCACAATACATAGTGAACGGCTCATTAAGTAGTGCTCGTCCACCTGTATGATTTACCACAACTGCTGCTATTGGTGCTATAGAAGGAGAAGGGAATTTAAAGGGAATTTAAATTCACACATGTATGGGGTTGAGTGAATATAGTCTTGACATTTTGGGAAATATGCTTATATACTTTGTTGAAGGTTAGATGAGACTGATCCTATTCTCATATCTGTCCATTAACTATGGCTACAGCCAGCGGCTGGTTAGCTTAGTTTGGCATAGCTTAAACAATGGAAAAAGGGCAACACATTGTTTCCGCTTTTCAGTTATTTGCATAGATGAAGCAAATGATATGTTACATGTTAATTAGTTAGCCTCATTTTGTTATCTTCAGACAGAGTCAGGATAGCTATTTCAAGTCTTAATGCTAAGATAAGCTAACCGGCTGCTGACAGATATGAAAGTGGTACTGACCCTCTAATCTAAGTCTTGACAAGAAAGCAAATATGCATATTTCCCCAAATATCAATAATATAAACCTAAAATAGTAAACTCATACAAATCCAGCCTTACCCAAAATCCTGATCATTGCACTTGCACTGGTAAACCTGGACGTGGCTGTGTTGTAAAATAAGCATTGGTAATTTCCTGAGTGGCTCTCTGTAACCATTTCTAGTTGAAGCTGTGGGGAAAAATCATTTAGGTACACCCCATTAACCATCCACCGGATGATCGCCGCAGGGCTGGACTCCGCTGAGCATGACAGTAGGATATTAGATCCTGTTTTGTAGATGTACTTCATGGGCATGATCATCATTGTTGTGTTACTCGGGCCATCTGATGAAGCAACAAGAGTGTTTTAGGGGTTGTTGTTAGTACATACAATAGACCTAAGAATTGTCGTTAGTGAAAACTCACAGCTGATGTTCAGATGTACAGGGAGACTGATTTCTTGGCTGATTCCATTGGATACATTGCACCTGAAAGGCCCCTCGTCATAGCGAGTCACTCTTACAATAATGAGAGTGGCGCCTCCATCACTGAACTGTACTCCCCCACTGGCTGTGACCACAGTGTTGCCCTTCAGCCAAACATAAGACAGGGAAGACCCGTTGGCCACAGTGCACATGAGAACTGCTGTATCATTGAACTCCACCAGGTTGGTTGCGTTTGCCCTCAGAGTTACATTTGAAATAGGCACTGCGGAGAAAGGAAATAACAAGCCGTTTTGTGGAAATGTGTGATTGCAATGTTGTTTCCTCTCCAGATAAAAGGCAGAAGTTGAAATGTGACTTATATGGCTTGAACTGAAGTCTGATCGTCAGAAGTCTGAAGCCAAAATCTCTAGCAGAAATATATATTTTTTTATCATACTGAAAAAATAAAACTTTAAGTCAAAATGTCTTATTTATTTAATTTGAAGATTCAAACTAAGACCTGAGACCAATTTAGAACTCAGGCAAAGCTGACTCAATCTGCCTCAAGGTGACCGTAATAGCTACAGACTTGCCCTATTCTTTTCTCTTGCAAATTAACACTTGACAAACATAGCAGTAGACACTCGAACATCCAAATACTATCTGCTCATTGCCCTTTTTAGAATATAACACAGGAGAGGTGGAATGAGTGTCAGAGTGTGTAGATTGGACTTTGTTCAATATACATTTGAAGAATGTGAGCAAGTACATGAGAGAGTAAGTAAACATGAAAAGAGATAAAGTGCTCCTTACCTTGGACTGACAGTGTTAACTCAGAACGAAAGAAATTCAATGCCTGTAAAGTGTACAATCCAGAGTCTTCCACTTGTAGTGACCTTATAGTCAATGATGAAGTGGTTGAATTGAATATAACCCTCTCCCTCCAAGTGTCATCTATGATTCTATCTCCTGGGAATATCATCACAATGATATTGCTGTTGAACATCCATGCTCCTGTAGTAACATTGATCCGGCTGAAAAGTGTTACATTGCTGCCCACTGGCAAGGGGTTCTCAGAGGCATATATATTTTGGCTAATTGCAGTAGCTAGAAAAAGAAAGCAAGGGACAGACAATATTCAATAATCACCCTTAAATGGAGTTCATCCACACAAATATTTCAGAAATATTGGTCAAAGTACTTTGGCAAAGCAGTGAAATTTATTAAAGAAGCACATTTAAACTTAATATAACAAAACATATAAAATTAATTCAAGTTAAAACTAATTCAGCCTTACTTGTTTCAAAGGATATCGTGGCCAGGAGGAAGTAAAACAACACTGGACACTCCATTCTACTTCTTGAGTTTCTTTTTGCTTGGAAATGCTCAGCTAAATGGACTTGACTCTGTCCGTGATAAATTCAATCTGGTGATATTATATGTTCACAGCGGCTTTCTGATCAGCAAATATTTGCACTACATCAGTCCAGCGTTCTCTTCTCATTATGTAAATGCTTAACCCTTGCTTCTACCATCACCAAGCCACCTCATAGCCATGACCACACCTTGTTTTGCCCTGGCCTACCAGGGAATTTACCGGTATGCTCCAAGGAGTGTCCATTTACTGTAAAGCTCAGTTGTCCTACAGCTTTTGACCAACCATTGGAGAGGAGGATATTTTGTAAGTGCACTTCATGACTTGAAAGTCTAACAAAAGCAAGTACTCTGTTGATCCTCCCAACACTTTTTCCCACAATGCAGGTGGAATAACCACTGGGAAATTGGGAAAAGACTGCTAACATAACTAGTACAGTAAATCGAAATTTAACTTAGAACACTAGAATTAAACTCCTTTTATATATTCTTTTATAGTATATCACTCGTCAGTCCACCTCTGTACCAACAAATGTCTTGTCATTGGAGGTATTTGGTTGATGGCTGCATTCCTAATAACAATATTGGCAGGATTAAAGTGACAATAGACTGTCTGTCCCCTTAGATATTTATCTGTCTCTCTCTGAATGAAGAATGCATATCCTGTTTGGTTATGAACAAACCAAATACCAGTAAAGAATATACCAATGGTGTCTCTACAGGTTTTCCCACTGTCAGTGCTCATTAAATGGTGATTTTGATATGCTTCTTTGGAGCTCTGCCACTGAAAAAAATTAAGATTTCCTCACAACAGCCATTGCAACATGAAGGGGATTTTTAAAAAGATCTTACTTCAATAATGTGCAATTCAAGCAGATAACATACAGAACATGAATGACCAACAAAGACCTAATGGTACAATGCTTAAGAGCTTATGTAGTGGAATTTTACATAAAAATGTTTTGGCAGTTAATCTATCTGTACCTGATGTTTGAGTGTTTGAGTGTTTGAGGTATGTGGGTGTGGTTGTGTATTTTCTGCTCAGTTTAAGTACTTCTTATCAGCCAGCAATCATTGTTTGATTACATTAAAGCATATCAGGTCAAGGAGAAACAACAGTAATGTCCATATCACGTTTGCTTGAAATAATTTTTATTTTTTCAAAATTGAAGAAATGGTTTTTAATGCTGTGTTGAACACTTCTTAAAGGTTCACTGTATCCGATTTATTTCATTGAATCGGAGTCTGTGGACTGGATGAGCCACCAACATCTGTGAAAGAGAAGCAGTTATTCAAAGTTAGAATTACTGTATGAATGTCTTTATAATATATAGTCTTTTAGTGTGTAAAAAAACTGAATATGTTTGGGTTTTGGACTTGTTGGTGAATCTGTCATGATTTTTAGACCAAATTATTAATAAATAATTGTCCAAGTAATCAATAATGAAAATGATCATTAGTTGCAGCCTGTTACATAATTTATGCTCCCTGCTGCTTATATTTAACTCATTATACCATGTTCAAGACTTATCTGATATCTTGTAGAAATGACACCATTTCAAAGGGAACATTTTATGTTTTTTTTCTTTTCTGAGAGAAAAATATTACAGACTATGCAAAATCCATAAATCAGAATCAATATTATATTGGATTTATTTAAAAATGGCTATTCTACAACTTGCCTGGCAATTAGAAGAGGAATCCAAACAATAAGAGCAGAGGCAGGAGCCACACACTGACTGCCTGTTGTTCAGATCCTGACTCTGGAGAGACAAAGCAAAGATAAAGCAGAGTTGGCAACAGGTGGAGAAAGATGGGCTCTTATACTCAAACTCACTTGCTATCATGATGTGTGTGGTGATAGTGCTGTTCATGTCGGTGCGATTGTTGAAGGCCAGACAGGAATATGGACCACTTTGATCCTCGCTAACACTGAATAGCTCCAGCAATGGACCTGTAGTGTTCACAAGCTCTCCTCTGTAAGCCCACTGAAGCTGAGCTGGAGGATTGGACTGTGCTGAACAGAGCATGGTCAAGTTGGATCCAATTGTAAAGGAAGTTGTATTCTGTCCATTCACTGTTATGGCCATGTTATCTGGACCATCTGAGAAAGAAAACAGGCAGGAGGAGGAAGACATACCGCATTTTAGAGCTGTTAGTGGAACTGGAGGCAATTAGACATGGGGCAATTATAGCAGATTATAATTAAAACAACACTGCTCTACTCACAGCTGATGGTAAAGTTTACAGGATCACTGGTGGCATTACTGACAGGATTGAACACATGACACCTGAACGGACCCTGGTCATAGCGAGTCACATTAACTATAGTGAGAGTGGAGTTCCCATCAGTGAGCTGAACTCTGTCCATGGCTGTAACCTCAGAGCTGTGGTTCATCCAGAGGAAAGAGACGGAGGATCCAGAGGAGACGGAGCACGTAATGACTGCTGAACTGTTGAACTCCATCAGGTTGGTTTGAGTCGTCCTTAGTGTCGCATTTGAAACGGGCTCTGTGGAAGACAAATGATGATCTTTATAAAACTGTCAACACACTGTACACTGTTAGGCTATGTAGTCAACAAGCAATAGAGGAACAGCATCCATACAAGAAATATTATATGTTAATGTTTCAAAAGCCTGCGCTCAGTGTCCACTTTATTAGGTGCAATTGTACAATCAGTTGAATACAACAGCCATGTTATATTATCATTACAAAGCAATTACATTGATAATATTACATATTATATTGTACTGAGAGTTTTTTTTCAATTTGCGTCCCTCCATTTACATACATTTGAGTTTCATGGTATTAGAAACACCTCTGTATACAGTGTAGTCCAGTTCAGCACCACCTATGAATTACCTAAAATACTGTTAAAACTTCTATGACAGTGTCAAATAAACCTTGATAATACAGACTTCATAAAAGTAGACTTTTAATTTTTACTTTTAACTCATAATACAAATGCTGTATTTGCAATAGCAGACCACAGACTTGATGGCTTATCTGAAAGAAAGCAGTCATTAAGAAATCATTAATAATAAAGGTTCTGTGCATGAAAATATTCCTTAAATTCTGCTGTAAATTTGTAAATGTTAATAAGTGGATCATATATATTTATTTTTGTCTGGATACTCTTTTTCTGTAGGGTGTAATCATAGCTTATAGAGAAGAAGTGTTATACTAAAAGATAAACAACCAGAATCACCACAGCCTGACAACTAAAATGAGGCTCTTATTAATGATAATTACTGATCTGAAAGAAAAAAAAAACTATTTATTAAACATTAAAGGTATTTCTTTCAATGTATAAACCATCTAGAAAGACTGCTTTATGATAAAGACGTAACATAACTTTGTACTGTACTTTGTGTGTAATTATCAAGTGAAATAAAATGCAAAACATGGTATATACATCATTTACATACAATATAACAGATAAGCAGATGTGTTGGGAGCCACCGACCCAGAAGAAACCGACTCTGTGAAACTGAAGGAACAACGTAGAGTGGCCAGATAGAAAGATGAGTGTTGACAGATACAGACAAGAAGACATGAGCAAAAGGGCAGCAAAACCAAAACACACACAGGCTGGTTGCAAGCAGTATTCAAGTTTGCTAGTTGTCACTCCAAATATCACGAGAATGCCTTCCAGCCCTTTCTGATAATTGTTTAGGGATCCTCATTTTTCATTACAACAGGAGACTGTTCCAGTATAAACAAAGAATCTGTGTCTGCCTCCACACCTCTATGTGTCTAGCTGTATTTATTCATTGCAATGAATTAATTATGAAGACAGTACTCAGTTTCTTTTATGGCTCCATATGTTTGTTTGTTGTAAATACTTATAATATAATTCTTGTTCTTGGTGATATTGTTGTTTGTTGTCCACATATCTTTCGCTCATTAGATTTATGCTTGTCCTGCCTACAAAACTTATTCTATCACATTTTCTTTGTGCCTTTATAACTGATTTCCTTGTTGACTGTACATTATTGTACATATTCTTTATTTGCTTCCCTGTGTTATTCAGGTTTAATAAATAATAATAATAATAATACATTCTTAGATTTAGAATAACAATTAGCAACAGAATGAAAAAAAATAATACTCTTACATTACACAAGCATGACAATCTTTAAAGAACAAATCTTTTTAAGGGAATAGGTTTATATGGATTACAATGGAAACTACACAATGTGATTCATCACATACAGTATATTTACTCAAAATAGCACACAGTCTATTCAAAGCCTTCTTTGAATCACCACACCAAATGAAAGTTGGTAATATGGATAAATATGATTTAGGCAATGAAAAATGACTAAGGCCTCAAGTTTCAAGCATTCACCAGCTGAAGTATCCTTGAACAAGATACTCAGTCTGCAAATCTGAAACAAATGCTGCTAATAATGAAGAATTATAACATAAATGTAGTGGGATATTGCTTTTTTTAAGTTGATTACCATTTTACTTTTCCAAAATATGACTAAAACTGGGACTATTTTAACTCCATATTTCAGTTCTTGTTGCTGCTCACCTTCAATGATATTTGGAAAGTTTACTATCTGCTGGTTTCTAATAATGTTTAGGAGTTGTTTTAGAGTTTCTAAATGATTAACTATTGACATCAGTCACTCCCAACCTTGAATATTATCCATTTGTTTAGTCTTACCCAGAACAGTGATGGAAACATTGGCCTTAAGCTGTGGGTTAGTGCTCTGCACTATGTAGACTCCTGAATCAGCCACCTTGACAGAGATCAGAGTGAGAGCTCCAGTGAGGACGTTGACTGACGCCCTGCCGGTGTGACTGGGGAAAACTGCCTGCTGGTCCCCCAGCCAGGTGAGGATGAGGGACTCTCCCACTGCCCAGCTTCCACTATTCAGAGTTGCAGAAGGAGAAAGAGACAGTGTCACTGTGCCCCCGACAACAGCAGGGTTGATGGAGGGCTGGACCTCCACAGCACCAGAGGCCAGAACACCTGAGAAAGAGAGCAACACATGTTATTTACTAAAGTCACAAAAGACCTTTATGCTTACATTTTTACTCGTATAACTATATCATATTCACAAAATCAGTTATAACAGAGCCTACCATGAATTAAAGCCAGCAATACAATAGCCAAGGTTCCCTCTCTTTTCTTATCCATTTTGTATCAATGTTCTGAGGATGTCCTCACTATTTCAACCTCTAACTCTATATTTGTGCAAATGTCCAACCCCCTACCCATAAATACCCACAGAAGGTATTCCAGCTCTTATCTGCAGGTGTTTCTGGTTATTTGGTGTTCACTCTTGTCAAACTTACAAAAGGGGCATTACATTTTTCGTTTGCCATCTTGGGTGAAGTTCTGTAAATGACCAATGAGCAAAATGACAAATTATGACAGATGGTATGTGAGGCAGGACTGGGGGGGGTTGTGGGTGGTGTTATTAGTCCAGTGTTTTAGGAATCACAACAAATTTTACGAATTGTTCGGGAGGTTTATGCAGTTTTTTTCCAGCCAGTGTCCTTTCTATTCCTGCTCTGGCCCTTTTTTACTTATTGGGTAAGGGAAATTATCTTGGGGATTTTTTTGTCTTTCCACCCCTACTGTCGAGAGTTTACGTGTACTCATGTGACACTTTCAGCTCTGTTTTTTTTTTTCTGTGTGTGTGTGTCAAAGAGAACGATTTCCTATCGACTCCACTCCACATATTTCCAGCAGCTTTATACTCAAAATGAATACACCTGCACCTGCAGCAGCTTTGTATCACATGTTTACTGAGAATGTCTATCTGTTCTGTTTTGTGTACTCAGTCTTACAAGAAGTGACACAGCGACCAATGACAAGTCTTGTTTTCACTGGTGCAAAACACATAACGAGATATGACAGACCGGCATATACATTCGCATTTTCACAATTCAATCACTGTACCTCTCATCTGTTTCAGACTGAAGAAAGAAATGCTGTCATTTCTAACATTATATATTGAGAAGGCAAACCATTTCCACTCAAAACCACTCTGTAAAGACCTGTTGCATTGTTTGAGTGGTGGTGGTGCAAAGTTCAGTACCTGAGCACACCTGTGTTTTGTCTGATACACGGGAGGTAAGATTGATTGTTATTTGTATAGCATGAGGGTGAGTAGGAGTACCAGCATTAAAAGACAGATATTCTAGACTCTGAAAATTTACCTTTTGATTACTGAATTTAAGGATTTATCACCAGGCCTCAGTGTACCTAAATAGTATAGTATTTATTCTAATACTTAGAGAATGTATATAATAATTACAAAGAAATGGGCAGTTTTCACTTTGACACTTTGTGTTGTCTACTAAGCAGTGTTATAAAAAGTGCTGAAAGACATAGTAGGCAAGTCACAGTGTAAAACTACAAATAAAATACTGCTCTCAACATGTTATACATATTAGATATTAGAACCGAGATATATTAAGTAAACAAGCACCAACGTTTTTTTTTATAGGGACAGCTGAAGTGAAGAGAGAGAAAGGAGAGAGGGCGTGACATGCAGCAAAAGGCCACAGACTCGAATCGAACCTGGGCTGCTGTGGTAAGGCCTCAGCTTTAGTACATGGAGTTCACGCTCGACCAGGTGAGCTACAGGGCTCCCACGCTCTGTCATAACTCTGATGTATTGTGTTTTGAATAAATGTAAATTCTGTTGCAAATATGGATGCAAATATATTGTGAGGCATCTTAGGAATAGAAATGGTTTTATTAAAACAATATTCTCTGGCCTGAGCTCTAAGGTCATGAGGCCGGCAGCTGCTTGATTCACTTGTGACCTGGTCTTTGTAATCCAACACCCTGACCACAGTAACCACATTTTCCAATGAGTGAGCAGAATCCTCCCTCTGTGCTTTCCAATAGGGGCCTGAGTTTGTCCTGATAACACCTTGCTATTGTTAAAATGTATAACAATTTTGACAGATGTAGGTATGACTGCTTGTTTGGCTTGATGAATCAGAATCCACAGTTTTTTACTCATGCATTAATGATTTCAGGTCAGATTATGTCTCATCGCAAACTTGGAAGTGTGAACTGTGAAGTGTGTGCAATTTTGTATAATGTATGATTAGAGTTATTTTGTATATTTGTATTTTTTTGTATATAAATCATTATTTATTTGACATGCAGGGATTTTATTAATTATAATACTGATTATGAAAAGCTCAATATAATTCCTTTTCTTTTTACTTCTCATGTAACTGAAAGCAGAGCGATTCTCTTTGGAAAGAAAACAGCTTGCCATAGCCAGACTGAAGAGACAAGAAAAGTAAAGCAAAAGCAGTTTTGTTTTTGTTTTTCACTCATTTTTCCTCAACTCATTTGTCATAATTTGTCTCCATCAACAGGGGCCACCAAACTCCCTCTCGATGGTTTACTGATTATGATGAATGCTGTGGGGTAAACAGAGATTACTTAATACTTAGTTGTAGATAACTGATACATGTTTTCCATTATTATTAATTATGTCATAAAAAAGGAAAAAGAAATACAGTAGAGATATTTACTGTGAACAGTCAGTATTAATGACGTTAACTGTTAATCATAGATATTATGCCATACCGTTAGTAGCAGTGGAAAGTAACCGAGCAGGCTACATGTACTCAAGTACTGTAAACTTTTAACCTTTTGTCTTTCCGCAGCACTGTGTGGGTGCTTTCTGTGCAAAGGGTCATCAGCAAAATGGCAACACCTGGGACTGGTGTGTCAGTGCTTCTTTAGTACTGGCTCTCTCTCTCTCTCTCTCTCTCTCTCTCTCTCCTCCCTGAGACATACATTTGGTTTTGCTTTTTAAATTGTGTTGCTGCACCATACAACACTGCACTCACCCACTTCTCCACTCATCCACTCACCTACACCTCTGACCCCACTGATTTTCACATGTTACTGTTGGTTTAAGTTCTCTTCTTAGTTTCATTCTTTTCTTGAATAAATAATTTGCCGGTTTGATCAGGAGTTCATCACTTCTGAGGTACTTATGCTTTACTTGAGTATTTCAATTCTCTATTTCTGTCTTTATACTAAAGACTAAAAATGATTACTAAAAATTATTTATACCACAAAATATAATCAACAGATAAGTATTATAAGTATTATTATAGGTTCAGATAAGACTTATTTGATTCTGGGGGGAAATTTCAAGCTACCCAGCTGCAACATTAAGATTATTAAGTACATTAATGAATAAATAATTGGAATCCAAAAATTTAATATATCCTTTTTCTAAAATGTATGTATGTTGATGCCTGTATCTTTACCCTGTATTGATACTTCTACTATATATGTATATATAGATATATTATAGACATAAATGTAAATGAAGAAGTTGACTCTGCTCTGGTGTGGAATGGCAAACCTTTTTTTGTTTTGTTTAAAATAAACAGTATAGTTTTAAATATTTTTCTTGTTTTGCTTCCCCATTCCAACTAAACCGCAATGCAAATGTATGAAACGGGTGAGATAACATACAGAAAAAAAGAGAAAAGAAGAAAAGAGGACAGATTATATTGTTGCGTCACATGAAAGCAAGACACACCAGAGGCCTCTGTCTCCCTCATCTGTTTGCTCTGTGTCATTCTCTTATCTATCTTATTTGTTCAGTTTCAGAGGGGTAAGAGAGCCATTGGCGTGTCATTAACCAGAGGGGATTTAAAAAACACATCAGTATAAATGAGTCAGCTCCTTTCTAGTAAATCAGTAACACATCCAGGACAAGTCAACGTCTTATGATCCTAAGTTTTGTAAAGGAGGAGGAAGTAAGACCAAGAATAAAGCACCATTATTAACAAACAGATCAGACACACTCATTGGATTATACTTTAAAAATACAGAATTATTCACTGGAAAATACTGTGGAAAACTAAAGAAGTAAAAATGGGATTGTGTCAGTTCCCCTGGCTTCATAAACATATTTTTATTTTGCATCATTACACCCCTTTTTCGATCATCAATATATCAATACACAATATAACATGACAAAAAATATGTAAAAGATGAAATAGACAAGAGAGGGAAACTCTGTTTTAAGTTAAGTTAGCTTTGCATGGAAGTAGCCAGTAGAAATGTCCTTCAGAGAAACCTCTTTTACTTTTATACTTTGAGTTACACATATCTGTTATTCTACTTCTTCAGCACTTTGGTCAACTTTGGTTGTTTTAAAGTGCTTAACAAATAAAGTTGGATTGGATACTGTCTGTATTTTTGAAAAAGTTCCTTTCACAGTTGGTAAAGATGAAAAGTAAAAGGCCAGGAAATAAATTTCCAAAAGGGTAAATACACTCATTAAAGCTTAATAGATAAAACAAATAAACAGCTCTATGAATTAAAAAGCACCAGTAGTCCCAGGCTGAGGACCACTGCAATAAGTCCATTGAGCTGCATCGCTCCTGATCCTGAGAGAGGAATACCTGGGAAAAGATGACAAACAGTAAAAACATGATTTAACATGTATTTTGACACTGATGTGATAGTAGACACAAGAGCACATACTCAAGAGCTGTCAGTACCTTTAACTTCTACCATCTTAGTGACCTCAGCAGAGCGTCCAACAGCTGCATTTTCTGCAACACAGGTGAAGTTTTGGAAAGTACCGGGTATAGAAGGGGTCCACTTGAGCTCATTTTCATGGACTGAAAAGTAGGTTCCAATAGGAAAGCCCCCCCTGAACTGCCATTTGACTGTACAGTCCACATTTAAGGTACAGCTCGTCAAGCAGGTGAATTTACTCAATCTACCTGGAAACACAGCATCAGGTCCGCTGATGCTGATGTTCCATGGATCAACTACAGAAGATGAGAAGAAAATGAGAAAGTTCACTCCAGTATGTGAATATAAACTCTTCTGCCTTAAACTTAAATTCTTCACTTTATGAATACTTACAGCTGAGTAGAAAGCCCAGGCTGAAAACCTTTGTCTGATGCACCGTAGGCACATAAGCCTCACACTGGTAGAATCCAGCATCAGAGGGCAACAGTGAGTCAAAGTGGAGTAAAGTGTTTTGCAGCAGCTGCATATTGTCACGCAGGGTCACTTTCTGTCCATCTTTGTACCAGACCACCTGGTTCCCCAGGCGTGAGGGTGATGAAGCATCATGGCAGACCAGATCCAGTGACTGGTTGAGAGATGGGACAGTGTGTGGTGGACTGATTTGAACAGACACTCGATCTGCAACAGAGGACGCCAGATAGAGAGTATTTCACAATCATGAAACAAAGAAGAAGCACACACATCAGATGTAACACAGTTTATTATTACATCAGTTATGTGTCTCAAACTAATTTTATGGAGATAATAATGAATTCAGTTGATATTTGACAAAGTTGTAGTTGTGGAAGACATATTCAGATCCTTTAACCTAAATAAGAATACAGAAGAGTAAGCAAAATGTAAAACTTGTCCCCGGTGATTGACATATTATTAGATTTTTAATATTCAGTCTAGTGGATCCAAACCTCTTTGATGGAAGCTGCTAACACCTCAACTTACATGGATCAACCTTATATAAGGGTTCACAAATCAAAAGGGTAGGTAACCCACAGTTTAATTATAAAGTTTATCCATATGTTGTTTTATCTAAAATCTAAAAAGTGTCATGTAACTAAAAAATGTTGTGGAGTAGAAATATAAAGTAGCATTAAATGGATATACAGAAGTAAAGTACAAGTACCTCAACATTTTACTGAATTACTCTCCCCCACTGCACAACTGGTACGGCAAATAATCTGCTGGACTTACTCTTAATTTCTACAATGGAGGTTGTACTCCTGGAGAATCCTGTTTCTGGATTGAGCACATTGCACTGTAATTCCACTGTATTGTCCCGTCCATCTGGTGTCCAGCTTATTGTGCTCCCGTTGGCCGTGCGGCCCATAAAGGACCAGGTGTAGGTGCAGTTTGGGAAGCAAGAAGAGGAACAAATGAAAGTGGTACTGAAACCAGCTGTCACCTCACCGGCCCATGAAATCTGCCCCCAGGCCTCCAAACCTGGTGCACCTGAGAGAGAAGAGGAGTCAGTATGTCTGTATTAGACCATGTGTGATGTACGATTTAGTTTCCCCTTCTCATCAACCTTCAATTTCATTCTACTGACGCATCATTTATTATAGGTTCTTACTCTGGCTGGGTCATCAATGCCTGCCCAGGTCAATGAGGTCTTGTACATAGACTGTTTTCTATTGTGTTTTCTTGGCAAGCTCTAATCTGCAGTTAAATTTTTTTCTGTGGCCTAATGTAGGTTACATTAATGGTCATATTTCTGTATTTTGACCCAGAAAATAAAAAGTAAAAAGAGTATTGCATGAAACAGCCTTGTTTAACACCGGACTTTACTTGATGATGAAATCAATGAAATTAAGCAAAGGAAGTTTCCCAAAATCATGACAGGAAATTAGTCATAACGGTTTATAGGTGTGACAGTGTTTTTTTATTCTACAAATATGGATTAGTGTAAATCAGAAAAAAACAAAACAAACAGTGACAACACAAATAGAAACAGCTGTGTTTGTTCTGGACAGTTTTGTCAGAGTATTGCATGAAACACTAGATGGCGTTGTCTAACAGGAGTTTGTCATTGCTTGTAGTTTCTGCCTCTTTCAAAGCAAGATGTACAGTAAATGGCCTGAATTGGTTTTTACTACAATGCCCTCCCATCCTGTGTGCCTCAGGCCTGTTGATATAAAAATAAATCATCTGTGTAGGATCTCTTGCTTGAATCTCACTTAACCACTGTAAATGCTTTCCTACTCTTCCCTACTTCCTACATTGATCATTAAACTGATGACATTTGAGTCCTATTACATTAGAGATTTACTGTGAACTATAACGTGAAGCACACCTAAGAAACTGACCCATTATAATGTTGTCTTTCAGTAATGATGAGTATCACTTATGACTCATCCCCCTCCCAACTGTCACACACTAAGACCCGTAATAAATACTGTCCAAACAGGTGGGCTTTTCTAGTGAAAGGCTTTTTATAGACAAAACAGTAAACATTGATGTGTGAAAACTCTAAGAGGCTTGTGGGAGAAAATATTAAGCATTTTTAAGAGTATAGTCTTTCTTTAACTTTTAGACATTGAAGAATACCATGATTTATGGCTTTTGTTCATTCAGACTCCACCTGTACTTTGGAACGCTGTTACATTATATGACTGTGATGATATTTGTTGTTTGGTTGTCACAGCAACATATTTAGCCACAATGGACTTTCCTGTAAATTTTAAACAAATTTTAATTAAAGAAAAGCAAATCATCTCATCATTGTTTACCTTACTAACAAAAGAAGAGGCAAATTAGGAAAACAAAATACAGGTTAGATGAGAAATGGCAAATTTTGTGGCCATGTGATCAATTCTAGTTTTGTATAGAGCTGTGGGTTCATTAGCTGCAGGATTTTAAGGTTGTTGGGACAAAATAAAAGATATCTGTGTCCCTGTCTGAGTACTAATGCATTACCCCAATGTGTTAGGACAGATTTTGTTTTTCTGTTATATATTTTAACTTAAGAACTAATGTCAGTGTGTTTATTTTTATTTTCTCTTGTAGAGGTGTCACTGTCATATGTGTGTTGTATTTCAACTGTATTGTCAGCTTAGTTACAATCAGTAGGGTACATGAAGAGCATATACAGATTGGTATCACATTACAAAAAATAAACAATTAGCACAAAACCATCAAACTTTTAAAAAATAAGGTTTTTAATTCAGTCCCTGAAGTAACAGTCCATGTAAAAATCAGCAGTGAGTAAATTAAGTGCTCTTACCCATCAGTGCCACCAGTAAAACACTGTAAAGATTCTTCCAGTTTGGTATCATGTCTCTCAATGTGTGTTTAAACAAGAACTACAGTATCTCCTTTTTATACTACTGTCAGTTAGAGAGGTTATCACCTAAAAATATTGCTAAAGCATTATTAATTTCAGCCACTCCCAAATTTCACAGCCTTGTTTAACACCGGACTTTACCTAATGATGAAATCAATGCAATTAAGCAAAGGAAGTTTCACAAAATCATGACAGGAAATTTGTCATAACGGTTTATAGGTGTGACAGTGTTTTTTTAATCTATAAATATGGATTAGTGTAAATCAGAAAAAAACAAAACAAACAGTGACAACACAAATAGAAACAGCTGTGTTTGTATGAAACACTAGATGGCGTTGTCTAACAGGAGTTTGTCATTGCTTATAGTTTCTGCCTCTTTCAAAGCAAGATGTACAGTAAATGGCCTTAATTTGTTTTTACTACAATGCCCTCCCATCCTGTGTGCCTCAGGCCTGTTGATATAATAATAAATCATCTGTGTAGGATCTCTTGCTTGAATCTCACTTAACCACTGTAAATGCTTTCCTACTCTTCCCTACTTCCTACGTTGATCATTAAACTGATTGTGACATTATTTAGCCTCAGGAATGTGACATTTGAGTCCTATTACATTAGAGATTTACTGTGAACTATAACGCGAAGCACACCTAAGAAACTGACCCATTATAATGTTGTCTTTCAGTAATGATGAGTATCACTTATGACTAAGTGACTTATGACTTATCACTAAGACCCGTAATAAATACTGTCTAAACAGGTGGGGCTTTTCTAGTGAAAGGCTTTTTATAGACAAAACAGTAAATATTGACGTCTGAAAACTCTAAGAGGCTTGGGGTGAGAAAATCTTAAGCATTTTAAGAGTATAGTCTTCTTTTAACTGTTAAGACATTGAAGAATACCATGATTTATGGCTTTTGTTCATTCAGACTCCACCTGTACTTTGGAGCGCTGTTACATTATATGACTGTGATGACATTAGGTTGGCACAGCAACATATTAAGCCACAATGAACTTTGAATGGCTGTAAATGAAATGCAGTGTCATTTTCTGGAAATGGATTTAATTTTGCATACTATTTGCCTACACCACCCCTCCCCCCTCTGAAACTAAGTAGTAGTACATTTTCACTGAAGATAGACTCTTCTCTCTGTCTCTCTGGACTTTTTCCCCGTCATTTATGATTCACTGTTAGGCATTGTAAATAACCCACACTCACAATCTACTGTGCCATTCTTTGTCCACTGTATTTATGGAAGTACCATAAACTTTGTAAATATGAAAGCAAAGACAAAAACAAGGTATTGTAGAAACAGACTCTAAGAGGAAAAGAAGCCACAGAGAGGTGTGTGGATATGCACGTGCAATGCCCAAATGTCACAAGTGTTATATACTCTACAAATAAGTTACTGAAAATAAATAAAATAGTTTATTAATCTAAATAAGCAATCAAATTATTACAAAAGCAACATTTCCACCCTGAGAGTTACATTCATTACATTATTTCTGGTCCAACATTAATCACTCATTCACTTGTGTGGCACATGACAGTAAAGGAAAATCTATGTTCTGGTTGAAGGGTTGAACAGAGGTAAATAAATCATGATACAACACAATTCAGTACAAAACAAGAATCTCTTAAAATGCCCTGAGTTACCCCCTTAATTTAGCCCTGAGAACATATTGTATTATGCCTCAAATATTTAGTTATTTTCTAAATTTCAGGAGCAAATCCATGGGATCACCCCAAACATGGGAATAAATAAATGAATGGATTGTGTGCATAGTTGAAGGAGTTTTATGGGGTGAAAACTCATTAAAACTGCCCAAAAACCATGAAAGCTACCCCTACATTTTCTTAGAAAAATGAAAGCCTTTAAAGGTACAAATCATGGGGTGGTTTTCATGGTCAAGTGGATCCATTAACAATTCCTTAATACATTATAATCCATTCACTTATCCATTAATATTCATTCAACATTTGGCATTATTAATGGAAGTGTAAAAATGAAGGGATTCAGTTTCATAGGGAATAAAGTGGGGAAAAGTTTGTTAAACAATGCTTCCCTTCAATGCAGGTGAAATCAACCGTGGAAAAAACAAACAGGCAGTTTGACCTTTACTAAAATTAACTAATGGGGGAGGGGAACTGTGGCCAAACCCTCAGAGATTCATTAGCTCGAGTTTGAAGACTAAATTCTGTTCCTCTCATTTGTTCTGACACAATCAATGTTTTGAAAAGAGGAAATAAATAAAAAAGGAACAATCTATTTTGTATAACTCTTTCTGACCCTTGTAGTTAGACTCTTTACAGTAGATCATTGTGTTGCTGGTCAACAATAAAGGAAAAGGCATTGATGAAGCTATTGATTGAAGACAAATGGATGTCTGCCTTTAACTGAAGCCTAAATAAACCCTAAAATGAGAAAGACAATTTCCATACTTTTTCATTTCATGCGATTGTTGTTTAAAATAATATCAGATTTACAAGTTCTACAACTCTCTACTTAAAGCAGCTATAATCAATATTTTTAAAATAACAATGTAGTGAAATGACAACGTGAAAAGAATGTGACAAATGTGAGAGGAGTCATGAACCTACAGAAAATTATCTCCTACAATCGTTGGTGAAGATTAAAATTATACAGACGATGCTGTAAAATCTTTTTGTCAATCGTAGGTAACGATTTACTCCTCTCTAAAATAACTTCTTTAATAAATTTTAAATAAAAGATTAAAGATAATAAATGAAATTCTTTAAAATATAAATATCAGTGCAAACATACTGCATCTAATGCCTTAGGAGAATGAGTGTTTGTCGCCATGTAAATTTACTTCTATTTTCTATACTGCACTGTCTCACTTAAATATGACTTCCCTGTTGGCTCAACCTTTCACAGAAATATGCTGACAGAGAAAGCCTCTTATCATGACATCACATTACAACCTTTAGTGACATTTACCATAAACCTGTCCTGAATTACTCTGACCGTCACTTACAGGAAAAGATAAAGATATCTTTTGATGCCACAGTTTCCGCCTGTAAGACTTAAGACATTTATTGTACCTGTAGATATCCATCAAATTACCTATACCTCGTGGACATTTTTTTCTCGTTGTTATTGCTTACTTTTGTGTTTTGGATTGTAGACCTCGCCTTTGTGAGATGATAAAGTTGATGGTTATCATTATGGAATGAAATTACAAAGATGTATATCTGCATTGATCTTTAAACTATTCCGAGGTCATAATAGGTTACTGTTGTAATGACAAATTTAGCTCAAGCTCTGTTGATGTCAAGGAGAATCCATCTCCTGAAAAAACACCACTGAAAGTTAAAGGACCAGTGTGTAAGATTTAGTGGCATCTAGCAGTGCAATTTCAGATTGCAACTCACTGAACACGTTCTGTGACGTGTATAGTAGAAACTACGGTGGATGCAAAACTTGTGGAAAACACAACAGGCCCTATCTGCAGCCAACTTTTGGTTTGTCTGTTCTGGGCTACTGTAGAAACATGGTGGTTCAACATGGCAGCCTCCATGGAAAGAGGTAAAAACACAACGATTCCTATATTCAGGTGATTATACACTAATGAAAACATACTAGACCTTTGAATATTATTACATTTCTGCCAGTTGGTCCTCCAAATTGTTACACACTGGACCTTTAAATTAAGTAAAGTTAAATAACAGATACTTTTCATTTAGTAAGATGTAAAATAAATGAACAAAACTGAAATCACACAGCATACATGTGGTTCAAATATGATATCAGCAGTGTCAAACATTAAGGCTCAAGCAAATAACTGAATCACACACAGAACGTTTTTCCACTTATATATATATGCACTTTTCATTGAATGTACACACACAAACAAAGGGATAGGGAAGGTATTACATTGTGCCTGCTAACCTCAGTCATGGTGATATCTGTCTACTGGTTGATTATTAACCGCTGCTAAAGTGCTTTGGCCAAGTAAACTCCAAATGTGCCCTCTACATAGGAACTGAGAGGGAAGTGCAGGTTTCTCTAACCACATGTAAGCCTATCCATCATATCCAATGTGGTCAGTTCTTGCGAACCTGAGCGTACGTTTGTGCACCATTAGCATCAGGCTGAGGAGCTAGCCTCTTCATTCGCTGCTGGTGTGCATCATAGGTGGGAGGTGATGATGTTGCAGGGGCATTGTTGTGCACACGAACCTGAGCGTATTCTGATGAGTTATTCTGTACCCCCAGCTGGACTGTCCCACCATCTTTGTTCCTGACAAACTTGATATCTGCATAGTTCAGCTCCTACAAAAGAAAAGGTGAAGGAAAAATAATAGATGTTCACCTATGTTTTAAATTCAGTATAATCTAACATTTCGGTTGTATCACATTAGATAACGTACTAGCAGGTAAACAAATATCTGATTAATTTAGCCTCAAACAAGAAAAACTGTGTCAAACTGTTGTATGGGGGTTATACTCTCTTAAGTCAACTGAATATCTTCTTCCTGGTTCAAAGTCTGATGTTGAACACTGTGGTAAACACAGTCTGATAGATCACAGGACAGAGGAATCAATGATGCAAACCCTGATCACAGACTGGCCACTAATATATTATGGCCAACTATAAAAAGATAAGATGAACCTTTATAGAACACCAGCTGGGAAGTTCAGTTGTTATCCAAGAAGCACTCACATTTAGGATTTTAGCAACTTGTATTTCTGTCAAACACTGGGATTTTAGCATTTCATGCATATTCACTTGCAACTTACTAGTTCATTACTAATTTCTTGTATGGCTCTAAATATCACTATTACAGCTGTTAATAATAATAATAATAATGAATAAAGGCTTGTGTGAACTGCCGAAAAAATCTTTCACCATTTGATGCTACTAAATTATAGCAATAGGGCCATACCCTTTGCAGGGAGAACTGGTTCGCGGAGACACAACCTGATTTCTCTGAGTAACCTGGTTTCTTATGGGAATGTCAACATGATTTTTACCTGATTTCCTGAGTATGCTGTGTTGTCCTGGCCTTTAAAACATGAGAAATAAGCAATGCTTAGAAATAATTCAATCAAGAGAGTAAAAAGATGCTGTGCGAACACACACACACGCACGCACGCACACACGCACGCACGCACACACACACACACACACACACACACACACACACACCTGTAACACACTCACCCATTGCGATGGTAGTGTTTCCATTGGAGGATCTCGACTTTCTGTTTTGAGAGGTAAAAGGTCATTAGTATGTAGATTACACATAGGAGAGGCATTATCTGCCTTTAACAAAATAACATAATAATAATAATAATAATAATAATGTCAGTATGTATACTAGGTAACCAGGTAAGTAGTTAACATAAGCTGCTTCAAACTACATATCAGTTTTTATTGCCATATTTGTGTGTGTCACAATGTTAGAAGCTAAAAAATAGAGCCTGACATCTACACGAAAAACAAATAAGAAAACAATTATATCCATTTATTGGTAATTCTATCACAATCTTTAGTCCAAAAATTTCAAAGACTTTCACACTGGGTTATGTACAGTACAGAGTTTGATATTTATACTTGACCACAACATAATGTTAAACAGTGAAGGTGTACAGGGTCACAGTCCGGCTCCACTGGGAAATATAAGTAAAAAGATTTAAAGTCAAAGCTAAACTAAGGCGTCATAGAAAATATTGTGACACTAGCAAAAGCAGCACATAGGCAAGTTAGCCTTTGTTAAACATCAACTTTCTTCAGGTTGAATAAACAAAGTTTTACTGTCATGTGGTTCTAATTCCACTTTTTTTATCTGCTCACTTCACTTGCAATATACTAACTAAGCCTCCCTCCTGCCCTGTAGTAACTCTTGTGTGCATCCGCTACGCTACCCCGCCGCCTGCACACATGTCCCAACTTCTTCATTAGCCTTCCGATATATATACCGACCCATTAATTTTGCACCAGATGTCTAATGCGCTTCCACCTTTCCAGTCGTCAACCCTGCCTGCATGAACCCCTCCCTGCTTTTTGGACTTTTATCTCTTTGTCTGATACATAACTGGATTCGTTTGCCTACCTTCCTTGCTTGTCTGGTATTGACTTTTGCCTTTTTTTCTACCTGACTTACTTGAGTCATATTCTAGGTCTCCACTTACTTTTTTTTATAAACGTAGTAGCATACAGCAGCAGCAACTGCTCCACAGACGACCAAACATGCGATCACTATTCCAGCGATGCAACCAGCCGAACAGCCTGATGATTTGTCTGGGAGAGCTTAAATAAAAAAGGGGATAAAAACATGTTTTTTAACAACATACTCTAAACAGGAACTGTATCACCATACCTGTAGATACAAAGCACACAATAATATCTCCCTTTATTTCACAACTTATAAATACCTATTGCTATTCTTCTATGTTAAGAGTGAAGCCTTGAGCTTTTTTTGGTTTGAGTTGCATTGTGGGTAATGTAGTTGTATTGTGGGTAAACTCTCCATCATGAGATAGAATACATAAACATTTTTTTTTACTAAAGGTGGAGTTTTGCATTCAAGCTTAAAATAAATCTACCACATTTGAATAGTGGAATGAATTTGTAGAAACAACCTTTGGGGAGCCTATTACTATTCAAATGATCAGGGGTATAATACTGTGGGTTTATTTAAAGGAGTATCAACAAAGTCTACAAACACCATACCTGTTACAAACAATTCATGCACCGCAACTGATGTTTTCTCAGTTATATTGTTGGTGGCGCGACAGGTGTAGCTGCCACTTTGAGAAAGGTCAGTGATGATTTCAGTGAACACAGCAGAATTGTGTATCTCTGCTCCATTCAGTGTCCAGATGTAACTAGCAGACGGTATGGACTCAGCAGAGCAGGTTAATGTTAAGCTCTCATTAAGATGTATCTCACTTGGACCTGTGATCCGAATATTTTCTGGTCCATCTGAAAATACACATGTTAAAGAATATAAAGCTTGTTCAATAATAAATAATAATAAAATCATGTATTACAGGCCGACAAAAAAGATTTCAGCAGTACACTGCAGTGTGAATCCAATAAATAAATTATTGGATTTATGGCACTCATTATTTTGAGAGTTTGTTACTTACAGTTAACAACCATGTTGAATGTAGCTTCCTCACTGTTGATGGGATTGCTGACTTTACAGGAATATTTTCCTTTGTCTGATTTCTTTAGAGAGTGAAAAGACAGCACCCTGTTCTCATCATGAAGTGTTATGTTGTCAGCCAGGTTCAAATCTGAGCCATCCTTCATCCATTTTCTGGTGGAGACGGAGCCAGCAGCCTCACAGGTTAAGTTGACAGGGTTCCCCTCAATCAGCCGGTTGGTTGATGTGATATTAACACCCGAGATTTTCTCTGTTGGAAAAAACATCATGGACTTTGTGAGAAAAGGTGAAAACAGGAACAAAAGTAACTGCATTACTGAGGATTGACTGTGGAAATAAATATCCTAGTTTATTTATGGTACATTCATTTTAGAGTTATTTCAACATTTACAGTTTTGAACAACCTGTACCTTGGCACTTAATTGCAATCAGTTTTTTCAGCTTAGTTTATCCTACAGTTAGCTAGTTGGACGCCCCTGCCTTGCATCACTTTTGGCTAGTAGAAAGCAGTCGTTTGCTTTGTGCATCACTTCTTGTTGGCTAAAATCAACACTGTTTGTCATTATACGTTGGTACCGCAATATATACATAAGCCAACTAACATCCTCTAAGACAGTATTTTGCTAGTGATAACATTAACAAGCAAGTAAGCTAAGGTTAGCGGGCCAGCTGCAACACAGCCACGCTGAATAACATTATCCTGCACCGGCCACCTGCAATGGTAGCTGACAAGGTAGCTGCAGCCAGATCAGCCTATGGTCAGGAGTATGGATGAAGCTAGCTGACAGTACTTTAGTACACTAGCTAGCTAGCAATTCTGCTGCATTATCAAGGAAGCTAATCTTAGCCAGATGAAACCACAATATCACAATATATTTCACATGTTGTTCAGTAATTCCAATTATATGCTAATGTTAGCTAGTGTTGCACAGTGTTGACTGAGCGGAGAGAGAAGGCACTCTGGAGTGCTCCACATCCATTGGATTTTTACATTTTACATACATTACAACCTGTTCACACAAACAAAAAAGTTATTGATACATAAAAACAATCAGAATCTTATATATGGACCAGTGTGTATGGATTCAGTGGCATCTGGTGGAGTAGCAGATTGCAACCATTTGAATACAGCTCAGCCTTCCAAGTGGCTAGGAGAAACAATGGTGGCCGCTGAACCTGCACAATCTATCTAGAGCGTTTGGTTTATTCTTTTTGGGCTACTGTAGAAGTGGCAGTTCAACATGGCCCCAGTGAAAGAAACCCACTTCCTCTGTAGATAAAATCGGCTCATTCTACAGTAACAGAAATTAAACCATACTATTATATTCCATTTCTGCAGATCCTCCTAAATGTTACACGCTGAATTTTTATAATAACAGCCTAAAAAAACAACTGACATGTAAAACATGAGAAAATGGTGCCTACGTCATTCTCCCTCTGTGGCCTTGTTTCTTGCAATTTTGGTTGAACAGCTGCAACCTAACACTTTACAGCATTACATCACACAGGACTACCACTATATCTCTATTCTGTCTGTGGTTCGGCCATCTAGTAGTGCCACCATAACTGCGGTGTAAGTCACAGTGACTACCCGTGCTGACAGAAGCACATTTGTGATGTACTGTGTAATACTACTGTAGAACTACTGTTGGAGCAGCTGATAACTGCATAGGTTCTTCCCGATTTCCTAGACATCATTATAAAGGTAACGTTTAATAGAAAGTAAAGGAAAAAGTAGAAAACTATACACTTCTGACAGCTTGCATTCAAATGTTATTTACTTCCCGTACTTTCTTGGGTTTGTGTGAATTGCACTTTTTGCACAGGCTTCCCACCTTCAAGTTGCTTTAAATTCAAAGACGTTTAAATGTTAAATTTTTTCTGCAATCCCAAAGTATTTTTATTATTATTATGTAATAATATGAAGGTGCACTGATTTGAGTACACACGTTGCCAATACAATTCAAACTTACCCAGTACAGTTATAACTGAAAGCTGAGATGTTTCATATCTCAGAGTTTTGTTGTTAAAGGCCTGACAACTGTAGTTTCCACTCTGATTCATCTTAATGTTCATCAGTCTAAGTTCTGGTCCAGTATCAGACAACTTGTCTCCATTTAGAAACCAGTAAAACAGGGCAGAGGGTGTGGAGACAGCTGAGCAGGACAGTTTGATGTCTGATCCTTCCTCATAGTATTGTTGTGACGGAGATATTTTCAAATTAATATTTTCGGGGCCATCTACAGCGTGCGGCAGTAAAAAAAAAAACACAACATCACCAAAAAAAATGTTAGCAGCTTGTATAAAATGCCACATGACGTGAAGCGTAGCTTGGTGTGATGCCTCATTGCTCAATAGTGCAAGCTGCATGCATATAGTGCAAAATAAGGAGACTGCACATGCAGGTTTGTAACTCACAGCTGATGGTGAGCTTTACTGGATCACTGGTGCCATTACTGAAGGAATTGAACACATGACACTTAAATGGTCCCTGGTCATAGCGGGTCACATTGACTATAGTGAGAGTGGAGTTCCCTTCAGTGAGCTGAACTCTGTCACTTTCTGTAACCTCAGAGCTGTCGTTCAGCCAGAGGAAAGACAGAGAGGATCCAGAGGAGGAGCAGGACAGACTGACAGAACTGTTGAACTCCACCAAGTCTGTGCTGTTTGAAGTTACCATAACATTGGCAACAAGAGCTGTGGGTTAAAAACACAGTGGTTTTATATTCACCACCTTTCATGCTTTAAAGAGGTAGCATTGCTCAGTAGAGCAATGTAGAGAATGGGACTGAAGACTGTTTTAATGATCGACCCACTCTGCATGTTTAATTATAACATCTTATTCTATCTGATGCTTAGTACGTGCTGCAATGCTTAACCAGTGTTGGGTGACCTTAGAGAGTTAGCTTGCCTAATTAACCACAACCACATTCACCATATAAACATAAGTGTTGAACTAGTGAGTAATTGTTAGATATAATAATTGGACTGAATGGCAATTACATCACTACAAAAAAGTAGTTTCTTTACAGTAATACAGTTTGGTCACAGACAAATAATGTGCCTTTACATAGTCACTGTATTTGACAATGACTTCCTCAATTTGTGTATTGGTTATATTTGCTTTCCACAACTGTTGCTGTGCTACGAGCCCATCCAGAAAGTAACTTGGTACAACCTCAAGTATCTTGTGTGTAAACGTATGTATGTATAGTTTATTTTTTGTTCCACAAATGTTTAGGACCTTTTTATCTGATAATATCACAGGTAACTGCATAAATCCCATATTTTGTATCCATATTTTCTTTGTACATACCCTTTTATTAAAAACTTACCCAGTACACAAACAACTGAAGGCTGAGATGTTTCATATCTCAGAGTTTTCTCGTTAAAAGCCTGACAGCTGTAGTTTCCTCTCTGATTCATCTGAGTGTTCGTCAGTCTAAGCTCTCGTCCAATATCTGACAGCTTGTCTCCATTTAGAAACCAGTAAAACAGGACAGAGGGTTTGGAGACAGCTGAGCAGGACAGGGTGATGTCTGACCCTTCCCCATAGCATTCTTGTGGTGGAGTTATTGTCAAATTAATGCTTTCTGGGCCGACTGAATGTAGGGGAAAAAACAGCAAAAAATAAAAATAAAAAATCACCAAAATGTAATGTTAGTTGCATTAAAAATAAAAAGGCAAATGGGATGCAGCTTGAATCATTTTGAGGAATTCTTACTGATTAGTATGAACAACTGCATTATTATATAGAAAAAAGGAAACTGTACAGGGTAATGTAATAGAACAGCCATGCAATAAACTGATATATACATAGTAGAATGATTCCGTTCGTTCGACACAGGGAACAAAAAACAAACAAGAAAACTAACAATTCTTCTTACTAACAATAATTTAAAGCAGGGGTCGGCAAACTTTTCGGTATGAAGTGCCATTTTTAAATTTTCTTGTTCATCAGTGTGCCATATTAAAATTAAGTTTAATTATGACACCACATCAAAATTTATTTATTTCATCCATATAATGTTCCTATAACCAGGACATTGTGATTAGGGCTCCACGATATGGTAAAATCATAATAGTGTGATTATTTTGACAGATATGGCAATTATTTATTATCATTTACAGTTAGTGTGTTAATGATCATTTTTGCATCACAATTCAATTTTGACAGAAAAAGCTATTGCAATCATGATGGGAAATTTCTTGGGGGTCTGTACCAAACAAACATATTTTCTTACATCTGGAGAACAAGATTGCAGACCAGAAAATATCTGCAGCGCTACAGTACTTCATTATAATTGTGGTTTGTCACACATTTTATCAAAACAACTGCAGCTTCTGCGATTTGGATATTGCACTTGTCTGTATCACAATTTTAATAATGTTTGGGTTAATTGTTCAACCCTAATTGTAATTATATAAGAGGGCACATGGATGCTGACATCTTCATAAAACATCCACATCCGATTTAAAATATACAGCCAATGGCTGTGAAAGATGTAATGAAATGCATATGAGAGGGCATTGGAACATTTCGCAAAAACTCCCTTGCACACACTCAATGCCACTGGGTAAGCTACCATGTGCCAATGGTGGCACTGGTGCCTAAGGTTGCTAACCCCTGCTCTGAACTCTCTGTGATGTTTGCATGCAGTTGTTGTCAGATAGAAGACTGAGCATGCAGGTTAGTAACTCACAGCTGATGTTGAGCTTTGTTTGATCACTGGTGCCACTACTGAAGAGATTAGACACAAAACACTCGTATGGTCCCTCGTCATAGCGGGTCACATTGACTATAGTGAGAGTGGCGCCTCCATTAGTGAGCTGAACTCTGTCACTGGCTGTAATCTCAGAGCTGCCATTCCGCCAAAGGAAAGACAGAGAGGATCCAGAGGAGGAGCAGGACAGACTGACGGAGCTATTGAACTCCACCAAGTCTGTGCTGCCGTGAGTTACTGTTACATTGTCGACTGGCTCTGTGGGTGAAAAACAAACTTATTTAATATTTGCCACCACATTACAAAGCCACAGTAGATGGACAAACTGCACTTGTTTCCCAGGTTTCACATGACATGCAGAGGTTTGAAGCAACAAAGTACAAATACTTTGTAACAAAGTAGTACTTTGTAACTGTACTTAAGTAGTTTTTTCGGGTATGTGTATTTTACATGTGTATTGATTTTTCTGACAACTTCTTACTTTTAGCCCCATACAACATTTTTAAACAGATATCTGTACTTTCTACTGCTTACATTCTGAAAACAGGCTTGTCACTTTAGTTGAGTGAAATGTGTTTGAGGGGAATTATTGATTATACTTAAACAAGAGAAGGAGACTCAAACCTATTCGAAGTTATTTTTGTACAGATACAACCAGTAGAAATTTCCTTCAGAGAAACCAAGAGAGTACTTTTTTAAATTTATACTTTTATACTTTGAGTACATTTCAGTACCTGAGAGAGAGAGAGAGAGAGAGAGAGAGAGAGAGAGAGAGAGAGAGAGAGAGAGAGTACTTTTTCACTTTTACTTGAGAAAAGACGTTGAATCAGAGTCTTTTTTACACAAGTATCTGTACTTCCCCTTGAGTAAAGAATATGTCCTTCAGAGAAACCAAGAGAGTACTTTTATACTTTGAGCACATTTCAGTACCTGAGAGAGAGAGAGTACTTTTTCACTTTTACTTGAGAAAAGAAGTTGAATCAGTATTATACCCCTGATCATTTGAAGAGTAACAGGCTCCCCAAAGGTTGTTTCTACACAAGTATCTTCCCCTTGAGTAAAGAATATGTGTACTTATGAAACCTCATACGTGCTGTTGAGTATTCATTGCTGCACCGTCAAAGTTTACACAAGATCCTGCCAAAATGAACAAGGAACATTTTCTCATGATAATACAGAGACCAAAAAGGTAACTTGGGGCTTTCCCAAAATACTTTGCACATATACAGAAGCTTTAGTTTTTGTCGATATTGTGTCAAACTGGCATTGATTTAAAGGACAATTCCGGCGCAAAATGGACCTGGGGTTAATAACACATGTTTATGGAGTTGGTCCGGTCTCTGGGGTATGTTTTCTTTCTAATCGCACGTGACCAGTTTTAGTACAAACTGCTAATTAGCTTATAACGCTAGTCATCGGGGCAGCGGGTAACGTGAAAAGAAAGCTATTTCTATACCACTAACAAGGCTAGCGATTAGAAAGAAAACATACCCCAGAGACCGGACCAACTCGGTACACATGTGTTATTAACCCCAGGTTCATTTTGCCCCGGAATTGTCCTTTAACTCAGTGGTATTTTTAGGCTGCAGTTGTTGGTGGTTGCTTTTTAGAAGCTATTAGAAGAAATGAAATATAATATTCATAGGTATGTTTTCTTCAGTTTATAAACACCTGAATATAGGAATCGTTGTGTTTTGGTTACCTTAGAATGAGCTGTTTATCTACAGACCCTGCAGGTGGCCTTCCATGTTGAACTGCCAAGTTTCTACAGTAGCCCAGAGTGGACAAATAACAAATACACTGACTATAGATAGGGTATAGGGTAGAATCACACCCACCGTAGTTTTAGAATAAATAAATATGCACAGGTACTCAGTCCCAGGTTGTAAAATACAGACACGAGCGGTGTTCGGTTAGTTGATGACACTAAATCCTACACACTGGTCCTTTAAAACTTGAATAAATAACTGATGATACAGTCTCAACAAGAGAATAAATTAATATGCACAGACTATACAGGTGTACCTAACTCCAAACTCGGTGTATCCATTAGGTCATATACCTTTTTAACAAAATGCTGATATCAGTGGTTGAAGTCATACCAATAAACATAAGGATTTAATTCAGTGGTTTCAGTGGCCATTGAAATTATTCAAATCTCAGTTACGATGCAGTTATTGGAAGACTTGGAAACTTAACATTTCATCATGAGTGAGAAACCATCTATAATATTTGAACAGAAACAATATTTATTTATTTCTCAACTTCTATGCATAATCTACATTCAGCACTTAAAGTGTGAAACATTTGCTCACCATATACTTTGAGTCTTGTGTTTCCATTATTCTGTAGTCCTCCAGTAGTTATAATAAAAACTATGTATTCTCCACTGTCACTAAGAGCCAGATTCCTGAGCTCCAGAGATCCAGTAGATGGGAAGTAGGTGATTCTGCCTTCATACTCTGGTGCTGTTGTGTTTGCAAAATCGGAAGTGATTATAGGTCTACTACTAAATCTCCAGCTCACTGATATAAATGGCGTTTCTGTTGGACTCAGTGTTGTGGTGAACATCACCTTCCCTCCCACAGTCTTAATCAGAGGACCATCTGGCAACACACCAGCTCCTTTGGTTAAACCTGGAGGAGACAGTTACAGGTCTGAGAACAACTCTGATAAGTTGAGTACATTGCAAAGTGGGCCACTGGGACAATAACCTTGATCACAATCCAAAAACAAAAACACATAGCACACTGTTGAACTCTTGACACATTTCATAATACACTGGTATGAATGTCTACTGAAGGGTAAGACACAGTTATAACTTTAAGGTGGTTTAATCATTAGCTTTTGAAGCAGATTACATTTAAGGCCAGACCACGTTATGGAAAGTTCAGTTCTATCAGAACAGCAACCGGCACAGTATCAGGATTTTGATTATTACGATTGGTAATAAATCTGATATTTTACGATATTTATCCTAAATTACAAACAGTGTTTGTCACAGAAACATAAGGTTTGCTTCTTAATTTTTATCTAAACTCCTTTCAAACAACCTTTCAGCAGTTCAGAAAATACAATACAGAAAATGTATTTTAAACGACAGCTGAAAACTTATTTCTTACCCGTAAAAAACGCAGAGACGATCCAAAATAAAGGTAATAACTCCATTGATCTTTCCTTGTGAAAGGTTGAGGGAACGTCAACCATCAAACTTTGACTGTCCTAATAAATGTGAGCCTCTGGCAGCTCTCATTATATGGCTCACTAACCTAAGTTACCTACGTGTTGAGTTATAAACTGAGTCCATAAAGAGAAACACCCACTCATACTGCAGTCATGGCCTAAAGCTGCAAGACGTCGCCCTCTTGTGGTGTTATTGTATTTGTATATCGATGGACAATCAAAGGAAGTGGTTTTATTAATCCCACAGGCAAAAAGTGAGATTAGTAAACAGGATAAATCTGGATAGAATATCTCAAATTCAAACGCTTTCAGCTCAAACTTTGACATAAAAGCCCGCAACTGTCTCTCTCAGTTAGTTGTAAGTTGGTTTCTGAATTAAACTAAATTATATAAAAACAATAGAGAGAAAGTTGAGTTTCCAAAGACACAGAATGTGTCAGAATGAATTTTGAGGAAATTATAAAATAATACAAAGAGCGTATTGACTGTTTTCATTTTAAGGAGTGCTAACATATTGATGTTTAACAGTTCTTCACCATCTTAGTTTAGTTAGTTAGCAAAATAAAGTTTAATAATTAGCACAGATATTCTACATAAACTACTCTATAAAATTTGATTAGGAGTTACTCATTAACTGATGGTTCCCTAGCATTTAGTTCCTCATTCATTCCTCACTTGTTCCATGGTAACAACTCAAACGTTTTTGTCCCTTATTGTAAAGTATCACTGGATTTTCTGGATGCCATTAATGTTGTTTATTAAAATCTCAACTTTCATTTTCAATGCAATCCATCAAACACTGTATTAATGAAGCACATCAGCTGTTAACAATGGCTATGTCTTACCATCAGGAACACGAGGGGATAAAAGTTTGACTGAACTATATAGCAGGACAAACCTGCTATTGAATTTCATGTTGTCACCTCACTACCGAATACCCCACAAAGCAAACCCAGAGTAAGGTCACACTGAATTAACCCCTGAATGTTTAGTTATGTCAGATTGGGATAGTCATTACTACATGGACATAATGAATATATATAACTCCCTCCCAAGAAATACTCCTGTTGTCTTTTTTAAAAGTTGCTGCGTGCGTACATTGTTAATCATCAACAAGGCGGACCTTGTTGATCATTTGGTGGAGTACTTCCTTGTACTGTCTTCCTATATTGAAGTCAACATTCATTATCCTGATGTGAGCAGTGTGATCATCTTTTCTCTTGTCTTACCTGATGATACTGCAGATCCAATGGAAATATCTGTGATACACTTTATCATCCTGGGAGTCGTCTCAGGTGAGCTCTTACTACTTGATACAGAAGATAAAAGCAATTATTTATTCCAAATCCAAAATCCAACTTTATTTGTTAAGCACTTTAAAAACAACCAAAGATGACCAAAGTGCTGTACAGGAGAATAAATAAGACATCATAAATGTAAACAGTGATGCTAGGGTGCCTCAGGGCCATCAGCTGGTCGCGGATAAGTATTTAGGCGACGTGAACAAAGTAGTAAGAAAGTAAGAAAAGAGTTAAAAATATCAAAAAACACACTGCAACTACAACAATGATAGGAGCTGCCATAACAGGCTGCCGATAAATTATCAATTATTATATTATTATAATTTCCGGCCCTCTATTCAACTTCCTCTGTTGTCAAAAATATAATATAATCCTGCCCTGAATTTTTTTTTATTATTATTATTTCTAGATGTTTGACATCAGTTTAAGCCACCTCTTCATATACAATTACAATAAAAATGCAATTCTATTATTAAACAGTGGATTAGTTTGGCAAAAGTCAAAGGTTTAAGGCATTAATTTATTGTTTGGACAAAATAATTGTTAATAATGGAAATATTTTCTGTATATTGCGCTTTCTTGTAGCACTTGAATTTTTAAGATGAGATGAAAATACTAGCAATGGCCTCAAGCCAATTTGAGTTTGAGGCCCCTTTACATAGACACATTAATCCACAGATTGTGTGGATGGAGAAATCCCTGTTATGTATATATCCCTTTCCCTTGTTAGACAATGAAAATTAACAAATGGAGCACTTAAAAAAAGGCAATTCCCAACACAATGCATTACATTTAGTGTGTAGTGTAATACTGAACTCTCCTCTCAGACTTTTCTGTGTCATGTAACTGTATGTAAATGTAGTTTGATGAATAATATGACTTCTTCTACCACCTTTAACTTATTTGCCTAACTCAGACACTTCACATAGCAGATGCACTGTATTTGAACAAAAGGCTGTTCTATCCAATCCAATCCAACTTTATTTGTTAAGCACTTTAAAAACAACCAAAGTTGACCAAAGTGCTGTACAGGAGAATAAATAGGACATCATAAATGTAAACAGTGATGGTGATGATGAAGACCACTGTGAGGAATATAGACAGTGATGGCGACAACACTGGAAAGTTCCCGTGGCAGACAACACGGACGAAGTCCGACGGCGACGAGCTCGATGTCCGGGCTGCAGACGCTCTTTCACACAGACGTGCCCGGCGTTAAACCACCTGTTGTTTATGAGCACGGACAGTCCCCCTCCTTTCTTCATGCCGGTCGCGGTGGTGTCCCTGTCGGCTCGAAACCCTCTGGAAGCCGGGAATGGTGACGATGGAGTCCGGTATCTGCTCGATGATTGCAGGGATGTAGAGTTTAAAGCTCCTCTTCTTCATCCTCCGTTTAACCCCCGCTCTGCAGCCTCACCGTCTCCTCCTCAGCTCCTCCGGTATGGAGGGTCTCTCTCCGGTCAGGATGCTAGGGGGCCTCAGGGCCATCAGCTGGTCGCGGGTGAAAACAATGCGACTCCTCGTCGCCATGGAGACCAGCGTAAACAAAAAATAAAAAGTGCTCAAAAACGCCAAAAAAGTATTTAGGCGACGTGAACAAAGTAGTAAGAAAGTAAGAAAGTAAGAAAAGAGTTCAAAATAGCAAAAACACACTGAAAACACATTAAAACTACAACAATGAAAGGAGCTGCAATGACAGGCTGCCGTTGTCGCCGGCGCCATTCCACACCACACATATAATACCAGACACATACAGACATTATAACAAAAGACAACAATCTTGTCAAACTGACTTACTAAATAATATATTGATAAACCAGAATTATTGATAGTGAAAGTGAAGTACCTCCAAGTGACCTCCTTTTGCTGTGGATTGAAACTATATTTCCTCTTACGATCAGTCAGAGAGAGGACACTTGAGGTTTTGTGTGATTGTGGTTTTATTAAGGATATTGTCCCAGTGGCCCGTTTTTCAATGTACTCAACATTATTCTCCGACCTGTAACTGTCTCCTCCAGGTTTAACCAAAGGAGCTGGTGTGTTGCCAGATGGTCCTCTGAATAAGACTGTGGGAGGGACGGTGATGTTCACCACAACACTGAGTCCAACAGAAAACCCATTTATATCAGTGACCTGGAGCTTTGGTGTTAAAACTATAATCACTTCAAATGTTGCAAACATAACGGCCCCAGAGTATGAAGGCAGAATCACCTACTTCCCATCTACTGGATCTCTGGAGCTCAGGAATCTGGCTCTTAGTGACAGCGGGGAATACACAGTTGCCATTATACCTCCTGGAGAACTACAGAAGAATGGAAACACAAGACTCAACGTATATGGTGAGCAAATGTTTCACACTTTAAGTGCCGAATGTAGATTATGCATAGCAGTTGAGAAATAAATAAATATTGTTTCTGTTCAAATATTATAGATGGTTTCTCACTCATGATGAAATGTTAAGTTTCCAAGTCTTCCAATAACTGCATCGTAACTGAGATTTGAATAATTTCACTGGCCACCGATGCCACTGAGTTATATCCGTATGTTTAATGGTATGACTGTAATCACTGATATCAATGTTTTGTTAAAAAAAAATACGATCTAATGGATACACAGAGTTTGTAGTTTGTTAGGTACACCTGTATAGTCTGTGCATATTTATTTGTTATAAAACTACAGTGGGTGCAACCTACCTATGTGTTGTACCCTGCTGCTTTTGTTTACATTTGGTTTCTTTTATGAGGGTTTTAGTTAACAAATATATAAATTACTACTGATGTGAGACCAGTTGCGTTTAATATAGTGAAATGTATATTTGATATGGAATTTTCCTGTGTTCTGAGCAGTCCTTGAACACCTCCTGTCGTATGTTTTTGTTGTTTATTTGAATATTCAGGTATCAATCTGTCATTGTCCAATCAGGGTCTATTAGAGATGAGTGTGGCGTAACCTACCGGATTGTGAGAGGGCGGGGATTAAGAGAGAAACGGAGGAAAAACGACAAGAGAGAGTGAGAGAGAGACGCTGTGCTGTTCATAAATTTATGAAATATTGTTAAAGTTATTTTATTTCTTTAATTAAAAAGCCGAGGGACTGTCGCCACTGGACAGAGGTTTTGAACGAAACAAACAGCGTTTCTATCCAGTGTGAGTATAATCAAAAGGATCTTCATATGAGCTCCAACTGCGCGCCAGCATGCATGGTATCATAAATTGAATAGACTAAAAACCCCGGGTATTTTCTTTATTTTACTTACATTTTATTTGGGTCATGTTGAATAAATGTTACCCTATTTTTTTTGCATTGAATCTGAGTGTGTACTTATAATTCATGTTGCAAATGGAGTAAAAATTGTGTTTTTATGATTTAAAAGGAATGTGGTTATTAAAAAGTATGCATGGGAGTTAGCTGAACTTGGCCTCTCTGCATCCTAGTGAAAATCAGATTATCTAGTCGAAGTAAATGTATAGAAATTTCATATTTAGTAGGCTCCTACCAATTCACCACCCATGCTAAATTGTTTAAAGGTAATCGAGGTAACCATTCTGTAACGAATTAGAATTGAGTGGGAGGGCTACATATGAATATTATATTCAATTTCTTCTAATATATTCTAGAGAGCAACCACCAACGACTGCAGCCTACAAATACCACTGAGTTAAATCAATGCCAGTTTGACACAATATCAACAAAAACTAAAGCTGATTTTTTGTATATGTTCAAAGTATTTTGGGAAAGCCCCAAGTTACCTTTTTGGTCTCTGTATTATCATGAGAAAATGTTCCTTTTTCGTTTGGCAGGATCTTGTGTAAACTTTGACGGTGCAGCAATGAATACTCAACAGCACGTATGAGGTTTCATAAGTACACATATTCTTTACTCAAGGGGAAGTACAGATACTTGTGTAAAAAACAGACTCTGATTCAACGTCTTTTCTCAAGTAAAAGTGAAAAAGTACTCCGTCTCTCTCAGGTACTGAAATGTGCTCAAAGTATAAAAGTACTCTCTTGGTTTCTCTGAAGGAAATTTCTACTGGCTGTATCTGTACAAAAATAACTTCAAATAGGGTTGAGTCTCCTTCTCTTGTCTAAGTATAATCAATAATTCCCCTCAAACACATTAAAACTTAAGTGACGAGCCTGTTTTGAGAATGTAAGCAGTAGAAAGTACAGATATCTGTTGTATTGGGTAAAGAAGAAAAAGTAAGAAATTGTCAGAAAAATAAATACACATGTAAAATACACATACCTGAAAAAACTACTTAAGTACAGTAACAGTACCTGTAGTTTGTTACAAAGTATTTGTACTTTGTTGCTTCTAACCTCTGCATGCCATGTGAAACCTGGGAAACAAGTGCAGTTTGTTCATCTACTGTGGCTTTGTAATGTGGTGGCAAATATTAAATAAGTTTGTTTTTCACCCACAGAGCCAGTCGACAATGTAACAGTAACTCCCAGCAGCACAGACTTGGTGGAGTTCAATAGCTCCGTCAGTCTGTCCTGCTCCTCCTCTGGATCCTCTCTGTCTTTCCTTTGGCGGAATGGCAGCTCTGAGATTACAGCCAGTGACAAAGTTCATCTCACTAATGGGGGCGCCACTCTCACTATAGTCAATGTGACCCGCTATGACGAGGGACCATACGAGTGTTTCGTGTCTAATCCCGTCAGTAGTGGCACCAGCAGTCAAATAAAGCTCAACATCAGCTGTGAGTTACTAACCTGCATGCTCAGTCTTCTATCTGACAACAACTGCATGCAAACATCACGGAGAGTTCAGAGCAGGGGTTAGCAACCTTAGGCACCAATGCCACCATTGGCACATGGTAGCTTACCCAGTGGCATTGAGTGTGTGCAAGAGAGTTTTTTGCCTTCTCATACGCATTTCTTTACATCTTTCACAGCTGTTGGCTGTATATTTTAAATCAGATGTGGATGTTTTCATTACACTGTACAGTTTCCTTTTTTCTATATAATAATGCAGTTTTTCATACTAATCAGTAAGAATTTCTCACAATGATTCAATCTGCATGCCATTTGCCTTTTTATTTTTCACAGAACTAACATCACATTTTAGATTTTGCTGTTTTTTCCCCTACATTCAGTCGGCCCAGAAAACATTAAATTGACAATAACTCCACCACAAGAATGCTATGGGGAAGGGTCAGACATCACCCTGTCCTGCTCAGCTGTCTCCAAACCCTCTGCCCTGTTTTACTGGTTTCTAAATGGAGACAAGCTGTCAGATATTGGACCAGAGCTTAGACTGACGAAGATTCAGATGAATCAGAGAGGAAACTACAGCTGTCAGGCCTTTAACGAGAAAACTCTGAAATATGAAACATCTCAGCCTTCAGTTGTGTGTGTACTGGGTAAGTTTGAATTCCATTGGCAAAGTGTGTACTTAAATCACTAAATTAAATAATAATCAAAAAGACAGACAAGAAATACAATACTTGTATAACATTTGGGAATAAAATAAGTAAATAAAAATATAAAACACTTTTGAATTCAACATTGGAATTCTTAACCTTGCAGGTAAGGTATGATTAAAAAAGGCCAGTCATTACATCCAGTCAACACATTATGAGAATTTCATAGTTTGCGTATTTTAGCAGGCAGCTGTTGTCAGCAAAACACTAGCTGCTCAGTACTAGCTGGTGAATAGTGCAACATTTAGGGTCATCAGGAGGGCCCACAACATCATAAAGGACAATACACGCCCACAACACAGTCCCTTCACACTTCTGCTGTCTGGCAGGCGCTACAGGAGTGTGAAAGCAAGGACAAAAAGACAAAAAGTTTCTACCCCCAGGCCATCAGACTCTTAAACAGTACAGCCCCAGTCATATTTTTTAATTATTATATTGTTACTGTTCTACTTGTGTGTTGCCTCAGGTAGTCAGGCAAAGTTAGATTTTTATTGTACGTACTAATCTTGTGTTTATACTGTACATATGATAATAAACCTCTTGAATCTTGAATCTTAGCAACTCAAGAGTCAGATATTTGTCTGAGCTGGTGGAGACAACAACAGAGCAAAAAGGAGAGTGAATATTGGACTCATTCACCAGGCTGCCAGTGATTAAGGGTCAATGTTGTGTTTACAACTTGATTCACTGCCTCAAAGTGGTGCAAAAAAAATTGTTTGTTGCATGTTTAATGATTTCGTGCTCGAAACTTGTCTGGACAATTTTTAAACAATAACATTTAATCAAATAGGAAGCACATTACATATCAAAGGTCACAAGTCTGATAACTGTTGGCTGTTTCTAATCAGTTGTTGAAGAATCTGGTGGTTTTAATGAAACCATTTTTATCTCTGTTTTACACTGTCTATTTAAGAACTCAACACTTTGTCATATGGCTGAGGTACAGGTTGTTCAAAACTGTAAATGTTAAAATAACTCTGAAATGAATATCCAATAAACAAACTAGGATATTTATTTCCTCAGTCAGTCCTCAGTAATGCAGTTACTTTTGTTCCTGTTTTCACCTTTTCTCACAAAGTCCATGATCTTTTTTCCAACAGAGAAAGTATCAGGTGTTTCTATCACATCAACCAACCTGCCCATTGAGGGGAAACCTGTCAACTTAACCTGTGAGGCTGCTGGCTCCGTCCCCACCAGAAAGTGGATGAAGGATGGCTCAGATTTTAACCTGGCTGACAACATAACACTTCATGATGAGAACAGGGTGCTGTCTTTTCACTCTCTAAAGAAATCAGACAAAGGAAAATATTCCTGTAAAGTCAGCAATCCCGTCAACAGTGAGGAAGCTACATTCAACATGGTTGTTAACTGTAAGTAACAAACTCTCAAAATAATGAGTGCCATAAATCCAATAATTTATTTATTGGATTCACACTGCAGTGTACTGCTGAAATCTTTTTTGTTGGCCTGTAATACATAATTATATTATTATTTATTATTGAACAAGCTTTATATTCTTTAACATGTGTATTCTGTTTTTCAGATGGACCAGAAAATGTTCAAATCAGAGGTCCAAGTGAGATACAGCTTAAACAGAGCTTAACATTAACCTGCTCTGCTGAGTCCATACCGTCTGCTAGTTACATCTGGACACTGAATGGAACAGAGATACACAATTCTGCTGTGTTCACTAAAATCATCACTGACCTTTCTGAAAGTGGCAGCTACACCTGTCGGGCCACCAACAGTATAACTGAGAAAACATCAGTTGCGGTGCATGAATTGTTTGTAACAGGTATGGTGTTGTTTGTAGACTTTGTTGATACTTTTGTGATGTTGTGATTAACCCACAGTATTATACATCTGATAATTTAAAGAGTAGAAGGCTTCCTAAAGATTTTCCAAACAGATTAAATTTACCAATCAAATGTGGTTGATTTGTTTTGAAAATTGAAATGCAAATGTGCTGTATATAGAACAGTTTCACTGCTGTACTTTGCTGGTCTGCTGCTGCCCCGATCAGTAGTTTGTTTGTGTCAGTGTTTCAACGTGTTAGGTCGGCTCTGAACCAATGTTAGTTGCTGCGGATTGAGGCGGCTGTAGACCAGCAGCTCCTGTGTTCTAAGAAGTAAAATTACATAAAACAAACAGAACAGTTCCTGATTTAGAATGGTGCAAAATCATGTTCTTATCTCTCTTTTTTTTATTAAAGCTGTCCCAGACAAAACATCAGGCTGTTCGTCTGGTTGCATCGCTGGAATAGTAATCGCATGTTTGGTCATCTGTGGAGCAGCTGCTGGTGGAGGGTACTACGTTTATAAAAAACAGTAAGTGGAAACATATAACCAGGAGGTCTGTGGAGATTCTCCATTATCCAGTTCATGGTTATCCAAGGAGGGTTGAGTCGAGGGCAACTGGACTAGATTGAAAAGTGTGGGGTCGTTATCAATGTTATTGACATCACTGAGTTTGATACTGCTCCTGGCTGTTGTAACAGCAGTCATGGAGTCACCTGGGTGTAATTTACAGTCGTTGTCACATCTCACATGAGGCCAAATGTAAGTGGTTGTTAAATCTCCTGGGAATTGATGAAAGGACAGCATTGTAGGTGAGGGATAAGTTGTGTTGTAGGCCTCCTTTATATATATATATATATATATATATATATATATATATAATATATATATATATATATATATATATATATATATATATATATATATATATATATATATATATATATATATATATATATATATATATATATATATATATATATATATATATATATATATATATATATATATATAATATCCCTAACTGCATTGGACTGAACAGTGCACTTTCTTGTGTTTTTGTGTGCTGTCTTTTCGGTGGACAAGGTTCTGTCTTGGTGTGTTGCGGTGTTTGAAAAACAAACAGATGTGGTGCTTGTTGAAAATACAATTGAGTTTCTCAGATAGTCCAGCCACGTATAATGATGACGTTGTTGCGTTTAGTCTTCTTTTCACCACACACAGTGTTGGAGTTCTTCCTGGATCTTGTGGCTGTTTTCATAGAGGTCAAAAAAAGGAACAAGAAAAAAACATGCAGTTACTTTTGACATCCTCTTATTGCTTCCTATTTCTTCCATGTAGAAGTTGACCAGCTTTTGTCTGTAAAATCCTCCATTGTACTGGAAATAGGTGGTGTTCAGATAGAAATCCAGCAGTTCACAAATCTGGTCTGTGTTGGGGTTGGTTTATTGGAGGATGTTGTCATGTAGCAGTTGTTTTCTTATGGTTTATAATTTTGACCTAGTATTACGTGACATTTTTCCCTTTTTTATATCATGTATTAATACTGACTTTAGATTAACACCAACACTAACCTTACTCTAGCATTATATATTAGGAATTAACAGTAAACATATTTGTATGTACATTCTTACAAAGCTCCATCAAATTAACCTTCATAGAATTTTTAATGAAAATTAAATTACTTATGTCACTCACTTTAGTCACTTAATAGAAATTAAATTAATCTAAAGATCACTTTTTTTTTTTTTTTCAAAAGTGGTGCAAAAATTTAAATACTTGACTGAACTTATATAAGTAAAAATCCTATTGTAAGTTTGAGACATGTCTTTTTTAATCATTTTTATTAAGTACTGTTTGTCTTTTGTCTGATTGCATGACCACATTTAAAACAATGCTTTATCTCAAATCTTTAGAAAAAACCCCAAAGCTCTACCACAAGAATCGGAGAAACACAAAAGAGGTTTGTATTTATCTGATCTTTCTTCATCCTACACATTGAGAATAAACTACAGTATATCACAGTTATGCAAATTGTACACCTGAATAATCGGCTATAACAAAATTATATTTTTGGCCTAGATCAAGAAAATGTGTATGAGAACACTTCAGCTGTATATGAGAACGTGTAAACTCAACCATCTTTCCCTTTAAAGGTACGTTTTAAATTCATTATTTTGATTTAAAGTAAAGGAATAAATGTGTCCTGAATTGAATTGTGAAGAACTAAGAGTTTTTTTCTGAAAAAAAAAAAAAAGAAATCAAAACAGTGAGTCTTTACTTTAAACAGTTGTTTACTTTTTTCCTGCAGATTATCAGAAAGTCTTCACCGTCACCAAGAATAGAACAGGCACCAATTGTGTTGTTTTTTTTTTTAGAACGGATACCATTTCTCTTCTGCCTTTAGGTTATACATTATATATGTTCACTGTACAATAGAGTAAAAAACAGTAATAGGATAGTCTGATTTTTTGGTCACTTGGTCAAAAAGATGATGGATGTAGCAGCCAACCCTGACACATTATTGCATTATTAATTTTTATGGCTAATGTCTCAGAAAACAATCTCTTATTTATACATCCAGTACAGAGAAACTGAAGCATTTCTACCTAATTTCTAGCCACCTGTTGAATTCAAGTACCATGTTCACTGCTCCTTGAGCAGGTTGCGTAGTAGACTTCAACAAAGACCTCAAATAGAATATATAATATATAATAATATAGATAATAATATAGAAACAGCTTTCTGACGTTTTACACTCTGAGCCATTTTACATTTCATGTATTACAAATTACTTTGAAAATAAATATATAAGTTTTACGTGAGCCTAAACAGTTAAGTAAAGCAACATTTCTTGTTCTGCTATTAATAAACAATGGTGAATGTGTTGGCATTTAATTCTGGTGTGTGATAATAGAAGCAATGAAATTTCTCTCATTTATTTTTATATGTTTTGTGCATTTTTACAGTGTATATCTAATGCTTGCTTTTATTCTCTTGTTTACTTGTGGTGTCCAATCTCAATATTGTAAACATTTTAAACAACAAAAGAAGACATAGAATAAGACAAGATAATTGTTAACAAGATGCATGAAAATACTGTACTGCACACACAACATTTATGTTTTCTCTGTCATGTTCTGATGGCAACGAAATATGTAACATAATAAATAATAATAATATGACATAGCTATATATGTTCAAACACTGCTAACGATGGAAACCTACTAAAGATTTGAAGTGTTTAGTTTTTAATAAAGTTGTATATGTTGTTTACTTGAATTTATATATTTGATTGTTCCTCACTTGTAACAAACAATGATAAAAAAAATAAAGAAATGTTAATAGTTAAATGAAGTTGCGCCTCTGGAGTTTGTTCTTGATTGTTGACTAAGCTTCAAGGACAAGTTAAAGCCAATCATCAGACTCCAGTCCTCGTTATAAATGTGTTCCCATGACAGCTGTAATTATCCGACTCTTTCCCAATTTTATACTGAAAATCTAAGTGCTGTGTTGCGAAATGCCTGAGTGATGAGATAAATCCTTTCAATCTAAACAGCACTTTCATGCTGATGGCTGCAGTGTGCTGCCCTCCGGTGGTGTAACTGTAGTTATTCTGGCAGTCTGGTGGATAGAATATATATTGTTATTGCCCAAGTACAACAGTATTAGAAACTAAATGGTGATATTGATTTGATCTTTCTGGAAAAACTCCCTGAGGCTATAGCCTACAGATAATGGACAGTTAAAGAGACAATCTGATCTTTTTAGCTCGAGTTAAACATATAATATGTGACATTTCTGCATTAAAATGTCTAACACGACTTGAACTTGGTTATATATTTTTTCAAGTGCGTACTTATATTATCCCAAATGTTTCCAATAGTGTTCAAAATGGTAATTTCCTAACTTTTGGGTAAACATGGCAGAAAGTGAGAAAGGAAGGCTTAAACTAAACTTAATGTGAATAAAACTTTAATACATTTAATACAATTCCATAATTTTTAGTAAAATCCTTAAATAATGTAAAAATATCAAACACTATTACCAGGGGCACCATATAGGGGGGAGAAGTTAGGACAATTCCAAGGGCCCATGACTGACAGGGGCCCCAAAAAAGGTAAAAACAAATATAAAATTATGAATCCATCATCATTCAGTATATATATTTCAAATATAATAATAAAATTAATGATCTCTTTGTTTTTACTTGTTTTTGGGAGTAAAAGTTAAATATCCCCATTGACCAAAAAGTAAACATCCATATTGACCGACCACCCCCCTGTATCTGCATGAAATGGTTTGGTCCTGCTTTAGCGCTCTTATCAGTGACGGTGTTTAGTTGCTGTCAGTAGATGCGTCAGAACTACAGTGATCACAATGTTGCCCAGTCAATCAAAATCTGGTTTTCAAAAAAGGAAAGAGAGAAAAGAGAGAGGAAAGACAAAGGAAAGGATGTCAATCTGTAACCCAGTGTTTCACCAAGAAAGGAGCCTATAGTCTGTGAGTGGTATTAACCTGTTGGCTTAATGTCCATAGTGAAATAAGATAGCCAGCTACAGACTAGTGTTAGTCTGCATTTAATCACCATTTAATCAGTTCAGGGAAACGTTTAGCAACATATTCATATTAAATCATTGTCCCTGCCCCTTTTAGCAGACTTAACAACAGATGAGTCAGCAGCACCCCAGTCTCCCCATCACTGTACCCCTCCCTGTCCCAGTGAAGAAGCTGAGCAACATTGTGTTCAATGACAGGCCAGTTAGCATCATTGCAGGGAGTCTGTGGGGATTTCTCTCTTGCTCTTTTTACCATTACAAAAAAGAAAATGAAATATTTATTAATGACAGAAATTCAAACACATTAATAACAATTATTTTCTCACATGATGATCATTATGAAATAAAATTAAAAAACAACAACCTACTGTCTGTACTGGATGCTGGACAGTTGGAAACAGTGAGTAGCTTACCTGAGCCTGCATGTAAGATACAGACAATATTAAAATAATCCAGTTTGATACGTTCATTTAGATTGAATTATGGAATGACATCTATAGATACAGACTTTATTATAATAATAATTAATAATTAATTCCGTTAAGAGAATTTTCCATTTTGAAATTTTACAATACATTGAGACTGTAAAAGATGGCCTTTAGCACATTTTTTATGGTTGCTTTTAATGTTGCATCAAATAGTGAACTGCATACTGTATGCAGACTTGCATGTATGTACAAATCACCAGCAGTAAATATTGTGCTAGTACTAATATTGAACTACAAGAAGCAAGACAGTTGCAAGCCTTTAGTTAGAGTTATGTAAAGCTTTTGATGGGACAGTTAGGTCCTAGAGATGTGGTGACAACAGCTGCGCAGAGGGGGCCCAATTTGATTTTTTTGTCATGGGGCCCAAAATTCCTGGCAGCGCCCCTGACTATTACACACTTGTATTTTACATTTTATTTATATTGAAAGATATGGTATGGTTTGTATGTTTGTTTGTTATAAATACAATACATGCAGAAATATTTTTTTGAAATAATACGTGTGTTCATTTCATTAGTTCACACTAATCGAGTGATTGACTTCATAGACAAAAAACTTCTTCACCTGTGGGATCAGCAGTTCCTGTTGTAAGAGGTAGAAATCTGTAACTTACTGTCACATAATGTAACTGGTTTTAGAAATCTTTGGGATTTGCCACTTTGTTGGAGTGGTATTTGGCATAGGACAAGTTATTGGCCAGTCGATTCACCACCTTGGTCCAGACTGAAATATCAACTATTTAATTGATTGTCATGAAAAAGGATGCAGGATAAATATCTAACTTTGGTGATCTCCTGACTTTTCATATAGCGCCATAATCAGGTACTTATTAGCAAATGTTTGCATGCTAACATGGTGAACCAAGATGGTGAGCCTGGTACATATTATAACCTATAATATACAGTATATATTTATTACCTGTGATAGCCTTCTTTAATGCGGACATACTCTGTTTCTGTTCAGTTTCTCTTCGCAGTCCTGAAATGTATTTATCCTGGTTCAAACATGTAAATCATGTTGTACCTCTTTTTTTTAAAATGATGAATAAAGTTTATTATCATATATATTATTAGAAACATCATCATGTTAACATTGTTACTGAATGTTAACATGCTGATGTTAGCATTTAGCTAACAGCACTGCTATGCACAGAAGAGTTGTTTCTAAAACTTCTTTTATGATGAAATTAGTACAAACAATAGTGAATATTAACCATCATGTCTGATGTTCAGATGTTCAGAACATGCAGTTGTGTTTTATTAGGTTGTTATGTAAAGCATGTACAATAACAAAGGGTTAATAGAGGTAATAATTAAACATGCAAATCCTGTGTGTGTCTTGATGACAGGTTTCATTTATTGCTGATAATATCAGGGACACGTCTTCCATTGTTGCACACACACGGTGGGAGGTCAGACAGCATTAGAAGAGGACCAAACTGAGTAATACACCATGACTTATACGTTTCTCAGATCGGCCATACTTGTGTTCCTCTCCTCAGGTAAGACATCTATTGAATGACTTTCAATTTGATCATCAATAGAAGCACAGGTTGTGAAATGTTGGTTAACTATGTTCATATTTCAGTAGGTGTTTGCTATGGAGCCGGTGTACTCACTGTTGACTTACTTCGCGGAGCAGCAGGGGAGAGTGTGACCTTCACAACATCTGTAAAACCAACTGGTGAACCATTTCTGGCACTGACTTGGAGCTTCAACGGTATCGCCAATGTAATAACCTCAACCAGTGAAGATGTAGTGGGACAAGGCTATGAGAACCGGATCACCCTAGACAAATCCACTGGATCTCTGGTGCTTAGAAACCTGACTGAAAAAGACAGCGGAGAATATGAACTAATCATCATCCCACATGGAGCAGTGCAGCTTCAAGGAGCTGCAAAGCTGGAGGTTCAGAGTAAGTAAGATTTAATAATCTGATGCTGTATTTAATGTCGGGAAGGAATAAAAAATAATGCTTGTGCAATATCATTTGGGTAAAAAAGCACACTGAATGATGCTCTAATATTATCTTTCTATTCATTTTTTCTTCTTTCTTTTTGCACAGCCAAAGTGTCAATACCCACTATAGCCTGTCCCACAGAAAACTTAATAGAAGGTAAAACCTCTGTGAACCTAACCTGCGATGCTGATGGCTTCGTGTCTACCAGAGTGTGGGTGAAGGACGGCCAACCTCTGGTTCCTGGAGAGAGATACAGCTTTCACGATGGCAACAGAGTGTTGTCTATCAGCCCTGTGAACAGGACAGACACCGGAGAGTTTCTTTGTAAAGTCAGCAATGATTTCAGTTCTGCTACAGCCAAATGCGCACTTAAAGTCTATTGTGAGTATTCACTTAGAATTGTTCAAGCCTTTATAATATGTTTTTTTCTCATTCTCATAATAATAGTTACTCCTCTTCTTCCTCATTTGTTCAGATGGACCTGACAAACCAAGAATCGTTCAGACGCCAATAGGAGCAGAACTCGAAGAGAGTGTCACTCTTTATTGCTCTGCTGACTCCCTACCAAAGGCAACTTTCTTCTGGACGTTCAAACACATGAAGATGTATGGGGCCATGCACTACATCCATGAGATGGAAGAGAGGCACCTGGGGAGGTACACCTGCACTGCCCAAAATGCCATCACTGGCCTGGAAGCCTCTGTGTTCCACACACTGCGTGGTATTTGAGCTCTCTTTCATATTTATCTAACTAACAGTACTAACCTGTCAATACTGTTATGTGATTGCAAATAATGGAAAAGACAGAGTAATGTTTTTTTCTTCTGATCCAGACTCCTCTACTCCCATCAGTGGTTCTATGTCCATGTTGGTTTGCACTGTCCTGACCTCGGTTGGACTCATATTGGTCTAAAGACTGTGATGTTAACAAAGTTGCTCATTTTGATCAATAATTGTGTTTATTTTAGATAATTTTTCTGTGTTTATTATTGTGGTGTCTCTTTCAATTGTATGTTCACCAAAAATAAAGCTGTGGATGATAAATGATAAAATGACAAACCGGTGGTACTTCATATTTAGTATTGTCCCTGTAGTATTTTTTTTAAATAATTTTCTTCAGTAATATACAGTTGTGACATTAATTGTTGTAATTTATGTTAAGTAACAAATGAAGTATTGCTAATTGCAGTAAAGGTGTATCTCACTTACAAAGTAAAAATTTTCTCCACAGCAGCTTTGGTCTTGACCAATGACAGTTTCAGCTTTAATAAATCAATCTTAACACTGTGACGTTTTTAGGTCTTGCATATCAGACCTGGCACTTTGTTCTTGTGTCATTCAGCCTTCAAACGTGTGATAAAGTGTCTCATGTTCTGACTGAAGCTTGATGATGCCATATCAAACTGTCCCTATAATAAACTATTATTATAACTCTGTATCAGATAGTGTTGTGTGTTAATGACCACCTATTTTTTTGTTCCACAAGGGTGCACCAGTGTGCTGCCATGAACCCTTAAAGCATGCTGGAACCTACATTCACTGTGAGCTTCACCGTGTTATACACAAAGATGTTGCCATGATCAGTCCTTGCGGACGTATTCGTGGCAAAAAAGAACACAGGCATTAATTACATACTAATCTTTCTTAAAACATTACATTTTAAGAATACACCAGAATATGTAATTGTTTTTAATTAATACTGATGTAAATATATGACCAATTCTATAATCTTAAGTAAGTTGCAGCAAAGTGTCAAAGTATACTGTGCAACAAGACCAACCAAACCTCCATGATTATACAGAATGTAAAACACAATCTCACAACTGTGACACTAATGTTTTCAATTTCAAAATGACCTGTGTATGTGTGTAGCTTACAGTATGTACAGTACTTGTGCTTTAGAGAATATAGACACAGTATTATCTTTTGTCTTCTACAGTCATTTTCTATTATTTTATTGACAGTTTTTTCAGCTACTGTTTTTATTCTCTCCTACTGATACAGAACTGATCTTCTCTTATAGTGCCTGTAACAACTGTATTCTTCTTTTTTTATGACATAATGCAATGTGACTATTCAGTTCTTATCAAATTGTAACCATTATAAAGTTTTATCAGAACTGGACACGTTGATTTGTACAGGAACATGTGAGCTATTGTACCTTACAGGTAGAAAGTAGATCTGTACCGAGGGAAAAAACTGTGGGACACTACATGGATGAGTAAAATACTCATGAATTCATTTGGCTGCTTTTTCTTATTTCTTTGCATTATTCTATGCTTATACAAGTCAAGTTAACAAACATAGGGACATAAAAACGAACAATGTTCTTCACAGTTGTCATACCTGTAATGTATAATGTATAATTGTATACAAACTACTCCTAAAAAATACCCACAACAACAGCACATTATGTTCAGCATGTGGCCTTATTACTTTTATTATCACTGAGTTCACTGTGCTGTAAATTCATCATATCAGTATAATATATTGAGGCTGCAACACTCCAAGGGAGTAAAAGTTTGACTGCATGAGAAAATGTCAGAGTGAATAAGTTATCTGCCACCAGATTTAATGTTGTAAACATAAAATAGGCAGTGATGCCAAACCTTTTGATGCTAAAGATTTTAATAAACATACACCACTGTTCAAAGGCATTGTCTGCCAGGAAAGCATCATTCGGTACAGTCAGATGGCTGAGAGGATTAATTTTATGGTCTTCTTTTAGGTTGTAGAAAATCCTCTTCACAAATAGATGTTATTTTGAATGATGGTTTGACCTACTCACAATTGAAAGGGCAAAAAGAGACAACGGTATCTATGAGCAGTTAAATAGAAATATAAGAAATCACCAGTCATGGGTAGAACAAATTATGAGGCTAAGCATTCAAATATTTCAAGTGAAATTATTTTCTTTGTCAATGCTGCAGGATACACTGGAAGTAGGTTTTATTAATGAGGAATTTATTGTAGGATTGATGAAAAATCTAATAAATGCTTGCATTTGCATCCAATAATACTGGCATCTTATAAAGTACAGTTGATGGTTTTACATCTAAACAGTGGAAATCATCTCATCTTTGCTTTCCACTAGAAAGGTTGTCAGAAATCACAGCTTGTCACTGGTTCAAAGCTCAGATACTGTAACAATAACAACAGGGCTGACGCTGTTAAACACAGTTTAATAGTGCACACTGAAGTTGCTAACGTTGCTTGTGACTGAAAACAAATTAGAAAAACAATAAGGCAACGTTAACATAATGTCAAAATATTTTAATGCTATATATATATGTATATATATAAAACATACATACATTACGCAGGCACATATTTTTGCATTCATGCAAGTAAGCTATTTTATGTTCAGGTTCAGCACATTTTTTAGTTTAGCTTTTAAAGTTGCTTTTGCTAGCTATTCTGTCCACTCTGAGATGTTATGAGGATTTTTTTTGTTGTTTATAGATATGAATGTACCTGAGTTTTGCTTATTGATCTGATTTATAAGAACAAAAACATAATATAGCAAAAGATAAGAATAACACCCACCCAATCACTTCTCACATTATTGGCATGGCTCTTGTTGATGATTGTTTTTTTCAGGCACGACAAAAGACGTAAAGGTTGTACCAGGTGAAAAGGTCCATTGTCCATCCCATCAAACACACATACTGTAGTCACAGCACCTCCTCTCTGAAAACACTTTCCACTGGCCTGGAGAAGATATGGAAACATCTGTGATACTGTTGATCATCCTGGGAGCCATCTCCGGTGAGCTTTTACCATTTTAAGTTCCACACACAATTATTCTGGTTAAGTTAAATTTAAGAAGCTGGCGATTCATATTTTTTTGATTATTAGAGTTTAATATGTTACACAGTGTAATATCAAATGTTCTCTCCAGCTATGCTTCCCCTATCTTACTTTTAAGGCAGTGTTGGATCTAAGAAAAGACCAAAGACCAAAGTGTATCTGTATTAGATTGTTATTCTATAACAGCGGCATGTACAGAAAAAAGGTTTACCTTACTATGTAACACTCATTTCAGTAATGGTGGGGTTTTAAATGATCAAAGTATAAATAATCTAGCCACAATTTTTATTTTTTATACAATTTTGATAATGCTCTGCAATATTTTTTTAAATCTTGATAAAGTCAATGTAGATTGGTCTTGCAGGTTGGCAGTACTCTCCTGACCTTTGTTACACAACCTGTTCTTGCTAATATGACATCTGAGATACTCTAGATTACACATATTACATTTAAAGACCCACCTAATCTTGTTTTCATTCAAATGACTTGATACCGATTTTTTATCACCAGCATTTTGCTGTACAAGAGGTAGCACCTCTCTGAGTCTGATAGTTTTGAAGGCTGGATTTAATGTTTGTGTCTGGTATCTTAAGTAAATTGATTACATTCTTCATTGATACACAGTTCATTGTCATCTGAGTTTCAGTCACATTTATTCCAAACACATAACTGTGTCCTCCAGGTTTAAGCCACGGAGCTGGTGTGCTACCAGACAGTCTTATTGCAGTTGTTGGAGAGACGGTGATGTTCACCACAACAGTGACTCCATCAGAAAAACCGTTCCTGGCAGTCACCTGGCGTTTTTCTGATACATCCAATATAATAACCTCGAGTAGTGTCAACCTGACTGGACCAGCATATACAGACAGGATAACCCTCTTCACATCTACAGCATCTCTGGAGCTCAGAAATCTAGCTCTTAATGACAGTGGAGAATACAAAGTCAACATTATACCAAATGGTGGAGCAGCACAGAAAGGAAGCTGCAAACTGGTCGTATATGGTACGTTGATACATCACTGTTTCACTGTTATATTTTCTTGCTTTACCTTCCCCTTCCAATGCGTAAAAATGCAAACTATCTTGAGCCAGTGTTTGGTTTGTCAATACTGGGCTTCAGCAGAAACATGGCAGTTCAACATGGCAGCCTCCATGGAAGGTGACCCACAAAAAGGGGTCATCCTAAGATAGAGAAACACAGCTATTCCTATATTCAGGTGATTATACATTAATGAAAACATGCTTTTATTTTATAATAAGAAAACATACCCAAAGTTGTTGCTTGTGAAATACTAGAAGCAAAAAGAAGCCTCCAAATGCTTTACAAGCAGTATAAAAAGGGTGTGTCACAGTTGACACAATGAAAATACTTAAATAAAAATCACTCAGTAAGACCGTGCTTACATGAAATACAGCAATTTTAGTGTTCTTTGTCAAATCATTGGAACAGCTAAATCTTTCCACAGTTATTCTTACAAATGTGACTTTGACCTACACAGGTGTGAACTTTCCTGCAGCGTTTGTCTTATGCAATATCAGTTATCAGTTCAATAAAACCTGACTTTGATTGACACACAGGGAGCAAGTGTATTCCAAGCCTCAGTTGTCTATCATTGGTGTTGTTTCTCATCATTTAAATCTAGAAAATAATAATCAGTTCTGTGTAATTATTCTTTTGTCTATTTCAACCCACAGAGCCAGTCTCAAATGTAACAGTAACTCCCAGCAGCACAGACTTGGTGGAGTTCAACAACTCCGTCAGTCTGTCCTGCTCCTCCTCTGGATCCTCTCTGTCTGTCGACTGGCTGAATGACAGCTCTGAGATTACAGCCAGTGACAGAGTTCAGCTCACTAATGGGGGCGCCACTCTTACTATAGTCAGTGTGACCCGTTATGACCAGGGACCATTCAGGTGTCATGTGTTCAATGCTGTTAGTAATGGCACCAGTGATCCAGTAAAGCTCTCCTTCAGCTGTGAGTTACTAACCTGCATGAATATCATTGCATATACACATTTTTTTGAAGTTACTAACATTTCTATTGCTAACTCTTGTTTTGTGTTGACTTTTTATGTGCCACACTGCAGATGGCCCAGACAATATTAATTTGACATCTCCATCAAAAGAATACTATGTGAGGGGGTCAAACATCACCCTGTCCTGCTCAGCTGTCTCCAGACCTGCAGCCTTGTTTCAGTGGTTTCTGAATGGAGACAGGTTGTCAGATACTGGACCAGAGCTCAGACTGATGAACATTCAGAACAGCCAGAGTGGAAACTACAGCTGTCAGGCCTTTAACAACAAAACTCTGAGATATGAAACATCTCAGCAGTCAGTCATAACTGTACTGGGTAAGTTGAACCGAATAGGTTCTTACAGTAGTGATATAGTCACAAAGATTTTACTGTCAATTAGTGCATTTATTTGAACTAGTTTGCCTTATATTACTTATAAACAATTTCCTTGCATTGTATGCCCTTTTGGACCTAAACCAAATTGAATGAAACCTTTATGATGCTTATTAAATAAGCAGAAACAGATTTTTGGTGGATGTATTTGGATCAGACTCTAGATGACTTGTGCATTGCTTTATTACTAATTCCTAATTTTGAAACTTCACACTAAGTCACAATCTTTAAGGTTAGGAATGTTCTCAATACAAAATTACCTCTAAATGCTACTCAAAATATTGTTCTCCTACAGCCCCAGTATCCAATGTGAAGGTAAATGCCAGCACAACAGACATTTTGGAGTTCAGCAGCAGCTCTGTCCGTCTGTCCTGCTCCTCCTCTGGACCCTCTCTGTCTTTCCTCTGGCTGAATGACAGCTCTGAGGTTACAGAAAGTGACAGAGTTCGGCTCACTGATGGAGGCACCACTCTCACTATTATTAATGCAACCCGCTATGACCAGGGGCCATTCAGGTGCCATGTGTCTAACCCTGTCAGTGATGGCACCAGTGATCCAATAAAGCTCTTGATCATCTGTGAGTTATTTCATCTTAAATCATGTTACTTCAAATCCCAGACAGTTAGAAATGTCACGCTTGATTTGTCACAGTCGGAAATATTCTTTGTTGCTTTGTTTTTGCTGGTCAGGAGTAAGTGATCACTACAGATGGGATAATAATTATGAATTTTACTGATACAAAGTAGCTGTCAGTCTTGAGTTAGACTCACTGTCACATGTACTTTTTGCCTCAAACATTTTTTTTTTTTATGTGCTTTTTGCTGCTGTTTCTATCTTATTGTTGAATATATCTTTTTATGTGTCTTGACGCAGTTGGCCCAGAAAATATTAATCTGACACTATCTCCATCACAAGAATACTATGACGAAGGGGCAGACATCAGCCTGATCTGTTCAGCTCTCTCCGGACCTCCAGCCTTGTTTAAGTGGTTTCTGAATGGAGATCCGCTGTCTGATACTGGACCAGAGCTCAGGCTGATGAACATTCAGATGAGTCAGAGTGGAAACTACAGCTGTCAGGCTTTTAACAACAGAACTATGAGAAATCAAACATCTCAGGCTGCAGCTGTCTCTGTACTAAAATGTAAGTTAGAGTAAGTGAGGCCTAAAATACGTTGCACCTAGCACTTACTGTAGGCTTTTAGTGTTTCTGAAGGTTAGAGATTGTAGAGGCTTTTGATCAGACATTTTTCAAGCAGTCTGTGAAAAGAAATAAAACATGTACCTTTGGGTAACACTTTATGATACAATAAAGTAATTATTGGTACAAGATTGTTGGGAAGAAGGTAGGAAAAATTGGGCATTTGGGAGGAAAAGAGAAAAATAATATGTTTTATACAATTAACTCGGTGCGGTACTGGAAAACAAGTTTGGGGCAAATCTTTCTGTGAAAGCTATATAAAGTAATTATGAACAGTTATAATAACTGTGAGGGTAGCCATTTTTACCCCAAAGGTACCCAGTTATAAAAAAACATTTATTTCTCCTTCAAATGGCTGATTGTTACTACCTTCTTCCCTATAGCCTTGTTTTCTTCCTCTATATCTAGATTTAAGTAGCAGTGGGAACTGTAAGTATCTTATTGGTACCTTATTCATACAACACAATTACACTGTAAATAGTGAGCTGTATTTTAAAGTATTTCCTACCTTTGCTCTACTAGTTTCATGGGTCAGAAATAATTCCTTAGAGACTGTTTAGTTGTGTTGTTTGATGCAGAATTGGTACAGAACTTAATATACTTTGCTGAATGTAATGCATTGTTTTTTTTTCTACCCATAGCACAAGTCTCCAACGTTGTAATAACTCCCAGCACCACAGATTTGTCAGAGCTCAGAACCTCAGTCTCTCTGTCCTGCTCGGCTTCTGGATCTTTCCCCTCTTTTCTCTGGCTGAACGGCAGCTCAGAGGTTACAGCCAGCGAGAGAGTTCAGCTAACAGATGAAGGCTCCACTCTCTCTATAATTAATGTGACACGCTACGACCAGGGACCATTCATTTGTCATGTGTTCAATAATTTCAGTAATTACACCAGTGATCCAGTGAAACTCTCCATCAGCTGTGAGTTACAGATCTTACCTGCATAATCAGTCTCTGATGTTTGCTAATGCTAGATAGATCTTTAAATTTGTGGCTTGATTCATGATTATTACAACCATAATGTCAGGAGTGGTTTTGTCTAAATTAGTTTTTACTGTGCTCCGTGCTGTTTCATGTTTGCAGTGTTTGGCTGGTTCTGAGTAAATGATCGCTGTATTTAGTATAATGATACAGTTCCACAGTTGGACAACATACTTAACACTAATGACCCCTTCACACTGAACCAAGCTGCATGCATTGTGCAGCTTTTCTCAAGCTACTATCCTTTCACTGTTGACCGTACTGTCTTGTGTCTTTTTCCCCAGTTGGTCCAGAAAATATTAATTTGAAGCTGTCTCCGTCACAAGAATACTATGATGAAGGATCAAACATCATTCTAATGTGCTCAGCTGACTCCAGACCTTCTGCCCAGATTCAGTGGTTTCTGAATGGAGATCTATTGTCTGATACTGGACCAGAGCTCAGGCTGATGAACATTCAGATGAGTCAGAGTGGAAACTACAGCTGTCAGGCGTTTAACAACAGAACTATGAGATATGAAACATCCCAGCCTGCAGCTGTCTCTGTACTGAGTGAGTTAGTTAAATGGTTACAATAAAAGTAATTTGAATACTTGACTTGCCGCTAACCTCTTTTTTTCCTTCTTTTTTTACCCACAGCACAGGTCTCCAATGTGGTGGTGACTTCAAACAATGCACACCTGTTTGAATTCAGCAGCTCTGTCAGTCTGTCCTGCTCCTCCTCTGGATCCTCTCTCTCTTTCCTCTGGCTCAACGGCAGCTCTGAGGTTACAGCCAGCGACAGAGTTCAGCTCACTGGTGGAGGCACCACTCTCAGTATAACTTATGTGACCCGCTATGACCAGGGACCATTCAGGTGCAACGTGTCGAATGGTGTCGGCAGTGGAATCAGCCGGCCACTGAATCTTTTCATCCAATGTGAGTTTTATGAGAAACTTTACTCTCAAGCTCACACACTTCTATTAACATAGATAGATACTTTATTTATCAGGAGGGAAATTCAAGTATCCAGTAGCATACAAAATACAAAACATACATTAAACTAAAATTAAAAACCCTAACCTTAAGAATAGAATTAAAAATAAAAGATAAAATATAAAGTATTATATATATATATATATATATATATATATATATATATATATATATATATATAAAATTAACAGTAGCTACAGTAAACAGTGCAAATGGATGTGCAGATACAGGTAGAAATTGTCCATTGTCTATTATCTATTGTCCTCCCTGCCTTTACTGAGAGCTGTTGTACAGTCTGAATCATCACCTATATGATCAGCATTAGTGTGCAAATGAGTGCAAAGGCTCCAAATGCCGTATGATGAACATAAGTTCATAAAATTTCATAAGGTGTTTCTGTGACTAAAATAGTGTAAGGGTTTATATTTTATATGTAACATATGTACATGGAACTGTTTGTTCCTCATATCAGGATGTAACAATTCAGTATCTTTATAAACCAAACAACAAGACACATTTTGCCTGTAAAATTGTTCTTGCTAGGTCTTCAGATTAAACTGATTTTACTATAATTATTTTTAGATTCCATTAAACAGTGCTACTGTGGGCGCCTGGTTAGCTCAGTGGGTAGAGCTGGCGACCCATGTACCGACCTGCGGCCCTTTGCTGCGTGTCAGCCCCTCTCTCTCTCTGCCCCCCTTTCCTGTCTGTCTTCAGCTGTCCTATCAAATAAAGGCAATAAAAGCCAAAAAATACTTTGAAAAAAATAATAAAACAGTGCTACTGTGGGTAATTACCTCACCAAATTAAGAGTGCTACAGCTCTCAGCCCTCACAGATTTATAAAAAATGTGTAAAAAAATCTGGGAAAGTGGACAACCCTTCTGTTGAGCTGGTTAAGAGTGAAACCTGCATTTCCTTCAAGGCGTCAGTGCCTGAGAGACTCAACCATTGGGGCTTAATTTAGGGAACCAAAGTTCGACGAAGTGTGTTGATTGCTTAACCTTCACCTAATTGTGATTCACAGTTCTGAATACATACAGGACAACTGAGCTAAGGACTCTACAGTAAAACTACAGCATGAGCTTTGTAATGATAAGGCAGATTCTGAAGACTTAAAGCCGGAAATAAAACACACACTCACATTAAATCTGTCAAAAACAAGTAAAAGCAATAATAACTTAAAACATCTGACTCTTTGGTTATGTTGCAGATGGACCTGACAACGTGGCCATCATGGGACCTGCATCCATGCATGTTGGAGATTTCACAATGCTTTACTGCTCCACTATGTCTGTACCATCAGCATCGTTCACGTGGCTTTTTAATGGAGAGCCAACCAGTTTTAACGAGGCTGTATACGTCATATCGTCCATCAGACGCTCTAACAGTGGGACATACACCTGCAGTGCAGTGAATGCTGTCACAGGGCAGACTCAAACTGTAAACCATGAGTTAACTGTTATAGGTATGAGACAAAAAAGCAATAACTGCCATATAAATATATATATAACAATGAGATGTGTGTTTCAGAAGAGAAAAAAATACATTAAGGATCTTCTTGGGTGTTTTTTTCAGATTTCTCAGACTGTGACTGCTCAGCTGTTGCTGCAATTGCTATTATCATAACAGCTGGATGTTGTATTATTGTTGCAACAGTGAGTGGAACAATTGTGTACGGTCTGATAAGGAGGAATAGGTAAGCATAAAACAGGTAATGATTTCTGTTGAAAAACAGTCCATAGTGGCCATAATTATGTTATCTGGAACTGTACATATTCACAAGATGACATAAATGTCCTTACAATGATGCCACATACACAGTAAATAATATATAATACAGATGTTTTAACTAACATAACCCAATTGAATGTAATAATTCATGAAAAAATACTTAACTGAAACATGAATACATTTATGATAATAATGTCATTATTGTAAATTCTTTTGGCCACCATAATTGTGTAGTTAAAATCTAAAAACGTGAAAGCCCTTCTTTGGAGATTTTAGGAAGCTAGTTCAAAGAAGAAATTTGAGTAACATCTGCTAGGTCACATATTAACAATGCCTTACTTAAAATTTTCAGAGTCAACAGCGTTTATCCAGCACACCGAAAACGTTAGTATCCAAGTTCTTATCTCATAAAGATGATGACAAAGAAAATACTTGTTTCTTTATAAGAAAAGTCCCTAAATGAATCATGAGATTTAACACACCTCTGTTTTTGTCTTAGAACAATTAAGTGTGAAGGAGAACCATTCAGACTTGTATAAGATCTCACAAACAGACCCACATGACTTGTATTCCTTTGAAGGTGAGTTGGATGTGAATGAATAATAATGATTCAGTGAACTCCCATTTTTGTACCTGTGGTCTGTCTTTAATCAGTGTGTGTGTCACAAACAAAAATACTGTATTTTAGTAGCTCTGTTTGTCTTTTTTTTGTTCAGATTGGTTCATAAATGACACATATTGCTTTAGTTCAATAATTACTGACAGAATTTTGTAGGTGTGCTGTTGATCAAAACACTGAAACATATTTCTAATTGCTTGTTTCCTCCTGCAGCATAAAAAAAGACTCACAAGAAGACTTTTACATCAACAGTAAGAAGAAATAAAGCAGCAGTGTTATTGTTTTTTGATTTATTTATTCAACCCAACCATTTTCTGCCTCCTTCAGATTACTGTTCATCTTGAGTTTGATGTTAGATGTATAATGTAGCTGCATTGCAACTTTTATGGATGATTTTATAAATATCTTATGCAAGAATTGGATACACAATGAATATGTATATGTAATATATTACAAAAGCAGTTTTTTTACAAGTAATTATTAACAATAAAGCAAAGGGATATGTAATTTATTATATAAAACATGGTATGTATATATGTGTATATTCAATAAACATTGTCTGGATCCCCAGTGCCTTCTGTATCACTGCCTCTGTCACAAACCCTGGGCCAAAAGGAGAAAAATAATTTTACACATCAAAACGTTTTCATAATTACCACAGGGCTCAAGCAAAAGAAAAATGGTTCCACAGTTTGTCAAACATTTATCAGAACAAAAGATAAGATGTTGTTATCTAGATCGACTCACTTACCAACCAAATTAATACAACAGAAAACAAAGTTTTACCATCAAATTCACAAAAACGTAACAGGCAGCAACATTCAGCTGTTATCTGCGGGCAGCCACTGAGACTGCTTCACTACTGTCAGATCAACATCACACCGATGTTATTTCAACAACATGGCCAATGTCTGCAGATACAGCCACAAAACAATACAACAACAATCATAATATATTCACTATCTATTACTAAACATAAACTACCACAGGATAAAGTTGAAAAGTATCTTCAGAGCCTGCAGCTATGCTCGCAGTTCTTTGTGGCTTCACTGTATTGTGCCGCTTTATGCTGATTGCTCAAATAAAAATCACACTAACTATGACAATGCTAACATGCTGGTGTTTAGCAGGCATAATGTTTACCATGTTCACTGTCTGTGTTTAGTGTATTAGCGTGCTAATTAGCAGTAAACACAACGAAGGCCTACAGCTGAGGCTGATGGGGATGCCAGTTTTTCAGGTATTTGGTCATAATTAAAAGTAGACTAAAAATTGTGTTGTATATATCTTAGCAAAAGCAAACAAATAAAATGAGCACACAACTTGTTCTGCTGATAAATCTGCATGTCCTGGATTTTGCAGCAAACTAGGTTAACAACCCCTAAACCATGGGCTATTTGACCATTTGTGTACTGTTCCATTCAAGTCAATAAAGCCACACCTTATCAAGTTATACAAGGCAGGTGTCCAAATGTTAGTTAGACCATTAATGAAGTGGTGAACAATGCTTCTCTAGACTTTAGATTAATTTTGAGGTGACGCGTGTACACAGTATGTATTGTGCTGTATGTACTTGAGAAGGGTTAAGTATTCCCACCTAACTCAACATGACTTTCTTTATTGTCTTTAACAGGTAATGAAGTTTAAAATTGTGTATAAGCGTGTCAGACAATTCACTCCAAGCAGCTCTGCTACACATATCTAACGGACTAAACATGATAGTGACCGCCTAATATCGCAATGTTCATAATATATTAATGATGCCAAATTTCCTAAGGGATCATAAAGTTTTATTTAATTGAATGTACTCAACTAATCTTATCTTTGAAGCTCATATAGCAATCACAGGTGAGAACAGATAGATAAGCTGTTTTGATATGAAACAGTTTATCTTTTTTTTTTTTACCACTTTTCCATTTGTCATCTTATATTTACTTTTTATTTAATGAGTATTGGTCCTCTGCTGCATATTTGGTAGTATTTATTTATTCTGAGCACTGTTAACAAAGCAATGACATTATCTGCAATTTATTGATGATTCCTTGCAACCAAATTGTTCATATTCTTTGTACCTTGAATAAGGCTCCAGGTAGAGAAGATAAACTGACCGGTTATTGTATTACAGCACCATAGTATAAAATGATGATGATAAGTCTCTTTCATAACAGAAATAGCAATTAAACAATGAGGCTAAAACACTGTATTACTGAATATTTTCCAAAATGATAACAAAGAGTAATATCTTATGTAAGATTCAGATGGAAAATCATCACACCATTGACCTTGTTAATAGTTATTACTGGACTCCAGAGAACAATGTTGCTGAGTTCATAATTTATGTCTATAATAAAAAAAGAATGATACCTGTGGTGTAAAAAAATAAATGGACTTTGTTAGTTATTTATTACTGACAGCATGAATCGAGCCAGTCTGGTCTAATACAATGGATGTTATGGAGAGTATTTAGTAGTTAAATACTGTACTGAGTGACCTGTTGTCAGGAGATATTTTATCATCTTTATTATTATTAGAACATTACTATTACATACGTTAATCATTCACCTACAAGGTTCGGGCAGACCAGGCCAAGGACAGGGGAACACATTTTTCTCAGGTCAGATGATCTCAGTGAATGTGTTACAAGGAAAGTTAGAGACACACCTAAATACAGACAGGTGCATTAGATCATTTAAGAGAAAATGCCCCCCCCCCCCAAAAAAAACTCCCACACACACTTCGTGATTAGATTGCTAGTTTTCAGTGCAACGTCCTTTAAGTGGCATTTCACTAAGCAATAGATAATAATGGAGTGATCAGCATTTACATAATGTAATCAATCAAAGGAGAAACAAAGAAGAAAGGTGAAGAAAAAAGTAGAAAAGAAGAAACACATGAGAAGGGATGGGTGGAGGATGTTTTAAGATGAACCTGCAATAACAAATAGTTTATGGGCAAAGACAAAAAAGCAACCCAAAAATGATTGTATAAAATAAGAAAGAATACAGCAGAAGATTTTTGAAGTAATGGTAGTGGTGCAGTCTAAACAATGGGAGTCTCAGGTTCAACTATTTAATGCAAATTTATTGTAAGGATCATGGCATCACTGAAACAAGAAGCACAAAATATTGCAGTACAGATTGCAGTTTTTTTACTCTAAAGTTAACTAACCAAGGTCACAGAAATTGTTGCTGATACGATGCTGCTACTGAACCAGCTGTAACACTTTCTGGTGAACATGTGCATGGCCACAATAAACTGTTGGGCCTGTTCAGTGCACACAGAACATTAGATGGAGCTATAACCAACCGGCTCTCTTATGCCGGAGATAACTGGTCCCAGGTTTTCTGTAAGTCAGTTTGATTTTGGTCATTTGAAACAGAATTTCATTTAGGAAAAATGCCCCGTGTGAGCTGAAACTAAACTAAAGTTACAAAGATGTTTGAACAAGAATTTGATCCTCTGCAAAACAGAGCCTCAAGATTATGTAATATGTGCAGGGCCTTCAAGTTTTGGGGTGTTGTGGATATGTTTTTCAGTTATGTAGAGTTATATAATGTTCAGACAGGCTGGAAGGACAACACAGTGGCCTGCGAGAATGAAGTGAGCGCAATCAGCCTACATTGGACATATCAGGCTATTACTGTATGTAATCTATACCATAACAAAGATTAACTCTAATTTTTGGTGACCTTGTGTGATATTATGAGAACAGGAGGCACACCACAGAGCACAGAAATATCTATTAATGGTTATATTGCAGCATTTGTTTTTTGCATGTCGCCACCATTAAGTCTGCATACTTTTTATCTGGTTTTACCTTTAAACCAAATTATAAAATACACAAAGAGAGAATGAATCTGACCTAAAAAACTAATAATAACCTACAATAATAATCACAGCGTTGTACTTTACAATGACACCATCAAGTAACAATCAAGAATGTGATTTAAAACATTTCCTTTAGTGTCACTTAGAACATTTTGAAAAGAAATTAAATGAAAGATTGGCTTTCTAATTATATCTCTTTGGATATTTTGACAGACTTACACTAAAGTCTTTACGGAGCAACACTGACACATCTATTCAGAGTGGTGGCATATTAACACTTTGTTACTTTAATGTTTTCTGATTTGGTTCATGTCAGTCAGCTGATGGAACTGAGTAAATATTGTGGATTTGATGGGATGCAAAACAGTGGCTTTTCTCAGCTGTAAAATATTAACTCATTTAACAACCGACAGATAAGACTTGGTAGCTACACTCACTGTGGAGGTCACAGGTCGACCTAGTGGAAAGAACTAAAAAGTTGAGACTTTTGAAACCGTTTTTTACCTTTAATCAAAATAAAACACACAATGCAACTCACATTCGCTCCTAAATCTTCATATTCATGTATAAATTGTGTTTCTGCGACATTATAGTATATGTGAAGGAGTGTGTGTGTGTGCGTTTTAAAGCTGAAACAATTAGTTAATTAATCCATCAGTTGATTGACAAAATAATACTATTGTGATTTTGATTAATCATTTTCAATTTGTGAAAAAAAGCTGAACGTGTTTTTTTAGCTTCTCAAAATGTGATGGTTTGCTGCTTTTCTCTGTCCTACTTTTGTAAATTAAACATCTCTGGGTCTTTGGACTTAAACTAAACATAAACTAAATTATTAATTAATTAATTATAAAACAAATAATTAGGCAATTAAACTGTATTTTTAACTAATTAAATATACAAGAATTGTGTGAGAACTTGCAGTAGCATAGGAAAGGTTTTTCTTTACAATGAAATGTCGTGCTACATTTACTCAGAGCTGTACAATAAATCAGTTTCTATCAACAATGCATTTTCTTTGGAAGAAAGTGCAACACAATTTTCAGCAGAAACTAACACAGTTTTTAAAAAACTGAACACTGACACTATTGATGTAGTTGTTATATTTAAAAAAGGGGGGTTGGTTTTGAATGTAAACTGTTAAACTGTGGTCTTCTCTTTGCATTACTACTGGCTACATACTATGACATATACTTACAGACTTGGAAAATAGCCAAAGCACCCATGCAGAGCTCGTAAAAATGTACAGAGATGTAGCATGACTCCATATGTTAAGAATGCATTTTGTTTCACATAAAACTTTGGTTTCTGTATTAAACTGTATAGTGAAATACAGCTTTGTAAAACGTTTATTACTTTTGTTTTGACTTTACTGTATGCAGTTAATAAATTGTCTTTATAGAGAAATCACAATTTTTTGACAAAGGTCAGTTACAGAATAACACGTCTCTGTATCTGGTAAAAACTTTTATTAGACAATCAGGCCCTGATTTAACAGAACAGGGGGAAAAAATGTTTTCTGTTTAAACAAAACTGAACTGCTTATAAGTCTGGTTCAAAAATAGAAAGATATCATTTTATTGGGTCACAATCCAACCCTTTTCAAGTTGAGGTAAATGTTCTCTTCAATCACTCAGCACCTCATGAGCCACACCACTCGTAGTATACAGTGTGACAACAGAGGTTGAGTAACATTATATTTACACTGTGAATAACACCAAAGCATTGACACATCCCTGACTAACGTTTCACTTCCCATATTGCACATACACATGTCAGGAATTATAGACACGTGTGACACATAGTGAATACCTCTTTGTTTCAGCTGATTTGGTTGTTGCATCACAGTATTTGGACAGATTGTGATTCATTTTGGATAGAAGTTTAAAAAGTCAATCTGCAGACGCTGATGCTGCGGGCTGTTTGTAAAGCCGTCTGAAGGAGGTTAAGTGTCTCCTGGACGTCTTTGATCCTCCTCCTCAAGGAATGCTACGGCTCACTGCTGCTTCTCAAACACCATCCTGTAAGAGACCCAAAACCACTCACTGAAGAGCTCATAAAACTGATGCACAGCCTGCCTCCACCTCCATGAGCCAGACTTCATACAATATAGCCTAATACCTAATATATTAATTTGTTAAATTTAGTTACTTGGCTAATGGTTGAATGTTGATCATCTACCAGCTAGTTTGAAAATGCCTGAATGCAGATCCTTTATAAATATATAACTGATCTGTGTGCCAGTCTGATGCAATGAGCTTCTTACTTGCACAAAAAACAGGATCAGGTACAGTTCTGTAAGGAGAGGCAGGTTGATCAAATGCTCTGGTAGTTTGAATTTGAGAAGAATTTAATTATAACCAATTTAATAAAAGTAAATATCCATAAACTGAAGTTGTTTAAATGTTAAGTAATTACATTACCTTATGCAGCCGACAAATTATGCATTGCTTTGTGCATTACAACATTAGCATTATCATAGCTGTGGCCAGAGGCATTGCGTTTTCATCTTGTCCGTCTGCCCATCCGTCTGTACGTCCAATCTATTCTTGTGGACACAATGTCTCGGGATGGAAAAGCTCAAGGATGCAATGATCAGATCTTGGTGGTCAAAGGTCAAAGTCACTGTGACATCACAAAACATGATTCTGGCCATAATTTAAGAATTGGATTGGTGTAATTTTTTAGTCCAAGGTCAAAGGTCATTGTGACTTCAAATTACATTTTAATACCCACGCAATTTAAGAATGAAATGACCGATTCCAGATTTCACACACATTGACTGTGACGACACAATGAGTGAACAATATAGCATAGTCAACTCTCATGACTGATCATACTGGAGGGCAAAAAATATTTATTTTATCATTATTGTTATTTCTTTTTTTGGTTAGGTGGGAAACAATCTTAAGATTAACTTATTTGATTTACTGATAAGACCTCTGGCAGGATAAGAAATATTTAAGTGGCTTTCTAGCTTATTATTAAAAGACTGTGTCATACCTTGTTAGGGGCAAACTTATTCACAGGTGTATGATCACATTACTCAGGTATAGCTTATAGAGATGACATTTGTTGAGCTGTTAGATTCTTCTTTTGATTACGTTTTCTATCACAGATTTAAAGCAAAAAGACTTGTTGTTCCTTAAATACAGCTGACCAATATTTGTCTGATCCAAGGACATTTCTACAAAAACAAATTAGTCCTACAGAGTCAATCAACCTGAGTCTATTTAACTCCTGACTGAACATATACCCACAGGCATTTCGGTGTATGTACACAGTGGCATCGTAAACAGTGTTTGGGCTTTTCATTACTAACTGGGGGGCTGGAGGTGGTCCTATGCTGTGAGTGTGGGACAATAAAAGAGCAGGAGCACCCATGACTCTTTTGATTTCGGAGAGGACTGTGAGACAATGTCACATATGTCCTTATTCACTATGGACATCAAGATGCTCAGGATAGTTGCCTGTTTGGTGCATCTTTTATCAGGTAGATTCAATTCAAATATTTAATGAGCTATAACATGAATTTTGTTTTATTGTGTTACATTTTTCAGTGTCAAAGAAATATAACAGTGTGGCTCTTAATTTTGTATTTTTTAGGTATGAGTGTAGGAGAGGGTATCTTACCCCCAGGACCCCTTAGCGGAGCTGTGGCAGGCACAGTGAAGTTTACCACCACCCTCAGACCTCCGGAGACTCCGTTCCTCTCAGTCAGCTGGAGCTTCAAGGGGGTGAACATCATCACCTCCACCAGCAGCAACGTCACTGAGCCCGGTCACGCTAACAGGATCTCATTAGACCGAGCCACAGGGGCCCTAGAGCTCAGGAACCTGGTGCCAGAGGACAGCGGGGAGTACACGGTCATCATCGTACCAGACGGAGGGCTGCAGAAACAGGGGAAGACCACACTGAATGTGTATGGTGGGTTTTGTTTTTTTCAAGTGATTTTTTTAAATTATCTGAAGAAATCACCTGTCTGCAATACTTTCTGTCTTAAAGGGACATTGTACTGATATAAATTCATGAAGATTAAATTTAATTATATTAAAATAAATGAACATTTTAATTTGAATCTATTCTAGAAAATCTCATTTGTTACCTGATACTTCACACTGTATTATAATTAAATATTTAATTCAATGCATTACAGTAATCCAGTGCAATGAATACAACCTTTTCCTTGCTGATATTCCGTTACATCTTTTAATTAAAATATAATTTCAGACTGTGTGGTGCTACTGTGGTACTTTGTGGTTGTGTTGAATTGTTGTTGTTGGTAAGTAGGCTCTGGTGGATTAACTGGATGTAGTCCAATAAATCCATTATTCCATTAACGACATGTCCTGTAACTGTTTTAGGTTCCTGCCAGGCTTGAATAATTTATCAATTTAATTTGTCCCAAATTCTATGTGTCGTGAAATATAAGAGCAAATATAAATCAAAAAAAAAAAGAAAATTAAAGTACAGTTGTTGTGAATAAAATGATGGTAGTTCAGAATCATAAAATTGCAAAATATTTGCTAGAACTAATATTATATAGCAACATATTGAAAATAACCAACCTAATCCTTGTTTATCTTCACATCTGTAATAGCTAACGCTTTGAAACAGCTTGTCATCATCACCAAAATACATTTACAACAATTTATTGTGCTTTTTGTTCCTTTGTATCAGTGCATCAAGTTACTTTATTCAACCATTTTCATTTTATTAACACTCTTTATGTTTTTACAGCACTGGTAAGTGGAGCCATCATCCGCAGCCCCGCAGCCATCTTGATAGAAGACAAAAGCTCCACCAACCTCAGCTGTGAGGCCTCCGGCTCCATCAGCACCAGAGTGTGGATAAAGGACGGCCAGCCTCTTCATCCAAGTGGCAGAGTCAGCTTGTCCATGGACAACAAGACAGTGTTCATACAGCCTGTTCACAGCTCCAACCATGGCACCTACCAGTGTCGAGTCAGCAACCCAGTCAGCACCATGACTGCGGCCCATAAACTCACTGTCAACTGTGAGTACTGCTCACTGCAGGCCTGAACACAATGGGCACGCTAATGAAAACTGGTTGCATTTGGTAAAATTAACTCTTCGCAGTTATTAAACGCATTTACAGGTCGGAGCCTTAATATGTCTTTTCTCTATGCAGTTGGACCACACAACATATCAATTACTGGACCATCAGCAGCAGCACCTGGCCAGAGAGTGACACTGCAGTGCACAGCGGACTCTGTCCCACCAGCACACTTCAGCTGGATGTTCAACGGCAATGAGTCACATGTTAATAACACCATGTATATTATAGAGAGTTTGGAGGCAGAAAGCGTTGGGAATTACACATGCACTGCCAGAAATATGGTGACAATGCTGGAAAACTCCACAGTTCTGAATCTGAGAGGTAAGATTTCACTTTTTCACATGAGATAGGGAAGTGATGGATACATTTTTTGTCAATTATATGTTTCTTTTTTTTCTTTTTTTTTTACTGTCATGGTGATCAAAGGGTGATAATTGATGTCTTTATTACTTCATGAAGCATCCTGCACTGTTCCCTGCTGGTCGTTTTTAGTGCTGTTGATCAGTGCTCTGACTCTGAGAGGGTTAATGTAAAAAGGTGAGAATAATAATTTATCAAATATATGCCTTATTGTTCATATTTAACTGCCCTTTATCTATTTGTTATTTCTTACTGTCATATTAATTTACATTGTTTTATGTTCTATTCTCAGATTCTTCCTTCCCTGAGCTTATGACGGAGGACCCTGACTAAAATCAGAAAGAACGTGTTGAAGAGACTTTCATTACAACTTTTCATTCTTGAGACAAAGTAGAAAATCTTACATTGGAAAAACAATTATCTTAATTAATTAAAAATACTTATACTAATCTAATTACAGACAATATAGATAATATAATTATTGTGTAAATGTTCATATTCATGAGTAGCAGCTGGATTTATTATTCCCATTTCTTGTGCATTATCTTTACATGTATGCAGATGTAAGATTGCAAATAAACATTTGTGCCTACATTTATAATGTGTTCTCCATAGTAACTTATACTGCAGAAATAATCACCTGTTTTAAACCAAAGGACACAGGGGTTCATGGAAAAAATCCTTCACTCTAGATGTGAAAAGCTTGTGTTTCTTGCAGAGCTAAAATTGTATGTGTGATAATAAGCAGGCCGGAGTGTAAATGGTAAATGGACTGCACTTATAAAGCACCTTGTGTCTGCAGCCCGGACTTTGTCCATGTTATCTACCACGGTGGCTTTCCAGTGTTCTCGCCATCACTGTCTATGTTCCTCACAGTGGTCTTCATCCTCACCATCACTGTTTACATTTATGATGTCTATATATTATTATATTGGATTGGATTGGATTCTAGTCTTCCAACCACTCACCACACTTTACACTACATGTCACATTCACCCATATTCATACACTGATGGCATAGCATCAGGAGCAATTTGGGGTTCAGTAACTGAAGGCCACTTTGGCATGCAGAGAGAGGAGCTGGGGATCGAATCACCAAATCTGACAAGTGGACAACCCGCTCTACCTCCGCCACAGCCAGCTCATTGCTCCATGTCATTTGCTCAGTAATATGTGATAATCTTACTGAAGATATGACTGTGTAGTGCTCAGGATGCAGAGTTGTTCCTGTTGCACTTGTTATTCCTGTCGTGCCCTGTAATTTACATGCAGGCAACAAACCGAGGTCGACCAACTGAAACAGGCAAAGCTTTGCATCCCCGACCTGATTACCCTGTTGAACACCTGGGGCTAATTCAGCCAGGGACTCTGATCAGTGCAGATAATTATACATCCCTTTTTCTGACATGCAGCCTCCTTCTGGTTAGGTCAGGAGAGAGGAGACGAGGGGGCACACATTTGAAAAATGAGAAAGGCCCAAGGTCAGTAGTGTGGGGCTTTAGGATTAATGTACTGTTCTGCTTTCTGCTGTTGCTGCCCGTTTGTTTCTTCACACTGTAAATCATCATCCAGTGTGTTAACTATAACTGTCAAGCAAGGGGAGCTGTACCTTTGACTGACAGACTGAGCATACATGGTTTTCAAATCTGTACAACAGCTTTCTACATTGGATCGTTTAACAATGAAACTAATGAGGTCAATTCATAGTAAGAAGGAGAACAAAAAGTAACTAAATTATTAATGTGAAAACAATTGGTGTTATTCACAAGCTGTACAGCTAAAGCAGGAGAAGCTTTGAATTGTTCAGGAGCAAAAATGCAGAATCTACAATGGAAGGTAAAACAGAAAAAAAAGTGTTTATTCTTTTGCATACAATGAAATCTCTACAATCTCTAAATTCAACATGTCTTTGAGTAATAAGAATGTGATTTGGACCTTGCAATACAAGGTTTCTCTTTTGATGACAATGCTCTGTAGGACTGTACTGCAACAGGGTCACAGTTCATGGACATCTTACTTGTTTTCTTCTTTTAGCTACTAAAACTTTTGATTTCATATTCATTTTATTTTCACAACTTACCTGTTAAACTCTTTGCATAAGCTTAAACACTTTTTTCTTTTTTGAACCTTTGAATGACTAACTTTCCATTTCATTTCACTTTTAAGAGTATTTATTTATGTCTCTTTCACTTTTTACTCTCTCCAACACGCACACAAACACTCAGATTCTCACATTTGAAGACACTACAAAAGACAAACAATGCCTTTTTATCTGACTCTCCGCAATTTCCTTCTTCAGCATAAAGGGGAGAAAAGCATTAAGCATAAGCACAGATCTCACGCCAACCCGTGAATAGTAAATCGCAATTTGCAGAATTGTGCAAATGCAACGTTTCAATTATTCAATTATTACACGAATAAAAAAACATCAACTTACATTAAGTACATTAAGGTTGAGGAACAAGACCACACCTCTCACTAATTCAAACACCTGTGCACTCGCCGGGCAGTACGGTGGCCTCACAGCAAAAACATATGCGCGTTAAAACGTCCATCCAAGTAATTCTTCTTCTATTATAGAGACCACAGTGAGATAATGAAGCCGTGAGCTATTCGAGCCAAATTATGACTCTAAATTTCAAACTTAAATAAATACCTTTGGCCTGGTTTCTTGCTTACAATTACGTCTAAGGCACTGCGTCCATCACGGCAACTGAGAGGATTTGAGAATTTGATCCACCATAGGCACTGGAACTTCTACCCAGACAGAAATGATTCAGCTTCTGATATTTACACAGCTCTGAATCCACAAACCAACTCAGTCTTGCGTGTCTAACAGTAAACTCTGGTAGTTTCTTAAAAAAACAGTGAGGTTGAAGCCTATATTTGTGTTTTCCATATATATATATATAGGCCTATTCGTCATTATAACCCTTTGGCCACCTGGGGTCACTGTACTACTGCTGGGTGCTATGTGTGACAGAGAGGAACCAACATGCTGACTTCTACTTTTGTGAATTTGAAGACTTGGAAGTTAAATATAGAAACGATCAGTCTGTAGGCACTTTGATTTGGATGTTTTTATTCCTGGTACAGTGCTGGGAGATGGGAACTGCCTTCTACCGCAGCCATGCCCCTAACATCTTCTCTTTCTAGGGTAAGTTAATTGAATTACTAAACACTGATAAGATATATGTGTGTGTGCACACTTTAATAAAATGTTGATTAATTTGGATTTGTATCTAACTTGAAGCTTTAGGAATCTGGGAGTGGACACAATGCTGTATACTCCTAACAACAACGCTCTATAGTTTGTTTTTATGTAATGTATGTGAGTCAACCCGATCATTTTTGAAGCTTTTTCCAGCGTTGTTCTGTCACAGATTATCAATAAGTGTCGGTAAAGGGTAGTTCAGACTATGTTCCTCTTTCCTACTGTATTTTTTTCTGTTTACCACATATTATTACTGACACTTCCCTCTGTTCTGCCACATTAATGCAGCAGCAACCGCACATCGACGGATCTGCTCTTTGTAACTCTGTAAGTTTGTTGACTTGATATCATCCTGTTACAGCACTCTACCACAGTAACATTGCTGGTGAATTAATTCGTATACATGCACAGCAGCAACAGTACTGTGTAATATTGTAACCTGTTTCTGTTATTTTGTCCACCGCTTGTAGTTTTGCACAATGGAAACTTCACCTCTCATGCTGCTGAAGTTGCTGTACATCACATTACTACCAGGTGAGACAGAGTGTTTTTATTTTTGATAAGGCTTTGGAACAGCAGTGTAGAAGAGTTACAGCAATTCCTTCCAAGAGAACAAGATGTAAAGTTAAGTTAAGTTAAAGGGAATAAGCAGATAAAATGTGGGTATTCAAAACAAATTTATACTGTAGGCATTTTAAACAAACGGGTAGCTATTCTATTATTACATGGTACATTGTACTGAACAACAAAGCTATAAGTTTGAGTTAAGATGAGATAATGAGGTAGGATTTTAGGATTTCTACTTACTAACATTGAAGGGGGTACAGATGATAACTACATAGTTCCTACACAACCATGGGTTATATTTGTGTTTATGCTGTGGCACAAACAGACGTCCAGTGTATTATCAGGAACATACTGTAGGTCTATAGCTAGTATGTTTCTGTTCATGTTGTAAAGTCCTGCTCACACTATACATACGACAACATTGTACTTAGAGATCACTGCAGTAGCCTGAGGAGACAAGAACAATACCATAGCATAATTTAACAACAGCTCAACAGAAGACAATCTCAGCTGCCACTCACTTCACTTCTCATCAATAAATGACGCTCATTTATGGCCCATGTGTGGCTCTCAATGAGGCTCATGCTCATATTAGAAAAGGTACCGGTTAGTTGAATATTCCTACAGTGTAAATTGTTTTGAAGTTCCCACATTGTTACCCCCTAATTCAACAACCTGACATCTTGTTCCCTTGTCCCTAAATGTATGTATTGGTACATATTGTACTGGTATACCATTAGTACAAACAGTCACACTGTAAATTGGGAAGAATTAGGCTGTACATTATCACCATACTCTAAAGTGTTACATTTGTTTTTTAGAATTTGGTTACAGTGCATATTTATGCAGACTATTGCAGGCAGAGTGATGTTTTTGAGACTCCACTGAATACAGTTAACACATTTTAGAGCACCGTTCAGTAATAGTACACATCTTGTCTATTATAAGAAATACTCAGTAATGTGAAAAGATACGTTTGTTTTTTACACCATACTGAAAAAAAGGCAAATTGAGTAATTACTAAAAAAACAAAGTCAGTCAAAGACAGTTCAAGCAGAGTTCAACAAATCTGCACATCACCTTATTTTCTTGGCAGTTCTTGAGGCGCAAGAAATCAAAGTCCGGCCTGAAGTGACTGGATACCTCGGGCATGATGTCACCCTGCCATGCCAATTCATCCCAGGAGCAAAAGGCGCCAATATCACTCAGGTTCAGTGGGATCTCAAGCCACCAGAAGGAGAGAGAATCCTCATTATTGTTTTTAGTGTTACACATGGAAGTATCGCTCATGATACATTTCTGAAGGAGAGAGTGAAGATGGCAGAACAATCTTTGATCATTAGAGATGTGAATATGACAGATGCAGGGTTGTACACTTGCAGCATTGCAACCTTTCCTAGTGGTTCATTTGAAGGAACCATCAACCTTGTTGTTCAAGGTGAGTAAGAAAATAATCTTTACACTAGCTGGACACACAAAATATAGACAATTTTCAAAATTGGTGTGATTGTAAGACAATTGCTAAATTTCATTATATATATATATTTTTTTAATTTGTAACATGGCTTTCATTGTCTTGATACAACTTGAGAAACTAATTGTGCTGTGTTACCTTATGTCTCTGAACTACACTAATTACACTACATTGATTAATTAACTGTGATTACTGACACCGGTAACTTAAAATAAATGCATGATCGACACACACAGGGTTAATCACAGTCGTGTTTCCTCTCCCAGAACAGATGCCGTTATCTTCGGGGGTGGTTTCTGCTATAGTGATTGCTGTCTTGCTGCTGTTAGTGATCATGGCAGCCATAGCTTACCTCATCTTTATCAGAAGGTGTGTGTTTGTGTGTGTGTGTCTGTGTGAGTCTGATGTGTTTGCGTAGGAGTATAGAGGCTGTAGAAAAACAAGCTCTTCCTATAACCAAGACTCTTGTGTCATAAGCTGTTACAGATATATCAGCATTAATCATCCATTTGATACATATTTTTACCAATAACTACACAATGACTTAGAAAGGATTTTCTTCTCCTTCTCCTTCTCCTCCTCCTCTTTTGAGGTCTTTGTTATGTACATATACTGCAAAAAATTTTTAAGGTTAAGAAGGGATAGATAATTTATACAATAATGTTTTTAGTATAATAAAAGAAAAGTAATTTCAGGTCAAAAGTCAAGTAAGGTAACCACTCAAACTAATCGATTTGAATTTTTTTCTCCTTAGACCGGATTCTTCAGTCAGACACCGCGTCTACATCGGTGAGAACAAAATCACGACTCCCTTATTGTTCTATTTCTTAACACCCCATGATTGATTTATATATTTTGTTGTTTGTTTCAGTTCCTTTGACTAAAGCTTGTCTGTCTTTCAGACACAAATGGTCCAGTGATGGATGTGGCCAGGCCATCTGTCACTGTAAGAGAGGAGGTGAGCTCAGACCTTCTGTCAGATTACTTATGCTGTCGTTGTGATAAGAAAAAGAAAGATTTCTGCTTTAGCAAAGACACATAATGAGCAACAGAATCTTTACAATTTTGTCTCACATTTAAATTTTTTTTATAGGATGTGGTCTACTCTGACGTCAAGCTCAAACCATTCAGAGATGTTACACCTTCATCTACTGACCAACGTACAGAGACCACATATGGTGATGATGATGTTGCATACTCCGAGGTTGTAGTTTTTCGCCGGCCGCCAAATTAGATTCACTAAAGTAATGTTGAACTTCTCTTTTTCATGTATTTGCTGGGGGGGGGAATCTTCTTGAAACTGCTGTATGCAGGTTGCATTTACCATCGTTTTGGTATCATTCATTGAAACCAGTATATCCTGACAGCTGCCAATAAATCAGCTGCACCTTCTATTCCTGCTCGCATGGGCCCGTACCAAACCAAGCTGTTTCCAACACAGCCTCACAGCAGGTGACAAAAGAAAGGCAATATATTCATCACAGATTTAACAGAGCTTTCATTGGCGGTGGTATTCTGTCTACAGCCAGCTCTGTGAGGGTGCACACATCTGTATTCTAACATGCTTACAGTGATAATGTTAGCATGTTGATGTTTAGCATCAACACAGTATAAACCCTATTGGTTTAGCATGTTAGCATAAAAGCATTTGAGCTGAGGCTGATGTGAATGTCATTAGTTTGGTGAAGAGTAAAGACATGCACAGCACCAAAACTTTAACGCTTTATTGAATGCAGGGTAATAGGGAATAAAACAAACAGGATAGCGGCACTCTCAGATAGGCATCAATATCTTCTTGTTTATTATTGGCAAACAGCAATTGTGTTTCAGTGTTTCAGCTATAAGCAATTATCAGCCATGGCTAGGGTGACCATACTTTCTAACTCCCAAACCAGGAAATGGCCAACTTTCTCTTTAGCATGACAGCTAACCATTAGCATATTATTTTGTCAGAAAGAGCTGCAAGCCTGGCTCATAGGATAGCAACAACCTTGACTGTTGGTTGATTGGCACACATACAGTCAATTTATTGTTGCATTGTTTATGGTCAGGGGTCTCAAACTGCCAGCCCGGGGGGCATTTCCAGCCCTCCATCCGCCCACAATGTGGTGTCAAAAATGTTATTTAAAAAAAAAAAAATTCTAGTTGTTTCATATCACTTTAAACTTCCCCTTCACATAAAATTATAATAAAAACACAATTATGTCTATAAAATTTTTTTAATTATTATTTATTTGTTTATTTATGGCAAAGGACAAAAAGTGTCCATGAATGCGTGGAAATGGTTGACAAGAAGAGAGCAGGTTTTGGACCTTCATTTTTGTTCGGCTGTGAACAACAAAGATGATATAAAATGAATAAAATAAAATGTTCTGATAATGCCGTTTGATGTTTTTTTTTAAGTATGTTGGTAATGTAAATTTTCTCAGAATATTTCGCTTTCGTGTAGTATTAGATCGTTAAAGTGGCCCTCCTATGAGATTGAGTTTGAGACCCCTGTTTATGGTTTTTTTATTGGGTTAGATAATAATGAGTGCTGTGCAGTGGACCACTTAAGTGGTCACAGTTGCTCCCAGCTCAGTGCAGCTATCTCCCCCACTATTAAAAAAGCTATAAATGTTGCTGGACCTGAATCTAACCCTACTGTAGGAGTTATCAGTCTAGTTCCAGTTATGGATCTGTAAAGTAAGTATACTATCTGGCTCTCATGACGTGCGATTCTGACTGTGGCCATAACGCTAAAGTCTCCCCACAGACAGGTGCTGTTCCTGAGAACACTGTAAAAACTAAAAAAAACAACAACCTCAAAACAAGTTCCTGTTCCTCCTTTACCCTTCGACTGTCAAAGGTAGAAGACCAAAAGGAGGAAAAAAATGGAAATTACACACTAAACAAGGAACTAACTTGTGCAACACTAGTGTGGTGTGTTAATTTTTCCAGCTAATGATGCTTAGGGCCTTAAAAGTGACAAACTTCCCCAATTTTAGCAGTAAAATGTATTTCCTAGATTCCTTTTTTATTATAATTCAACTAAACTGGACATTATGACGTTTAAATTCTGTGATGTGTACCTCTTGCTTCACCTGACTTACTGGCTAGAATTTGAATGTGAGCATGTTTTTAGAAATCTTTTTAGAGCTGGAGTTGTAATTGTACTGTACTTCAAATTCTTTCCTAATCCTGCCTGCTTCTTCAAAGTTACCTGCAGCAGCTATAAGTCAAAAGCAAGAATTGCATATTATGATTCAATACTGAATGTATACCAATAGCACAGATAAGCTACTGGTAGTTGTTGTTCTGGCATTTTACCCTACATTGTATTTTTGGCGGCTTTGGCCCGATTGTGCAGATGTATGCAGATGTTGCAGTCAGAGAATGCCATGTAAAAAGGTGATAACATGTGGTTGTTGTAATGATGCATACAATCACTAAAATTTAGCTTTCTGTTACCTTCTGGCAGGGTTTCCTGGCAGTGTGATTATGTAGGTGTGAGATTATGGCTCACTTTGTACAACAGAACATGTGAGAACAAAGCCATTTCTTTTTTGTTATACTTACTTAAGGGCTAACTTGTATTTTTTGAATTGCTCTGTTTTTACATCTTGTTTATATTGAAAGTCATTGATTGGACTTTTTTTTTTTACACCCGATGTAATGCATTTGAGATATTTCTGAAATGCTGCTTGTTTAGCAAATCATGCAGACAAGCAGATAGGTAAGAGTCTACAAATTGTCTGTACATTTGCTTTAAAACAGAACTGTTTGTTAGTGGCTAGCGTGGCTTAATAAACCTTTTCATTGTGACAGACATTACCTGTGGTTTTTCTTTTCTCTCTTGTGCTGTAGAGCTGTATCATGACAGGAAATAGATAAAAAAGATAAGACAAGCATTGTTTGAAAGAAGTGCACCATTAACGTTTTTCCACAGCAGTGCATGGCATTACTCAGACTGAAAAGAAAAAATGCCTGCAAATGTTTCACTTAAAAAGCAAAGACACGTGTCACTGTAGTACTATTGAGAATGAGCCTTGTATAATCTATGTTCAAGGAATCAGACATTGTGCAAGGAATGATGTGCCTTGGTAGTTTCTTGCATTTAAAAGGGTTATTTGGTAGCTCACAACACTCATTTGTGTGTCTTTGTGGTCATTTTTACTCTCTTTCTACTATTTTTGCATCTCTTCTGTTTTTTTCTGTCTCTTTGTAGTAATTTGATTGACTTTCCAACAAGAAATGGTAACACAGGGCTTGTATCTTGTAGGCCTGTTCAATAATCCATTCATGATATTAATAAGCCAACTACGAATAATCACCTTCTGAATCTGCCATCAAGTTTTTACATATTTAATATTTGCACCAAGTTATAATCTGATACAGGCCTCATAAATATATTAAATATTACATTTAAAATTAATGTTAAATTAAATTAAATGTTAAAAAAGATATAATGTAAAAGTGTGTTTGTCTCAATGGGTCTGTCAGATGTTGTGGTGAATGGCTTGGATATTTTTAGAGATTATCTGAAGTCTCCTTGATGGCGTCATCCTAGAATAAAACTATTTTATAAGGGGGTTTACTGAGAGCAATGCTCTTTTTCAGGAATGCCCTAAACATATTCTTTCACACCTGGAAGTTGCCCAGTACAACCACAGTCTGATCTGCTGTCCACCCTCCTGTAAATTATTGTTGTCCAAGATGTGAAAATCATTTACCCATTCTTCCCTTCGCATTAATCCTGAGCTTGCTGCGCACAGATATGAATCCTAGTGACGTCCTGCTTTCTTGTTTCTACTCAGACAGTGCTTTTGCACAAGGTAATTAACTCCCATCCATAATTGAGGAAACACCACCCTGATTATGGCAAGATAGCTGAAAACATTTAGGGAATAAAACTGACTTGGGAAAGAGCTGTGCACCTCTGAGTGAAAATTAGCAAAAAGGAAACATATTTGTAGTTTCACCTTATGGAGTTCTTCTGTAGTTATAACTATAACATGTTTGTCAGCATAATGTTGTGGATCCTTCCTGGGGTCCATATTAAAATAAATGACATATAATCAACAATATTTGAAATACAGTAAACAGTATAGTTAAGCTAAGAGAACAATAAGAAGAAAACACTAAATTTGTCAATAAAAGAAGTACATACATAATACATAATACAGACAGATTTGTATAAAAGGTTCCTAAAAATATCAGGAAAACTCATCTCTGATCAATATTCAAAGGTAATAATCTTCTCAAAATCATTTCTTCACCTTCTTGTGCACAGTAGTTCTGTTTATCTTTACCTATATTGGTTCAGCTTTGTTGTCCTTGTTGTTCTTTGTATGTCTATTTCTATCTGTCTTCTTGTAAATTGTTTTTGGAACTGTGTGTAAGTATATTGGGAGCAACTTCAAAATGGAGTCGAATTCCTTGTATGTGTACACAAACTTGACCAATACAAAGCTGATTCTAATTCACCACCCTTTGTAAGTCACATGCAACTTGTTGGGTAATAGCCCTTCATTTAATTCAACACTGGAGCACATGTCTGCACATTATCATCATTTGACCACATGAGGTCACTGTGCTGTTGGATTGCATGAATCACTCATGATGACAAATGAATTGCAATTTGAAGACGAGAGAAGTGAAAAGACACAGCCGACCACTTTATCGTAGAGACTTTTTGTTGACATCCTGTACTGTACATGTACACAATGAAAACCTGCAGCAGATCACCCCTTGCACTTCTGTTCATTTACATCACAATCCAAGGTAATACACAAGGTTTTTAATTTTGGCTATTTATGTAATGCTAAATTACATACATTTTTTTTAGTTCCTCTGGTACTTGGGTGAAGCAATACCACACTTTAAATATACTCCATTGTAAAAGTCCTGCATTCAAAATTGTACTTTTAAAAGTACACAAGTATTGGTAGTAAAATCTACTTAAAGCGTCACAAATGAAAGTACAGATTAGGGAACAGCCTTTCATTTTAGACTATTATATTATTATCATATATTCACTTTTATATCATCAGGCCTTCTAAATAATATTTACTAAATTTACCAACAATTTGTAAAAGTATAAAGTAACTTAAAAGTAAGGTACTTCACTTAATAAATGTACTTTATATATTGTCTCTCTTCCTGCCACTATGTCAATTTGTTTTTCTTTTTTTTCTGCAGTTGTTGAGGCACAAGAAGTCAAAGTCTGGCCTGAAATGACTGCATACATCAGGTATGATGTCACCCTGCCATGCCAATTCATCCCAGGAGCAAAAGGCGCCAATATCACTCAGGTTCAGTGGGATCTAAAGCCACCAGAAGGAGAGAGAATCCTCATTATTGCTTTTAGTGTTACACATGGAAGTATCGCTCATGATACATTTCTGAAGGAGAGAGTTGAGATGGCAGAACAATCTTTGACCATTAGAGATGTGAATATGAAAGATGCAGGGTTGTACACCTGCAGCATTGCAACCTTTCCTAGTGGTTCATTTGAAGGAACCACCAACCTTGTTGTTGTTGTTCAAGGTAAGTGTCAAATATTTGGAGTCATATCCTCTGACATACAAGGTTTGGAATTAACTCGCAGGATGATCCCGTGGAATGAAAATTAGTTTCATCCGTGATCGAAGCAGGCAGACAGTCAGAAGAGGCAAAAAAGTTAAAATGGGGCAAAAGCAGGCTTAAGTCCAAAAGTAGGTGAGGGTCATAAGCTACTGGCTGGTCTAAGGAATTCAGGAGGAGTTTGTGAGGCAGAATATCATGATTAAGACGCCTACACTATTGGTACCAAACTATTTTAAATAGTTTTATTTTAAATAATTTTAAATGATTTCAAGGAAAGGTTCAGCATTTTGGGAAATGTGCTTTTTTGCCAAGAGTAGGTGAGAAGATCAATACCACTCTCAATGCTGTCCATTAGATATGATACAGCCATCCAGATAGCTGTCTGTACAAAAAAAGTGTAAACATGACATTTTGCTGTTTTTCAAAGGGGTTACATGCAAAAATATTTCTTGTCTGGGGGGCGGTTGCCAGGCAACCAGTGGTAACTTGCTGTTTCCCCCTATTTCCAGTCAGTGTGTTAATTTAGCAAAGCTAATTTAACCGTCTGCTTGCTGTAGCTTCCTATTTTAATGGACAAGTCATTCAAACTAGCACAACATCACTAAAGAAAGACTCACACATGGTTTTGGGTTGATCATAGTTGTGTTTCCTTTCCCAGAACAGCTGCTGATGTTATCAAGGATGATTGCTGCTGGAGTGTTCGTACTGATAGTTCTGACCATGGGCGCCGCGACTTACTTCATCATCAGAAGAATAAGGTGTGCGTGTGTGTGTGTGTGTGTGTGTGTGTGTGTGTGTGTGTGTGTGTGTGTGTGTGTGTGTGTGTGTGTGTAGGTGTGTGTGTGTGTGTGTGTGTGTGTGTGTGTGTGTCAAATGTGTATTTTATGGTGGAGTATACAGTCTGAACTGCTGAAAAGAAAACTCTATACATGAGATATTACTAACACTTTTGATGAATAACTAAGTCTTTATCCTCTACAGTATCACTGCCGACACTATATTAAATTCATTTAGACACTGTGATTTATTGGTTTATTAAAGCACATACTGTACTTTAAAGGGTTTTAATGAATTGGAATAAAATTAATCTCTAAAATCAGGTTGTAAAATAACTCATTATAGCTGTATTTTCTTTACTCAGATGTGAGGCTATTTCAAAACAGCAGCATATTCATTTATATTATCTTGGTGTTTGTTTTAATTCCCTTGACAAAAGCTTGTCTGTCTTCCAGATACAGCTGGTCTAGTGATATGTGACTGAAAGAGACGAAGTGTGATCAGAGTTGCTTTTGAGGCTACATACTTCATTATAATGAAGGAACAGGTCACTCTACAATTTCTTCAAAACAGAACTAATATTTTGTTCATTGCTGTTGTTGCTTAATAAAGTTCCACATTTTCACAGACCTCACCAAATCGGTAATTTCCTCATTTTTCGTCTGCACTGCATAACTGACAGGAAATTGAAGAGCTAACAAATGCTGCTTGAAGGGAATGGGGGTCAATTTCCTGCAGAACAAGTACTTTTCCTTTTGATACTTAAGTACATTTTACTGATTATATACTTTCAGTTCTATTATTTTTAACTTTTTAGTACTTAAATGCAGGACTCTTACTCACATTGTTGTTGCTGTGTACTTCCACCACCCCTGGCGAGATGATAGCATTTCCATATCAGTAAATCTCATTGCTAACACAAGAAGAACAAACGCACTTAAAAAGCACAGACGCGTATCGCTGTGGGACTGTTTGAATATTTTTATTCCAAAAGAAGTTTGTGTGTCTATAGGTTTGAACAACAGGGCGATCTCTCTGAAGAACATCAGTGCACCTTCTCCCCAAAACCTCCCATCCCACACCCTTCACCCACAATCACACTATAGAACCTCTTGCTCTTCAACAGGAATAATAACAACAATTTAATCATAATATTCATCATCAGTTTTAATAATCCATTTAGCACTAGTATAGAAATATGAAAAAATACCAAAGAAAAGAACATAAAAGTAAACAAAAAGGGTTTGTTTTGTAGAGTGACTGTTCAGACACTCCATCTGATTTGTTCTGTGACCCTCCCTTCCCTTTCGTATTCATACTAACAATATTTTGGCATTTTAGGGTTTCTACCCGCATCTTGCCCGTCCACAATAATGCTTTGCACCTATTAAACGCTTCAGCTGATGATTTAAAGCTGATAGCCCCTTACTGGCTATATGATGCTGTCACATATCAGGTTCTGTGAATTTGTACAGAGAACAAACCAAAGAAGATATGAAAAATAAACTCTGAAGACAAGAAAACAACCAGTGGGTTTACAGCCTTTAGACAACAAGGGAATCTGAAATCAAGATGTTGTGGATGTGTGTGTGTGTGTGTGTGTGTGTGTGTGTGTGTGTGTGTGTGTGTGTGTGTGCATTGTGACTACATGTGGAAAGTTTGGCTCCGTTGCCTTGTCAGCATTCTGAGCACAAAGGCAGATGTAAACAGAGAGAAAGAGACACATCAAATCCAGGCCTGCTTCTGCTGACAGCAATCGTTCAGAGAAACAGCATAATGTGTGCAAACAATGTTATCATTCATTATCTGGAGCACAATGGTGTCAACAAATCTATTTCCCTGCAAAATGAATCATTTTATACAGCAATGCAATGTTTGCCTAGACAACAAAGCCATTTTTTTTCCCCCAGGGGATTCGTAAAGGGCTGAACTGGTGGCTTTGCATGTCACCTCTCATTTTGTATGACTGCTGAATATGGATGGGTGGGAAACCAGTGAAGCATCGTGCTTGTTGCTGCACTAGCGACTCCTGCTGTTGGGTGAGATCTGAGCATGAAGATCCACAATTAAAGGTGAAAAAAGCAGCTGGTAACACTGTATGTGTATTGGGGCAGAATTGTGTGTCAAGAGGCTTTTAGAGACACGGATTGTGGTACAAAAGGGGAAATTGACATTTCAAACCAGGGGCAAAAAAGGGGAAGGAAAAAAAAAGACACTGATGAGTTCCAAGGGCCAGGAAACACTGACTTTTGAGAAGTGACAATTGGCTAATGAAAAGCATTACATTCAAAAAATCTGCTGTCAGGAAGTCAAACTATAAAAGACAAACATTGACACTGAACAGGATGATCGTGGATTGAAAACGTTGCATCAGCTAACCCTCAAATCTTGGGTGTCAGCATTTCCTTGAACATCCCAGAAAGTCTTCTTAAAACCAAGTATACTAACTATAACTAAGGGTGTGTATCAAACCGCCTCCTAGATCAGTAAGTAGTGAGTCACTCTGCAGTGAACATTTTGGGAACTGATTAGGTAACTGATTCAATGAACACAGAGACACTGATGAGTCAATGACCTGCAGTGCAGAAAATGCGAATACAGCACTTGATAATGATGTCATATATATAAAAAAAAGATATAATCTGGAGTTGATAGACTATTCTGCAAATAATGACAGTTACATTTGCCTCTGAGGGGACCCTTTACGGAGGTGTTATACCACAGAGAACACAGCTGCAGCACATAAAAGTAATAATTTTGATTAGCGTAAACTGAAGAGAACTCATGCTGCAGTAACCAACCACACCTGATTCATGTAAACAATCCTGAACATCAATGGAAACAAGTACTAAATTCCATTTGGATTAATAAAATAATTGATCTGCCCACAAATAGGCATTAAGGGAGGTGATGGCGTATAAATAGACTTAAAGGAGAAGGTTGTCAATATTGTATTTTTGTTTCTTGTCAACAGATCCCATGAATACACCAAAACTTCCCGTGTGTAACATTTAGAAAGATCTATTAGTAGAAATTCAATATAATATTCATAGGTATGTTTTAATTAGCGTAAAAAGGCCTGAATATAAGAATTGTTATGTTTTTGTTACCTCAGAATGCACCGTTTTTATCTACAGACGCTGCGGGTCGTCTTCCCAGGAGTCTGCCATGTTGAACTGTCATGTTTCTACAGTAGCCCAGAAGGGAAAAAACAAACAATGGCTCTAGATACAGACGTTCACGTTTTTCTCACATTTCACAAGGGTATTGCGATCTGCAACAACAGCACCAGATACCACTAAATCCTACACACTGGTCCTTTAAAAAATGGGAACAAATATGTAATTTCATTAGATTTTGCAATAATGTGACTCATTAATGTAGCTACAAGGAACTTTCATTTTGTGTTCTTTCTAACAGCCCCTGTGGACAAAAGCAGTAGTGTTTCTACCACCTTGTTTCATCTGATTTCATGGGGAATCCCACAGTAGCAAGCATTAAGAATAACCATATAAAATGGCTAATCCTCTGGCTGATGGTCTTGTTTATTTATGTAGGTCATACAGAGGCATCAGTATTAAACTGTTTCGTTAAGTTAAAATTCCTTGTAGTATGTTTAATGTGTTTTTAATAGGGTTTAAATAATGGCGGTCTCCGGCACAGAGGAATGAGCTACATGAAGTTTTGGCTACTTATTGTGGGTACGGTCTTTTCATTGAATTTGTTGACAATAAGAATCCTTTAAGGTTCCTTGTAATATCTAAAGCACATTTGTGCTACTTGGGGGATTGGAAATCTACAAAACATATGGTATGATTTAAATAATCATCTGCAATAATATGAAGTGTACACAGTTTGAAATTAAAGGGCTAAAACATGCAAATCCACCAGTGTATTTTCTTTAAGCACCAAGGCTAATATACTGTAGTGTTTGGATTGTTTTAGTTTCACACAACAGTAGGGCTGTAACATTAACAACATAATTAAAAGAGACCAGATTCCCTTTCCAGCCAGAGTGAAAAGCATGTATTTCTTCTAAATCTATTTATCAGCATGTTTCCCTGTGTTCAACCCCCTCCTGAATGAGTCCCCAGCCACCGAGGGGAGTAATTAGGCGATCAAAAGCTTGAGACAGTATTGACAAGGCTGTGTTGAGTCTATCACTCTGGCAGGAGCCTCTACTCTGAATGGCCAAGTCTGTCTGTTAAACAGAGAGAAGGGAGGAAGCTGCAGCTACAGCCTGCTGGCGCATTAACAAGCCCCTTAAAAGATGCCCAGAATTAACAGATCAGGACAGATCTAATAATGGAAGTAGTTCAGTTAGGGATTTCTCATTCAAATTCAGTAGTGTCCTTTTCATTCTCTGCCTCTTTCTATCTCCTCTCTTTCTGTTCTTCTCTATCTTTCCTCTCTGTCTCCCGCTCTGCCTCGCCCAGTCTCTCTATCTCTTCTACGCTGTGTGAACAGAGGTGAAAAAGAAGTAAAGGCTTGGCAAGCGTTACCCAGGATAACGAGCGACATTAATTTCACATTTCAAAGCCTCTTGCCCCCCCCTTCCTCCCCCTCTCTTTCCGTGACTGTCTGGTTATCTAACATTTGTTGAAGGGTGCTGTTGCCGGGTACATGGTTCTCCTAACTTTGAGTAGTTACAAACAGACTTACAGGAAGCACAATTGTTTACATACACACACACACGCACAGTGTTAAGAAAGGCAGACCAACAGTTTCCTCTGCTACTGTTCGCATCATGTTGTCTTGAAGTCGTTTCATCCACCTTCCCTCATACCATCCAAAAAGCAGCTGTGGGGCACAGGGAGGGACACAAAACTCTTGAACACAATTAGCCGCAGTCAAGTTTCTTAGTATGTTATAATCCACCATGTTGTCACACATAGTCTGTATTTAACTCTGTAATTCCCACTTTGAACAATGGTAACAAAACAAGAAAGACAACAAAAGAAAAAAAACAACAGGAAATAATTCTCTGGAAGTCTTTTAGTTGCTTAGTTTTAAATCACATACGGATACAGTATGTCCTCCAGCAAGGCTTCATTTTACTAGAGGGGCAGTTTGCTTCCAGGCAAGTGTCTGTGGAAGAAAACCAGCGCCCTCATATCTAAAGGTGAAGTGAGAGGGGAGTAAGGAGAGAAAAAGGAGGCCAATGGAAACCATCATCTGGTCATGTGCATTTCCACTCGGATTAGTCCAAACTGAACTGTTCTTCGGAGTTGATTAAAGAAGCTTAACTGACGACCATCTCGCAGAGTGCTTGTAGCCAGTTCTGTATCTGTAAGCCTCAAGCTCAACTGGAGAAAAGATTACGGTTTTCCCTGTTTATTCTCCTTTTAAAGGCCATCTTATTTTCTATTGGCTGATGTCACAGAGTTCAACTTTTTCCTCTGTCCCCCCTCTTATAAATTTCACCTCTTTCTCAGCAGCACAAATGTTCCTCAGTCTCCTCAGCACTGGCTCCCTCCCTCACCCCGCCCATTGCTTCAGTCCTGGTCACCCAGTAGGTCTGTGGTGTTGCTGTTCTGTGGAGGTGGGATGGGTCGGGGGGTATGAGGTGGAGGACTGTGGTGTAGCCGCCTTGGGCTGGGCCCCCCTCCGCCCTCACTGTCTGTGTTGGATGAGGATGGAGGTGGGGGTGGGGGTAGCCTGGGCAGGGGTGCTGATGAAGGTGGTATTCTTGTTGTGGTTGATCCTATACTGCCGCCTGACCTCAGGTTCTGGATCCTTCGGCACTCCTGGCAGATCCTCACGTGGGTGCAGCTGCGGGCGGGCAGCATCACAGGGGTAGGGGCTGGTGGAGGAGGGGTGGTGTTGGCCCCCAGTGGATCATCTAGGATCCGCTGTGGCCCAGGGCCAAGATCGGAAGGCCCTGTCCCTCCGCCTCCTCCTCCCCCTCCCCCTCCCCCCCCCCTCCTCCTCCTCCTCCTCCTCCACCTCCAGCTCCACCTGTCAGCGGGCCAGCTCCACTGTAGAGCTTGCCGTTGCTAAGGCGCATTTCCCGGACCAGGCGCAGTGGCCGAGGGGCCCCCAGAGCTATGCGTGTGGGGTGTCGCAGGGCTGCTGAACTGCTGAGGGGCCGACGGCGCCGCATGCGGGAGCTCTTCTTACAGGAGACGGCGTTTCGGAACTCTGTGATCATCTCCTGACAGACAGACACCTAAAGGAGAAAAGGAAGGAGGGAGGAAAGACGGAAGGGAAGGAGGCAAAGGTAGGAGGGGCGCCACAGACCCAAAGTAGCAGGCAGCAGAACAAGACAGTGGTAAGGCAGTACATAAATAGGAGAGCGGAGGAAAAATAAAAAAAGTGAAAGGGAAAATAAAAGAAAAAACAAAACAAAACGAAGAACAAGGCAGGAACAAGGCAGAAAGAACAGACACAGTAAGGGATGGTCAACGAAAAAAGGTCGCAGGAGAAGCGAGGGCACAGAGATCAACAAATGGGATGGTTTGAAAACAGAGATGAAGAGGTCATGGGGAAGGATGTGGAGATGGATAGAGATGGGAGAATATCCAAGGAGCAGAGAGAGTTATTACAATCCAAACACACAAAACACCAAAATGTTGTTTAGTTTATGGGCACTTCATTATGGCACTATGCACTATGAACGGACAGGCAGGCCTGCAAACTCAGGTGCACATATACAAAGGCACAGTCACGCATACAGCAGCTGTGCACACCTTCTCACACACACACACACACACACACACACACACACACACACACACACCACAGTAAGACACACTTCCACACCCACAAATCTTTTTTTATCATTCCAGCAGCATGACTACTATAATTTGCACACATGACACAAACAAAATGCATCAACATATCCACTACAGACAAACAACATTCTCATTGAAATCATAATAAAAACTCATGTGCTCACATAAACAGAAACAGTAATCATTATCGGAGAACAGACACTGATGACAGGAGGTGTGTGTTTGAGAGAGAGATAGAGGGAGACACACAGTGAGATGGGTGAGAAGTAATCCAAGAATGGAAACGAAGAATACCAGCGTACATGTGAGGCATGTAAAAGAAGATACATCATGACATTTAATGCCAGGGAAAAAGATCACACTACTTCTTTATGCAAGCAAATATTGGCATTTCTCAATATTGCTTATCCGTACCATCAAGTTTAGCTCACAAACACTTATAGTGCCATACTGTTAAACACCAAACACTAAAAGGGCACAGTGACTTCAAAACAGGCAGGACATGCAAAGTGAAATCAAATTCTCTATTTGTTGTACATATTTTGGACACAACAGCATTTCAGTGCCACGTACTTGAACATTCCTCTCATCTCACATGCGCATAACACATTGAACTTCAAATGTTACAGCACACACAAACAAACAAACACATACAAATGGAGGCAAAAGCTGAAAATAATTTACCCATCCTCACACACAAACACACACACAAAACAACATAATCAAAAGGGTTGGCGGGATGCCATGGGAACCTACTGGGGTATGTCTGTGGGGTCGGCGAGGGCAGGTATGGGGGCATACCTCATCGGTCTCTGCCGAGCGGCGTGTCGACCACACAAACTCCATAATGGCCACAAACACGGCAATAATGAGGCCACAGATCAGCACCACAAAGATGCCCCCAATGTTCTCCATGCCCAGACCTGAAAGTGGGCCACAGGAGACAAACATTAGCACACACACACATACACACACACAACACACACACACACACACACACACACACACACACATGCAGAAACACACCAAATTTAGTAGACATGAGGAGTACTAAACAGCCTTTGAAAACTGTGCATATTTTGTGGCTCTAGCTGAGCTCTGTTAAATAAATAGTTCAACATTTTGGACAATATGGTTGTTTTATGTCTTTTATGCGTGGAGTTACACTGATAACATTCTTGAGTCTTTACAATTAAACTGAAGCTGTCTCCAGAAGCTGGTTAGATTAGCTTGACATAAAGACTACACTTTTTATACGTATTAAAGAGTAGCTGTTTCCTTTTTTCAACTCTTAACTAAGCTAACAAGCTGCTCGTTGTAGATTCCATATTTGTCGGTATCAATTTGGAAAAGTATGAGAAAATAACTCAAGTGACCTCTCGGGGCAGAGCTTTTAATAGTCAGTTTGAATAACAAACTGCAGAAGTTTGAAAGACAGGCCTCACCACTTAGGGAGGGTCTAAGTGTAGGATTCAGTATTTTTAGAGCTTGACTCATACAAGGGACTAAAAATCTGGATTTCTCAGCCTCTATAGCTCCAATCTTGTCCATTCTTGTCTCTTGCAAGTATCTCAACTTTACGTAATGCAATACTAAATCACTGGAGTGCTCCCTCAATTGAATTAAAACATTTAAATGGCCCATGATGAAGTGGATGAGTGAATACCGGAATTATGGGGCCCTGAAACGATCGAGATACACTGTACAGATGAAGCTCAATGATGCTGAAAAGTAAGGCGCAAAATCCCTTTTTTTTTCCCAGAGTTACCAAAATCATTTTCAAAGGAGATTTTCATCTGACAGTGCGGAATAAATGCCAAGGCATTTTCATTGTCTTTGTCATTTATACAGGCACAGACACATTTAACACACACGCGTGAACAGACACACTCACTCTAATAAAATTCCCATTACACACCACCTGAGACAAACAGAAGACATTTGGGAAAGTAGATTGTGCTAAGCACCCTTCACAAGGACATTAGGTTAGGCATTAGCCATTAGCTAGACTGTAGCAGAGAGTGAGGAGACTATTACTGTGGACATTAGAGAGAAGGAGGGAGAGGAGACAGACAGCTGCGGTCGACTGACCCTTGGCACGGTGGTCCTCCTCTTTGGGACATTGGCCTCCCTCCCACCACCTCCTCTTCAGTATCTCCAGCCTGTTATTCTCCTGCAGCTGGAGGATGGCCAGCGTGATGTCATCTCTGAACGGAGACCCTGGCAAAAGACAGGAAAGCAGAATAAGAGCGAGTCGTGGAGGACGGAGATGGTGCAGCAAAAGAGCCCAAACTAAACGGGTTATTTCATGAAATGAGTGTAAGAGAAAAAGGAGAAGGAATCACAAGGAAAGAATTGCTGTTGCAGCCTCGAGATAGCTACGAGTGATCTTACAGTGAGAATAAAGAGAGGATTAGTGAGAGATAAAGAGTGAGATTACGACTAGACAGAGCCAGTGGTACAGCTGCTGGTCAGACAGCATACAAAGCATGTTATGAAGTAGATACAGTAGAAACGAATGCGCTGGTTTAGAGGGTCAGTTCATCTGAAACTACAAATATATTTTCTCAGTTACCCTAGTGTTATCCAGCCATGAAGATAATCAGCAGACCTCAATATGAACAATTTTCATTGCAAGTACTTTCTGCAAGAACACAGGTCAGGTGAAAATGTTTGACAATGTGTTCAATGAATTATTAGTAACAGGGTCGGTTTTGTTTCTTTAAATTAAACTCAAACTACCCAAAAACAGTCTGTAAACAGAGCACGGAAAATTATTTCAGATAGCACTCAACGAGATCATCACCTTTTGTAGCTGTTATCCTCTGGGAAGCATCCCAGATCACTTCCCAGCATGACAAACCATTTAAAAAATACAATCGTTTTATTTCCCAGTGCGAAACATAACCTAAACCTACAACCAGGAGATGATCCAAGCTTAGCTGGAAAAAGTTAGACTGGTTCTGTCCAAAATAAAATCTGTCTACCAGCAGCTAAAGCCCACTAATTAACACATTATATCTTGTGTGTTTATCTGTGGAACAATGGAAGACAGCAAGTTATAGTTTTACAAGGGTTTTAGGCAAAACAATTTCCTCCTGAAGGCTGCAGAAAGTCGCATTTTTATCAACCTTTGGTCAGAGCCAGGCTAGCTGATTTACTCTGTTTCCAGCCTTTATGCTAAACAAAGCTAACTGTCTCCTTGTGTAACGACTTTGTGGTTTCCATCATCTAACTTCTAGCAAGAATATGATCAAGTGTATTTCCCAAAAATGACAAAAAAAAAGTCAGCTATTAATTTAAATTGAGAAAGGCCTAGTGGCAAGTGAGAAAACGTGTTTTTTTTTTGTTTGTTTTTTTAATTTGGGATAACCAACCCTTTAAAAGTATTTTTAATTATCCTTTTGCCTCTAGACCTCTTTCTCCTCTCTGGTCTGTCTCTTCGTGTCTGTGTGTGCTCTCCATGCTAATGTACAGTAACTCTGCTTTATCTTTCTCCAAACCTTTTGGTCCATCATATCTCACTTTCTTTCCTTTTCCTTCCCCTCTCTAGTCATGCCCTCCTCCTCTTCGTTAGAACAGATCACTGTGATGCACTGACACCACCTCTATGTGCTAAAAAAAGGAGCTTCAGAAGAGCTGGACGCGTGTGGAAAAGCAATTAACTGCATGTTCATTACTTTCAGTTAAAATACTTACTAATCCTGTAGATAAAAAATAAATCAACCACGTACAAGAAATTTTTTCAGAACTAATCTCTCACCAATCAGTACAGCTACATGTGTCTATTTAGCCTAATTGATCTCATGCAAGTGTTTCTGTCTGTCTCACTGTCTCTTGTTGTGTTTTTTTGTTATATTTGGATGAGGTTTATAGATAGTAAGTAAATCTGTGTGACACCATTGATCAGAACAGGCACAGATAATAGGTTTACATCCCTGGTACTGCACTGGAATTGTTCTCATCTTAACTTTCATGTTAAAATGCTGTTCCCTTTTGGTGATCTTCTTTTCTTCTGCTTCTTTAGCTGCATGGGCACAATTTTATGCCCTATAATTTGGACTCTTTGTCCACTGCGATGTCATTGTTCTCCACTACTATAATAACAAAAGCCTAGTGACAATTGTAAGCAAGCATATTATTAGTTTGCTTATGTTCAGGATTAAATGTCTGATGTGTTTCTGAAGGTAAACAAAGCCAAAGAGCTTGAATGCAAATTAGTCATTTAACACAGTGGTTTTCAATCTAGGGGTCGGAACCCCACATTTCTGATGCATTTATTTGGGGGTTTTGCTCTTTTTCTTGTAAGATACTACATAGTTCTATCTCATTTGGCCTCAAAAAAGTATTCAAATGAAGCAGTCTAATAAAGGATGCAGCCTGTGGCAGATGGCTGCATGTATATGTTGCTTGAGGGGTCACAAGCACACAAGGTTGGGAATCAGTGCTTTAGCCCCTATCCTCTTGTTCTGTTAACGTTTTTTCAAACCATTTACTGCTATTATTTTCTGCTTTATTTTAGTGTCATATTTACATAGAGCTCAAACAATCATATCAATTCAATATGTTGTTGTCTTGATTACTACAATACCCCATTATTTTCCTTAATCCACAAACTGTGGCAAAATACTGCAGCAACAGGATTAAAATGGGTCAGTGTTGCACTGGTTATCTGTTGTTATTTTTTCAATTTATTTCAGGTATTTATTAATGAATTATAGATCTAATCAAAGATATGGCAGCGATATCTGTGACCTTCCTTCCATGAAGATGTCAATCATAGATCTTCAGGTGTGTCAGTAGAGGCAAAAAGAGTAAATGTGATTGAGTGTTTGCTGTGGGGGCTTGTAGGCTTTGAAATATCCTGCCTGAATATGACACTGACTAAATCAATATTGATGTTTTCGAAAAAAACTTCATTAACATGTTTCACACTGCATCTATATGTCTACTTGTGTGCGTTGTGTTTCAGTATTTTGCTTGTTTTTAAATCATAGTAGTAATGTTATAAATATTAAAATAACTTGTGATGTGATAACATACTATATTTCTGTAAAAAGTAAATTAGCAGATAGTAGCTTTAATTAGTGATTATCTCTAATAACGTGATGATTATATCTTAAGGAGTGTAACATTTGTTTGATGAAAAAATAACATCATTAGAGACTATCTAAGTTTCCATAATGAACTAATGAATCTCAGCTATTACTGGGATTTAATTTCCTTCAACTAATTTATCAAAAAATCCACAAATATAATTTACATTTTGAAGTTGGTAAAGTTATTTGAAGTTATTGCAGGGTACTAACATAGTTGCTACAAGCACTTTGTAATGCATGTTTTGTTTAAAAGATGATATATTGGTATTATTACCCAGTGGCATGCCGATGCCGTAGCCCTTGGTGTCCAGCAGGCCTCCAATCTGTGTGAGATTGCAGTTGAGGCCGCGGTGGTACTCATTCATGGTGCTCTCCATCAGGAAGGCATACTTGGAGTTGACCACTCGGGCAATTCCCTCCTCTGTGCTTTTTACAAATACACTGGGCTGCTTGGAGTTCATGTAGTTCCACATCCGCTGGTAGGTTTGGTAACGTGAGTTCTTCACAAGAATGGGAACACAACAATGGAAATTAAACACTGAGTACAGATGTTTATACATTCTGGGCTCCTAACATGTCCTATCATCTGTCTTTGAAGCAGAAATCAAATGGAGGTCGATAAAAACAAAGGAGGGAAGATGGAAAAAGAGAAAAAGAGATGCATCTTCGATAAACAGGAGAGGAAAGTAAACAGAACAGAAAATATAGTGTGAATAATGACAGGAGAAAAACATCAATGGCAAATACGGGGAAAGGGGAGAGAAAAGAGAAGAGGGAAGAAAAGCGACGTGAATCAAGGCAACAGATTATTCACTCATGGCGTAGCTGATGCATCATCTTTCATACATAAGGAGGTAAATCAGCACACAGGAGGTGGTTCAGCACTTAGCAAAATATGGCAAGCTCCACAACAGGATTAAGTGTTTAAAGTGTACAATTACATGTTGTATCTCTGGGTATTGTGTGTGAGATAAAAGGAAACGAGCAGAGAGGGCGGCATCTGTGTGTATTAATGTGGATGTGTATTGTGTGTCTGTGTGTTTGTGTGTCTGTGTGTGTGGATTAGGCATTGAGTGGAGTAATGTAGTGTAGCATTGAAACTGGCTTATGTAGGCATTAGGCAAACATGAACCACTCTTTCTTATATCCTCAATATGGACAAACACCACGAGAATGTAAAATACACATACACACACAGTTTGGCATGTAGCCATCTCCCATGCATGCACACAAGTAAACAAATACATAGCTTTTATACACTCACCTACACACACTCCCACATGCAAACACACCTACACACACACACACACATACACACACGCTCTATGACAAACACAGATGCCGACACAGATGCCGGAAGCGCTCTCATAAGCAAACACAGGCAGTCAGCCACTTAACACAAACAGCCATAAAGAAAACAACAGAAGAACTCAGAGATATAGTAGCAAATATGAGGACAACCTCTCACTCCAGGCATGGCAATAAAGACAGAAACACTGCACTAAATCACACACGCAAAAAACAAAGGCAAAAACTTTTGTTGCTTTAAAGGCAATTCAGGAAATAGTCTAGAGTAAATCCTAAAACTGCCATCAACAACAACACAATTTAACACATACACACAAATACCCATTCAAAAATCCCAAACACAAAGCCAGCCAATGCCCCGGCTGCTGCAGCGGGTCGTACCATGAAGAACGTCATGGTGCTCCCTCCGTGGATGGTCCCATACTCAATATTGGTCTGGTCGGCCAAGTCGTCCGGAGACTCGATGGGAACCTCCATCCTCTGGACAGTCAGGAAGGCTGCCAGGTTGGCCGTGTAGGAGGAGATGATGATCAGGGTGAACGCCCACCTATGGGGTAGAGACAAAGGAGAAAGACAAAAGTGAAAAGGATAAGAAGGAATTATCATGATATATGTTATTTCTAGATAAAAAAAAACTGATACAAACGATGCAGTAAACTGTGTGGGAAATCAATTTTGAGACTTTTCACAGATTAAACAACCAATTAGAAGTCTGTTTTGGGCTAATTCAGCAAAGAAAATAACTGAGAAATCAAGACATTTTATCACTTTGTAAATTATATAAAAACTTAATATTACTATGAAGTCCTGCAGATTGATTTGCAACATTTTCGTCAATGGCCTAATATATCCAGAGATCTTAAAGGGAGAGACACCTCAGTATAAATGGTATAAAAAAAGGGTCTTAGGTTACCTGAACAAACAGATAATATTCTACACCCACAACCTTGAAGATGGGACTCTCTTATGACCTTTCCTGCAACTTTCTTCAAGAGGAACATCATGTACTTACGACACTTAATAATATCCCGATCCCATATCTTGCTCAGCTCAGTGTAATTTGCTCTTCCTGTCTTCCTCTACCCTTTATCTCCTTAGCTCTTAGCGGTTATTATTTTTTTCTAAGCACATGTCTTCTTTCACAGTCACTCTGTTGCCACAGGAATATCAGGAGACTATAGTATTTCTGTGAGCTTAGCATTTTTGTATTGTATGCTTGAAATGCCAGAGCTCAGCAACTGAAACTTGTGAGCTATATGTCAGAGATGCTTAATATTTAAAATGTAAATGTCATCTCACACAGCAAAAGCAACCTTGAGGAAGAATGTTCTGGTGAAGAAATTAGTTAGCCAGTGAATATGATTGCAAATATGGCCCCTAAAATCTGGAACAGTTGACCATATACTGTCAAAATGACTGATTCTGTTATTATATTTAAATTTAGTTTGAAGACTTTTTTGTACGGCTTGAATTTCTTGTCTTAATCTGTATTTACTGGTCCCCACAATTACTAATATAATCTTGTTCAATAGCCCTTTTATCATTGTATCATTTGTCAATGTGTTTTTCTTTTCTTTTATAATTGTTTTATCACAATTGTATTAATGTTTTATCTTAACCGTTTCTATGCAGGAAGACCTGGCTATATTTTAGCTGGAAGCGTAAATTTGTCAAATTGTATGTGAAGATTTCCACACACTTAGATTCATGCAATATATGACTTCATTTAGTAAGCAATAAACTACTCTGTAACTTACCACACCCCACTAACACATCTGGTGGACAAGGCTCTGGGCATTATCTCTGATCCCTGCTGCATGAAGCCTCCGACAGGGAACCACAGGCTGTTTCCCAAAGTGTACTGGTTCTCCAACATGTCCCTGCGCTCTCGCAGACACGGGTGGGGGTTGTACCACTCATAGGGGCTCAGCCTGGAGGGGAAACACAGGTACAGTGGAATGACCTTGAGGTTAAACTGCCGCACAGTAATGTACTTCTGTCATATCATTCAAGTCACTGCCAATCAGTCATTAAATCCCTGTCAAACTGTCTGTGGCAGGTTGCGTAAGGTAAAAAATTCCATTATGTGACAGGCGACTCGTGCTCAACAAGATAAATGGCGATAGAGCACAGATGTGAGCTGCAGACTATCAGCGCAGTGTGTGATGTAATGTATGGACCTTGCAGCCAGGAAGAGCACACAGCTGACGGCCAGGTAGGCGAGCAGCATGAAGAGCCAGACAGCTGGAGAGAAGGGATCGAGGAAGGAGAAGTAACCCGGCTTTCGACCCTGGTGCAGAGAGAAAGAAGAAGAGTAGAAAGAGAAGTAGAGAGATGAAGCGGAAGAGACAGACAGAGACAGACAAAGACAGACAGACAGACAGACAGACAGACAGACAGACAGGAAGGTACAGTGTGTTAGAAAACAAGGTGTCATGTCTCAGCAGTCAGGGAATGTCCCCTTCACACCACAGGAGGGCAGTCTCCCTCACTGCACTCTGATAGTAAGTCTGCAGTGCTTTGATACGCTAATGCTACAATCCATAAACGCTCCGTTTCACAATGCCTACTGCTGAAGCATACTTGGCTTAGACCCAAAACCTCATTAGCAATGTAAAGCTGCCACTGTTACCCAGTTACAGAGCACTGACTTATTGAGCAATTTAAATTACACCTATAAATTTCACTGTGGACACAGTGGATGCAGCATACAGCATACTACACAAACACAATCCTCAGCTTCAAAAGATGAGATTAACTGTTATGTAATATTCAGTCTGATTCGTTAAGACTCGTCTAACAAGTGTAGCCCGTCGTCTTCTGTGTGACCCTGCCAGCTTAAAAGCAGTGCAAACTAAAGAAATGAAATCCAACACAAGATCTGTCGTGAGTATCACCCAGCGGGCAACCTACAACCCCAGATAACACCCTCACCAGTTGAACTCTGTACAAGATGCTGATCCCCAAGGTCATGAACGGCTTAGAAAAGTCGATAACTTTCTCTCTCTCTGACGTGATGGTGAAGCCTGCCACGGCCAGGTCTGCTTTCTGTAGGATTGACAAAGATAGATAGGTAGATAGATAGTAGTGGGGGCGAGAGAAAGATAAAGGCAGTGGAGGAGAGTCAGAGAGAAAAACGACAAGCGGTCAGGTAACTGTGCAAAAATAGAAAGACACTTGATGCAGCACTGGGTAGATGAGAGCTCTGTTTGTATAAAATGTTGACTTCCCGAATGAAAAATGAAAAGTTGGACTACGCACTTGAAAACACATTTGGGAAAACATACAGACATGCACTCTGTCCCTTTCCCTCTGGCACACACACACTCACACATTATCCACCATCTAAATGAGGCTAATTGCAAGTAAGCACTGGGTGGCTGGTCTTTCCACCTGTATAAAACCTTGCAGGTCTCTGGTCGCTCTGCCTCCCCTCCATCTCTTCCATTAAAAGCTAATTGATGAACATGGGCTGCTAATTAGAGCTGAGTGATCAGGCAATGGGGAGGGCAGGGAGGGAGAGGAAGCGTGGAGAGCTGGGGGAGCACCAGTGTGGCAAGCCCCACACAGGGACCACAGCCTGGTAATTGAAGTATACCGTATGGTAATTAAGCAGAGAGGGGCTCTCATTAGCCTGCTTCAACCAGAGTGTCTGTCAGAGGCGCACTAGGCCCGGACACGGAGAGAAAGCGGGGGGACAGGCTTGGGAAGGAGGGTTACTGCGAGGAAAGATTGTGGAGACAATTTTAGGCAATGCTACCACTCTCTTTTGGGGAATTATCAAGTCAGCTTTTGTCCTAGATAAGAGTCGTACTCCCCTCTGAGGGCAATTTGAGACATGGGAAGTTACAGCAGAGTTGTGGTTTGGGGCTACAGTGTGAGTGTGAGTGTGTGTGTTCAGTATTAGTTTCTGTTTGTAGAGAAATTGGTTGGAACATTTGAGCATGTTTCTGGTGTGCATGCAAGGCAGAGAGAGAGAGAGAGAGAGAGAGAGAGAGAGAGAGAGAGAGAGAGGAGGGAGGGAGAAGGAGTACTCACCCTGTTGATTAGCTCTCCAACCATGCCAGTCCAAGAGCCGTTGGGCTCTGGAGCCCCATACAACCCATCATCCACCAGCTTGATCTTGAAGGAGAATTTCAAGATGTCTGCCAGCTCCCTCAACATGTCGACACAGAAGCCCTCATACTGGTCATTACCCTGGAAGTCCTGGTAGTTGTCTTTGCGCATCACATATGGGTTCTCCTGAACATGGGGGAAACATGAGGGGTTTCAAGCCAAAACTAAGAATATGATGTTTGAGAAGGGATTACTGACAGAAATATGAGAAACAGTGATTTCTATTGTAAAAGAAATATCTGGTATGTCAATAATAGATCAAAGGAATACTTCATTTTTGGGAGATATGCTTTTCTTATTTTCTGGCAGAGAGTGGTGAATATATTAATGCCACTCTCATGTTCGTTAAGTATGAAACTGCAACCAGCAGATGATTAGCTTAGCTTAGCACAAAGACTGGAAACAGGCTGAATCATCTAGCCTGACTCTATCGCATGTTAACATCTTTCTCTCTAAATCTCCCTAATTAAGATATTATAGCATGTAGTTGGTTTAATCCGCACAGTCAATCTTACTGGCTCCTGGCTTCATATTTATTATGAAGACATGAGAGTGGTATCAATCTTCTTATCTAAGTCTTGGCAAGAGGGTGATTAAGCTTATTTCCCAACTATGGAACTATTCCTTCAAAATAGCTAATATATCAGCATAGGTTGCTATTAGCATGCCATTGGTAATTTTGTGAAAGTAAGCATCCCTTTTTTTAATGCAACTCTCTCTAAAGCACTCTACTTAAATTAAATATATAAAGGGGAAATCCACTCATTATACACATCAAAATCAGTTAATTTGGCTTATAGAGTACTACTCAGTTGTGCCAGAGAACCTGTAAAATGGGGCATTGCGTTTTTAAGACACGGGACACAACCAGGCAGGGAGAGTCTAACAAAAAGATTATATATATAGTTTCATCATGGGAATTGTAGGACTCAGCTTTTTTGGAGCTTGACCAATACTTTGGACTGAAAGTCAGGATATCTTGGCTTCTGCAGAATCAATTTAGACCATTCATTTTTTTTATCTGTCTTTTGTGAGTACTCCAACATTATGGATGTCCAGTACTAAACTGCTGGAGTACTCCTTTAAAATACATAAAATGGCTTGAGCAAAATGGCAGCAGAAGTATGCGAGAGAGATTCAGTGACCACAGCTTGGCTGTTGGAATAGGATGAGGCAGAGAAATGTACTGTATCAGGTGTTTTTACACATCTAAACCAACCTGAAGATGATGGAGCAGCATCATATAAGGGATTTATTGATTTTCTGATATGGCATTACTCATATGGAAACCAGAAGGAGACAACTTCTAGTGTTTTGACCAGGATTTTGGCAGTTAACACATTTTACTCAGTGCTCTGTCAGTTGCTATGACAGCTACAGTGACAGTAAAATTAGCAGAAACAGACCACAACACAGCATGAGGTGCGGCAAAGCCTACACAGCAACACGAAAACAACTCTGACCTCACCAGTGTGGTGGTCCAGAAGGTAACTGTGACCTTACCAGTATGGTGGTGACAATGAGTGTCTTGTTTGCCAGCGTCTCTGAGACATTAATATCCAGGCTGGTGGAGTTCATTGCCAGGGTGTTGTTGGAGTACCAGATCCCAATCTAACAGTGAAGAGAGAGCGAGAGAAAATCAATGGCTATTGTTGGATGAATAATGTACTGTTAAGATCTAACTTCACTGCAACTTTACTGTTGTGGCAGGCTACACACCGTCTATAACAAATAAGTATTTCAGTGAGTGCATTAATACTATCGGTCTATTTTATAGAGCAACTCTGCATGCTGAATATTTTATGCTTAACTTTGGTTTCCATCTTGTTACATGCTGTATATGCACATTGATTTAATTGCCCCCACTGGAGCCATATATGTACCCACACTATCACACATTGTAAAAAACAACAACTACTGTTTACAAGCAGAGCAATGAACTGGGACGGGTAAGTGAAGATGGAAAAGTAAGTGAAAGCATTCATGATCCGGACTAATTTCCTTTCTTAAATTGCATAAAAAACAGCCCACATATTTCCATTTTATGGAGACAGTAAAGTCGCCTAGGTGCATAAGTGTGTGATTATGACCTAACCAGTTTGCAGGGTGGACCCGCAGCTCGCAGAGGCATTTCTTTGGGAGATATTACTGTACATCTTTCAATAGGTCAGAGGAGAGGTAATGACTCCTCAGACAGAATCACAGTTTTTCTATGACACTCTTTATCCTGCCCTGACATTTAAGAGTGGTCTTTTCTCTGTGTGGGTGCTGCTGCACGGAGAGGTGGGCAGAGTTAAAGTGTTAATTATCGCAACCTAACTCCCCCACCGAGTTAACATCCAGATTTAAGTATGGTTATCAGGTGGCATTTAGTGTTAGCACGGAAGGCAGCTGGCCTGTAGTAGAGTACAGCAAGACGTATTAAGGGAAGGTGAAGAGAAAGTGTTTCCTCCAGTCAATGAACCGCAACGTAATTCCCTCACTCTGAATCTGCAGTGATGTGTGTACTTATGCTTCATTTAATCTTGACTTTGAAATTCAGGTACAAACGCGGTGAAAATCTCCCCTCACCTTTCCTCCTAATGCTCACTGAGTCTGCATCGACAGAATAATGCACCAAAATGTTCCTAAACACCTCGCCAACATTTTATTTTGGTTCCCCACATTGTCCAACTACCCTTAACAAATTTGTTGTGGCTTGTAGCTAGTATATCAAAAAGATATAGTGCCCAGACTAACAGGGGAATGAATGAAAAGGAATTTAAGTGCAGACCAAAACTTTAAAGCAAGACTATGTAACTTTTCAAAGAAGAAATGAATTCCTGTTACAAATTAAAAAAAGTCTTGAGCAATAAAACACACTCTTGCTTAATTCAATGCACTCAGGGGCTTTTGCTGTTACAGCCTTAATTAGTCTGGTATGACCAATAGCTTATGGTGGCCAATGTTATATAATGTTCGCAAACTTCAGATAGATAGTGCTTCATAACTGATAAAACTTTTCACTACTCCTCTTCACTACCTGTCCTGTTGCCACTTGTGGGCACAGTGGATGCAAAAGTTAAGTTAAGTTAAGTTAAGTTAAGTTAAGTTTTGGTTGGAATCATTGTCCAACTCTTGTTTGACTTGGGCCTACTGCTCAGATCCCTGATGTAAATATGTACCATAACAATATGAAGAAACTACAGGGCGTCAATAAATAAGGTATATTTGGAAAAACCTTATGACATTTCATTGTTTCAGAATCATGGTGTCAAAACAACAAATAGAATTCAAGAGGTTCTAGGAAACATAACCACACGAGATCTGATCCAGTTGAGTCCAAGTGAAGAACAAGTCCAAAGACAAAGACATAAATAAACTCCATTAAGACTCCATATAAATATTATATACTGTATTACATATAGGATGAGCAGAGATGTAGATCTATCTGCACATACACTCTGTACTGACCTTGAGGCCAATTACAAATACTGACTTACAAATTAATTTAATTGTTTGTAGCCATAGGAAGAAAACAAGTCAACCATTAATAAAATACCAATTTTGTATGTTTTTAGATCAAATAACATCAGGGACATAAAGATGAGAAAAACACATTGGAGGCAAACAAAAAAACTCTAGCACACGGATAGTTCAAACATCAAAACACATACACAAGACTAAGAACAATACTTACACTGGACTCGATACTGCAGACCTGCTATAAAATTTAGCAACCATTCAATGAAATGAAATGAAATGGACTATAAGCAGCTAATGTATTCAAATAGCCTTCAGATAAAATAAATGTGAACACAGCTACTACATGACCTACGTCTGATGGCCGTACAGCATCGCCAGGTGAAACGAATCAAACTAACTTCACAAAGTAAAGATATTTGGCTACTATCAGGGGAGCCTGTGATGAGGCTGACCTCAGTGTTAAATGCCTCCCCTGGCATTGTGAAATCAGACAGGTGACCTGTAACTAACCCAAAGCCTATGGGCGATGTGACCTGGCTGCAGCATGATAACAGGTGACTCCTGACCTCTTTGTGGCCTCCTCGGTGTTTCTCCAGGATCCGCAGGGTGTAGTTGGTCCTCTGACCTTTGCTGTTGAACTCCACACGACCTGTCAGACCATCGTACTCCACCTGGCAGGCAGACGGAGAGAGTGGGTTGAGGAAGTATGAAAGAGGATGGGAAAAGAAGAGACGGACAGATAAGAAAATGAGAGAAGAGTAACAATGAAGTGAGATGGAGACATAAATACAACCCTTTATATAATAACAAACACTTTTCTTCTCACTATCTATCATGATTGGGCCGACAAGTATTATCTGCAGTGAAGAAGGAGAAAAGAGGGTGGAAGAAAAAAAGAAAGAAAGAAAGAGCAAGAGAGTAAGTGTCTGAGGCTGGACCAGATAGGGATGATCAGTTTTGGATCAACTACTGTAGGAGAAAGTGACTGACTGAGCAAGAGGCTCAGATAGAGCAGCAAGAAAAGTCAACAGCTCCCTAATAAGACTCAAAACTGCACCTCACAGCTCAGCTCTGCCTCTCCAAAACCCAGGTGCTGGCACAGTTAGCGAGATCTATGATGAATGGCACGGTGCTGAAGATGGAGCACACCATGATGTTGACTAACAAAGGCAGATGTCAGGCCGGTAGGGCTGAGGCAATGAGAGATGGGGCTCGGGCTGCCTTGACAATAGGCCGTCGATGAGAGAGACACACAGACGACCAGAGATGGGAGATGACAAAAAGTAACAAGAGACAAGAGGTTACATGCAACATGAGATGAAGATGATACAGGATGTTGTTGTGCTGTAGTAATTAATCAGTAAGAGAAAATTAATCGACCACAATTCTGATTAGTGATAATCGTTTGAGTCATTTCTCCTTTGCTGGTCTCAAGTGTGAGGATTTCTGCTTTTCTCCAATTTATATCTTCAGAAATTAAAAATTGAATTTAAAGCTTTGTCTATGAAATATCCGAAAATACTGAAAAATATCACAATTCCCTTCAGTCCAATGTGCCGCTTTCAACATTTTTGTTTTATCTGATTCTTGTTTTTCTATCAATGATTCAGTTTAGTATTACAAAAGCAGCGAATCCTCACATTTTAGAGTCTAAAAGCGCAAATGTTTGACATTTTTGCTTTTAAAAAGACTCAAACAATTAATTCATTTTCAAAATAGTGGCAAATTCATTTTTTGTTGCTCCATTAACCGAGTAATATTTTCAGCTCTAATTTGAAGATGTCACCTTAGGCTTTGGGAAATTGTTATAGGTATTTTCACAATTTTTCTAACATTTAACATTCAAACTAATTTCTGTATATGTATACGAGCATGAATATCAGCAGGTGTTTTACAATACATGTTGTATTTATCAAGCGTTTACCATGCGCAGGTAGTTCATAAGACTGGTCCCATGTTGCCAGATCTGAGGTGAGGTGCAGCTGAGTGGCTTCACTCCGATTTCCTGACTGCGGTTCAATTCCCTCACCGCCCCCACCACCACATGCACTGCATCAAACATCAGCGCTGACGAGAGCTGTGGAAGGGGGAGAGGAAACAAGAGAGACACGGAGGGGGAGAAAGGCAATGGGGGGAGGGATGGAAACAAAACGAGGGAAGCAAAGACAGGGAGTCAAGGGAGAAGATGCAATGAGGAGAGAGGTGCGAGCAGAGATGATTGAATGGTTAACAGGGATGGAGGGAGGGAGGCAGGGAAAATAAGAGGAGAGAGAGAAGAGATGTGAGGTATGAGTAAACCAGTGGGGAGGAAACACAGATGGATACATCAATACCCATTAAATACAAGCAAAAGACTAGCTGAATCTCTTTAACTGCTCCATGAATCAGTGTGAGGAATAAAGTAGCTTAATGTTACGTGGCATACAAACAAAGCTTTGAAAATGACTCCTGAATGTGCGCATGCATGAATACTCAAGTGTCTATGAGACTGACCGCAGGGCCGGGGTACGTCAGGTCACAGCCCTCCCTCCAAGAGAGGTTGAGGCTCCTGATGAACTCCAAATAGAAGGGATGAGTGGTGTTAAACATAGAGAAACCTACAATGTTGGACTGCTCATCCACTATATCATCCAGTCTCAGCAGTGGGAAGTCCTAGAAAGGAGGAGGAGGGGCAGAGAGAGGCAGAAAATCCAGGTGAGTGATGTGTTGACAGTGTATCAAATCTTGAAAAATACTGTGTAAAGGAGAGTTTGATGAAGAAAAAGAGAGGCTACGGGGAGTGACAACATCTAATCTCTGATGGAGAGAGAAAAAAGGGTGTAGACAGCTAGGAAAAGGGGAAAACAGTGATACAGGGGAAAGAGAGGTTGATGGAAATGACTCCAGCAGCTTTTCACAAAAATATACACACAAGACGTGGCATCTACAGCACAAGAGAACATCATGTACAGAGGGCGAAGAGGGGAGAAAAATATAAAAATCAGGCGCACAGCATAAAGTGACACATTAATTCAAATGGTAGAAGGGGAGGGGAGTATATCAAAGAGGCAGATGAAAACACCGGAAGCATCGAGAAGGTGGCGGGTGGCAGAAGAAAAAGGGTACATCACGTCTGTCATCACCTCCACCTCAGACCCCTTTTTCTTCTTTTTTTGCCATCCTCCCCTGCACTTCCACATCTTTGTACAGTACATTCATTTCTCAGATCTCTCTCCCTCTTTCATTCCCTCTCCTCATCCTTCATCTCCCGTTTCTTTCTTCTCTCTCTGTCACCTCTCTTTTCTCCCTTTATCTCATACTTTCTCCGCCTTAACACCTTTGCTTGCTCATAAAGGGACAGAAGAGGAGGAGCTGGAGAGAGGAACAAGTGAAAATGGAGGAATGCAAGACCAAGGAGAGGAAGGGGGAGAATTGGTAAGCTCTTACCATGGTGGTGAGGATGTACTTGTAAAATGCTGATGTCATCCCCAGCTCTGACGCCTGTAGGACAAAGAGAAAGAGAGATGAAAAAATAAAGAAGAGGCAGGTGGGATACAGAATGTGGAAAGGGAGAATAAAGGTAGATGTAGAAAGATTGATGGAGGGAGAGAGAGAGAGAGGGCAAAGGAAGAGAGTTATTGAGAGGCAGAGAGCAAAGGAGACAGTTGGGGGACAAAGTAGGAGAGAATATGAGGGAGGAGATGAAAAGGGAGAGGGAGCATACGTTAATCACAGTTTTACATCATCAGGCTAACACTAGGACACTTGGCTGAGGGCGGACAGCCGCTCCAATGTGCCCAGTGAAAACATCCCATACGCATTCAAACCGTGACTCACTGCGCTGGCTATCGGCATTACAGACCGTACCATGAATCAGAACAAGCCTGGGTAACATCTGCACTGCATCCCAGCAAAATGTTCTTTTGTCAAATACTTTCTTAAGAGTGTAAGTGATCGTTGCTGGCAGACATGAATAAATGTTGTTCCCTTTGCAGCTCTGGAGGGCAGAGAAGGTAAAAATACATGTTAATTCTGTTACGACAACTAATGTGTAGCCTGTGGGACTTGGAGAGAGTTGTTTTATTATTTTACAGATGGTAAGCTCTTGAATGCCCCTCGTGACTGTAACCTTAATTTCCCGATTGGGTACATTAAATAGAAAAGCACAAATCCCTGAGTGTTACTGTATACAACAGTAACTTCACATCTCTGCATGTGTGGGCGGCTCTGAAGAATGTATTCATGTTCGAGAGCTGACCTTCTTCAGGATGAGATAGGAGACAGAAGCATTGGCGTCAATGATGATGGTGGCCACTTTGTCGTCACGGATCTCCTTCAGCAGCGGCGTAGGGTCCAGGTTGTCATCCAGCATCCTGATTGACAGCGTCTCCCGAGAGATGAGAAAGCGGCGGACCAGTTCCTCCAATCTCAGCAGGCCTGAGGCAGAGCCAAAGCAGAGCCGAGCCGCATATCAATGTCTGTATCAGTAGACACAACTCATATTTCCAAAATGTAAGCTTTGCAGGACCTGTGAAAATCTTGATTTAGCTTCGGATGGCCATATATTTGTGTCATTTTGCAAAACATGATCGATGGTTTGTCTAAATCCCCAGGAAATGAAACATAATTTAATATGGAGTCTACAGTACGCATTCGCTGTTTCTCTCAGTGGGACTTATTTCTATCTATCATGACCTCCGCCAAGTACATTTTGTATTCAGTGCCATATGTTTGTTTGTTTTATAGTTAGCAGCGGGGACGTAGTGGGGGTAAATTCAAGTAATCTCAGTTTATCCATCTTTTTGAAACGAGGCTGAGTTTACACATCAATTTTCAAATCAACAGTATCAATCAATGAGGGGGAACCAGATGGGTAAAGTTAACCCACTTCTGTATTTACCTCTACAACCCTGATTAGTAGTATATCTCAACATGAACTTGACAGATTTTGTTAGCTGAAGAAGAGTTAGGTTAAAGTAAGGTTAGAGTTAGGGAAAAACTGATTAGTTTGCATTCTTTTGAACTGTCAAAAGCGCCACCATGTACATTTGCATTTGTACATTTTGCTCATAACACCTGAACAGTGAGGCACAGAGGCAGAATTCTTCCTCTGCACTCTCCATGAATTTTTCAGACTACATCCATTTACACCTAGACAGATATTCCCCCATCTTGAACGTGTATGTGCAATGCAGGTTTCAGCTTTTCACATCACATTTGTGTATGTTGCATATTGGACTAGTTCTGATGTCACAAAATCATGCTCATATGTACATCTTTTCCATATGTGTGCAAATGTTATTGTGTGAATGCAACAAGATAATATGTGTACATCAGATTGTACAGCAAAACCTTATGACATTTTAGTCATGGGGTCAATGAAATATAACTATAAATAGACAAAACAACTCAGTGTTTGTGAGTCTGAATCTTTGTACAAAGCCCTAATATTCCCAGACACAATTTAAGTGTCCTCAAAAATTCATGGCTGCCATCAGCCAATCAGCATGACAAATTTCTAAACATTTTCTATTAATAGAATAATAAATTTAGAGGGTTGTAAAGCCTTGGCACAGGTAGGCACTCTTTGAGTGCTTTGTAATTCACTTTATTTCTGTTGGCTCATCCATCAATAATTGCTTTTCAGTTCTTTGAGTGATGTATGTACTTTGAGTGAAATAGTATGTGTTCAAAAAACTGAAAACCTTAAAATCAAATAACTGAAAAACTGGAGATGCAAGAAATGGACAGAAATCAGAACTGCAGGAAAAGAAAGAATGAAATACAGTACTTGAGACAATTCGCCCACTTCAAGTGAATTCCTCTTGAAAATGAGTATAACCAATGGCAGTCAAGACTCACTTGACATTGTGCGTGGAATGAGCCTTTACTAGAAAGTCTACCCTGCTGCTTGCTAATTGTAATTCCATAGTAAAGCACCCCTAGCTATGTAAATAAGTGGTGGGGCAGGCATCTGGGGGACAGAGGGGAAGGGGAGAGGGAGGAAAGGAGGAGGGGAGAGGTAGCGCACAGAGCCCTTCAGCAGGAGAAAGCCTCTGTAAGCAGTGGGGTAATCACTGAACCAGGCCAAAACTTTAATTAGTTTGAGGAAGGAGGGGAAAAAATCAATGCACTTTACAGCTTCCTCTCCTCTCCTCTCCTCTCCTCTCTCACTCTCCTTCTTTCACATACTCCCCCTCTTACACAAAACCTCAAACCTCTCTATCTCTCTCGTCTTAGCCCTGTGCTCTAGTTACCTCTCTCTGTCTTTATCCATCTCGCTCTTACGCCGCCACCGTCTCCTCCTCCGTGTGCTCAGTCTCTCCCTCTCGCTGTCCTTAACCTCATCCATCTCATGAAAACTGCATAATGGAATTAGGCTCAGATAGCGCGTTGTGACCCAGGCATAGCGAGAGAAGGATACGTCGGAAATGACCCAAAATCTCTGTCTCACTCTCATTTAACAGAATATCTATGGACTGTTACTTGCACAGGCTAAAGAGGGACAAATTAGATTAATTCCATTAACATGCTGTTGCAAAAATGACCAGTTTCCAAATACGTTACTTAATTAGGATGCAAGTGCGGTGGGTGTCAATGAAATGTGTGACTTCACACATTACTCGCCTCACTGACAAAAAAGAGAGAATGTCTACTTCACTTGAACACACCATTCCACACTGGGGTAAACAAGATGAATAAAACAAGTGCACTGGTGGTAAACATTGTCTGATGTTGAACCTCTGCAGCGCCACAGCAGAGCCACACACACAGACATACAATCTTACAAGTACCCCAAAACTCACTCACACAGGCAGTACAGTACACACAGGGGCAAAAATACACACACACACACACACACACACACACACACACACACACACACACACACACACACACACACACACATACATAAACCAGTACTCAAACAACATGCACATGTACGGACAAAGCGAGCCAAGCACACAGAAAAAAATATATCAAACACACACATACATACCATGCCACACACACACCCACACAGTCGTTTAGAGTGTGGAACAAGCCTGTTGAGTGGCAGTTAGCACCTATTCTGCAGCCATGGCAACCAGCTCCATGGCGATAGATAGCGCAGCCAAGTGGGTCAGAGTCTGTAAGAGTGATAACCTTGTATAGATCACCTTCAAGCCAAATATATTACACACCCACACACACACACACACACACACACACACACACACCCCTGAGTCTCTCAAGCAGTAAAAGCTGCATCTTTGGCCCGGATGGTAACTATCAGGGTATCTGTTGCCTCTAATTCCCATGAGAGTAGGAAGCCCGGTGAAAGACAAGGCTCTTATCTATCCATTCAACTGATGATCAAAATGAGAAAAAAAGATGTCTGATGCCATTTCAAAGCTCTTTTAGTTCAATGAAATGACAAGTCCACAAGGAATTCAGCTTACTTACAGAAAATCGCCGGAAGGCTGGTTAACTGCTGGGGAGATAATAAGCGTTTTTGGAACAAACAGTTTTTGGGGCTCCCTGAGAGGAATGGCCCACTAGGGAGATCCCATGAGAACTACATACCTTCAAGGGCTTTTTTCCTGTTTGCATTCACACTGGCAACAGGAACGCTGAAGAAACGCAAGCTGGCCGGCGGTTTAGTAACGTCACTTCTGCACATCATGTACGCCCAATAAAGCCTGGACTATATTTTAAGGCTTCCATTAGAAGCTGTTGTTCACAATGCTAACAAATGCTCTGAAGTAGGAGTTGAAAGAAGCCCCTCAAAATGAACGGGGGGTGGGAAGGGGGTATGGTCCTCCAACTGGTCTCGGGACTATGCAAAAGTTCTTGCAGTCTGAAAATATCTAATAAAAGCATCTCAATGATTGAATCAATTTTTTGTTTGTCAAAATCTACCCTTTTCACACTGCAACGAGAAGTATTCACAGGCTTCAATGGTCCCACTTATTCTTTATGTAATTGCCCTTTAGTTCTTGTGCAGTTCTACTTGGCTGGTGTGAGCAGTCAGCAGCTGCACAACAACTCATCCTGGCTCAGTTTCACTCAGAACTGCACAAAAAGTCAGGAGATTATTCAGTGAAAAAATTAGGATTTTGCCACCTCCTGCAGCACATGGAGTATTCTGTCATGTATTGAGCTTTGTTTGAATACTACAGCCGCCATCCGACCAAGCCCTTTAATTCCTGTGACTCTCGATAGGGTAGTGCATAATAAATCAATAACGCACTCTTTTTCAAAATGAAAATAAAGAGGGCTAGTGACTAAGCCCCGAATCCCCTGTGATTTTAAAGCTCTCTGAGTGCCTGGCAAGTTAAATCAAATGTCCGCTAAGTTCTTCCAATACTGAAAAGCATTTCAAACACGAATATTTATTAAATTGGTTTTGGCCTAACAACCCTCTGAGGTGGATAAGAGACAGTGTGCAAGAGCATGAGTAATAAATAGGAAGGCTGCAGCATGAGCCATGTTCTGAACTCTGACAACAGACAGAACTTTATGACCAGACTGTCAAAATGAGTGTCCAGTGGCGCAAAACAGTCATATCCGCCCAAACGGTGTGAATGTGCCAACACTCCCACAGAGGCATTTGCACACACACACACACGCAGAAAAAAACACAGCTATATTAGGTGAATAGGCTTCCAAGTCCACAACCGATGCATTTACACCCACCTAAACACAGCTATGCAGTCACACATAATGTACAGTATAACTATTAAACAGACTGCATGTGTACTCACACTCAGCCTTGGCGCAGACCAAGCTGGCTGAGGGGTAACTGAACGAGCGCAAGATGGCTCCTATGGCCAGGCTCAGGTCCTCGTTGCTAGGGTACAGAGTGACAGAGGCAAAGCGCAGGTACGGTAAGCGGGGAGTTTCCTCCGGACCAATCTTCACATGAGGGATCTGAAGTAAGGAGAGAGGAGAGAGGAGAGAGGAGAAACATTAGGGAAGGCAAGAAAAGCAAATGTGTCGTGATTAACTTCCCTCCAAACACACACAACAGGAAAAAAAACTGTGAGTAAGGGAGATCCATTAGAGATGCTACAGGGTGAAAAGAGAGATAAGAAAGATGGCAGGAAGAGAACAGAGAGACCTAAAGATAAAAGGCTATGGGAAGAGGGTAGAAAACAGTCGGAAGAAGTGGATGACGGTTAATTATTTGACTAGAAATTCAGAAGGCAAGAAAATCTTTAGATACATTCATCATGACGTCCATGTGGGTAGGAGGGGTAGTAAGTCAGAGAGAAAGTGGTACTAGATTCTGTACGCACGCAAGACATAGAGACAGATTTGTAAATATCTGTGTGTTTATCTCCCACACTCACCTCCTTCTCTCCACATATATGACTGACAGTAGAGCCAGAGGCGGGGCTGGAGGCGGGACCTATGACTGAGACAACGCCTTTGGGTAGAATCTGACACACTGAAAAGGAAAAAAGGAAAATAAACACTGAATATGCAGACACACACACACTTTCTCCTCTGCTTCATTTTGATGGCAGCACAGAGTTGGCATACAGTAGGGGCTGCAGTCAGGGGAACGTGTGGAAATTTAAAGTGCAGTGAAAACTCAGAGGAGGCATTAGTATTTCAGTTTAACTCCTGATTGTATCGCACAACACAATCATTATAATCGGATTTATTTTTTGCTAAACACTACAGCAAGTCAGGTCAGGGGTTGTCTGCTGCTACTATTTCCCTTGTTTAGACATTTAGACCATTTTAAAGACATTTTGCTACAAATATATGTCTGGTTTCAGAATAACATTAACAGATTGGTGTTCGCCTTCAATTTCCATATCACCCTTTTTTGCTGAAGGACATTTATGTGGGAGAAACACATTTGTCTATTACAATAAGCACTTTGCTCAGGAATGGCTCAAGGAAACACTCTCTCTATGATTCACTATGCAGTCTATTCAAGCATAGATTTCACTATTCAAAACCCCCAAGTAATAACAAATGTCTCCACTATATGAACTATATCCTGTGCAGGAAATAATTTCAGACCTTCTCTGTGATACATTTATTTCAACACAGAAAATTGTATCCATAGTAAAATCATTTAAGGCAACCACCTCGTTTACGTTTTTCTGTTTTTGATTTATTGAGTTTTCACCCCCCTGAATGAAGGCCACACCTCGGTGTTTCTTTTCATTTAAACCCTGACACAGATCAGCAAGGTCAAAACTGTCTGTTCTTTTGGAATGTAACTAATACATTTTTTTAATCATGATGCCAATGAATGATTAAACGTATTAACAGGACAGGTTATGCTCATTGTCTGTCTTACTAGACTAATTGACCGGCCTGCAGTCTGTCTTATACATTAACAGCTGTAACACATGTCCACATTTCTCCACAGAGAAATACGCTTATTGGCTTTCGTGCCGGGAATTATATAATAACCAATGTCTTGTGTCTGTAAGATGAATATGAAGCTACGCTGAGCTAACCAGCTACTGTTTTGTATTTAGTGTATAGATATGAGATTGGTGTCAATCATTTCTTCTAACTCTCTGCAAGAAATCAAAGTGTGTATTTGACAAAATGTCACACTATTCCTTTAAAATCAAATGTCTGCTATTGATTAGCATGCCTAACATTTGACCATGTTATGCACGCAGGGCCTCCATCCCTTAGCAAACAGAAATATTTGGTTTTGTATCTTTCAGATGTGCAGTGAGTTAATTTTTATTGACAATGTTTTCTGTCTACCCACCTGAAAAATGCTTTCTCAGATTGAGCAGAAATCTGTCTGGTGACATAACTGTGTTATTGTGATAGTCATAAAGCTCTTTTCTTGCTGGTATATTTGGTTGGTATTTTAATTCAACCCAATTAGTCCTCCTCAGTCCCTGCCACTGTCTGTGTGTGTGTGTGTGTGTGTGCGTGTGCCCACACTTTGCCCATGTGTGAATGTGCATCTGTGTCTGCAGAAAGGGATGTGTGTGCATGCATGTGTGAATGCCTACGTGTGAGCGGGTGGTTGCATGTGTGTGCTATTGGGTGCGTGCAAGCGTGCCTCAGACAGCCGTAGCTGTAAGATGATGAGCTCTCTGATCCAGAGACCAAAATACGCTGCGAGCAAACAAGCCTGTCAGAGTCTCCTGCCCATCGGTCAAGGACACACACACACACACACACACACACACACACACACACACACACACTCACACACACGTCTGCAACTCAAGCATGCACATATGTACACAACATTTCTAAAGCACACATAGACATTTTGCCAGTAGCTTGTGGCAGGGTCAGTGACCTATTAGAATAGGAGCAGGGAGTCTCTGTTTCCTCAGTGACTGGATTCAGCAGTTCTTCTGTCTTTACAGACTCCAAACATTCTGTTTTAACTCTGTATATCAATACAAATTTCATGGAGTGGCCTCTGTGGTGGGGTGCTGCTTTCTGTTGGCCTGCACTGCTGATCTGTATTAGTATTTGATTATTTGTTTTTGTCGTGGCCTGCAGAGAAGACGGTGCCTGCTGTTACTGGAGGGCACTGATCCACTGTTTTTAATGAGACAGGCTTACTGGCCCATTACTAGTCTCCAATGACATGTAAACTAATCAACACAAGTCCTTACTGGTTCCTAATCACATAAAAGTTTTGGAGTTTTGGGGGGTTGTTTTATCATTCTAGTCATCATTTGAGGTTTTTGCTCACAAAAAGGGAGCTTTTTAGAAAATGTAATTAAAATTTTTTGAAAAATATCAGCAACCTTCTTAAGCGGCCTAAAAACCTGCAGTATTCAGTAGACTGCTGCTCTTTTCTATTCTGTACTGGTCACTATTAATATTAATATTCCATATTACTAATAATATCTACAGGTATTTTTAGTGGACACTTTTTGTCTGTGCTAATTAGACACTATGCCCTATTGGACTAATGGATTGAGATGGACTATCACTCTCTGATGGGTTGTGTGAATTTGCTTTATTGGTCTTCTTCAGTGTGCATCAGCTCCACTCACTGGTGTCAGTAGTGTCGTACTGGGAGTCTTTTTGCAACTCGTATATGTCCACCTCCACTCGGGCTCTGGACGGACCCTCCATCACGCTGTTGATGTTCTCCCTGGCCAAGGACAGTGCCAGCCGCTCCCCGCGCCCACACACAGACTGGTCATCCAGGATCGCCGCTAGCGAGGCAGAGAGGGAAGGAGAGATAGGTGAAGCAGAGCAGAGAAGGACAGAGTATGAAGATGGAGAGCAGTAAAAGGGGAGGGATAGGTGAGGAGTGAGCAAAAAAAGATGAGAAGGAGTGGAGGTGGAAGATCTGTGCTCATGTGTGGGTGGGAATGTGTATTGGGAAAAAGAGTGGGGCTGACAGAGGCATCAAAACCACCAAAGGAATGAAAGGATGTGACCTTGTTTGAATTATTAAGTCTTATTAAAGTCAGACAAATTAAAATGTGACATTTTGGGACATATGTGTATTGGCTGCAGTTTGTCTTCATTAGTGCAGTTTGTCTGTAATAACTATGTGTTGTCATGATTTTCAAGAAGGTTCCCCTTGTCATATTAAATCATTTGGGCTGATATGATCTGTCCTTAATGGAGTTAGTTACTTATCAAAATACTGATACGGCAGACACCTTTCAGAGATAGACAGTTTGGACACCAACGGGTATATTATTGGTGCTAATTTGGCTTTTAAGTGCTTTGCTGTGACTCCATCTCTTATTGTACTGACCAAAGTGGCACAACTCAAAGCAGTTGTGAAATAAACCATGAAAAGTATGCTGAGAAACCTTTCCATGTATGGTAGGGATGGAGGCCACTCACCCATGCGGACGGAGGAGAGCAAGGGGGCCTGACTGAGGGAGCGTGGCGGCATGGTGACTAGCAGGAAAGAGAGGAAGTGTATTGACAGCAGCAGTGCTGGCAGAGCCGGCATCTTCTACTGCTCCTCATGGAGAACGGTCTGCTGGATGCCTGTACCACCACCTGCAGGAGCGGAGGAAACACAGCACGTTACTGGACACATAATCATGCACAAGATATATCTCTTTAAATTGTCATCCTGTGGCTTATCTTTAGTTTGCTCTGTCACATTCCCATATAGTGGGAGCACCTGTAATTTGACAGCACATACAATAGACTTTCATACTCCACTATGAAGATGTTCTCTGTCATATCACAAAGGCAGCCCAGTCCAATGCATACAGCCTCTCTAATAAAATACAGTACAAACATCTCTATTCATGCCTCCTGTGGAAAGCCGTTTAGAAGTGACAGGACTCAGCCTTGAAGAGATCTCCAGCGGTTCAAAGACAACATCACAACAACTGGCACACACATTGCTGCACATACACATTTACACTACGTACACATGCATACATACATATAAAATGAACCATTACACAGTTACATACTACAAAAGCTAACTTAACAAACACAGATAGACTCACAAGCACTGCCATGACTACACACATAACCATTAAATATACACCCACACACGCCTGTACACACTCAACCCTCACTCCCACCTCTAAACAGACACACAAACACAGAAAGACACACAAAAAGAGAGCTCAGCTGAGCTCCACTGGTGCTAAGAAGCCCTCTCAAGGAGTGACAAAGCCTTGCTCTGACTGACAACCTGACAAGGCAGAGTGTGAAAGGATGGAGAAATGAAGGGAGGGATGAAGACAGAGGCGAGGAGAAGAAGTGTTGTGTGACGGACAGGCAGGAAGGTTGAGGGAGGGGTGGTGTTGGAGATGCTGGCAATGGTGGTGGGGGCTGTTGACCTGGGAATGTTTCAAACGTCTGGGTCGCTGGTCTGAGCTGTAGACAGGTCTGACAGACAGCTGAAAGAGTCAGTTCATGACCTTCAATTGACCCTTGCAGCTGTAAACAAGGGGTTGTTGGAGTGGTAGACAGCTGACCTTTGACCCTGACAAGCGCACATGGGGTTTAGAAATGAGTTGCCATTGTGTGTTTTTGTATACACAATGTTTACATCAAAGAGGCAGATGTATGGATTGTCAGCCACTGTGTAGAACATCCCTCCCATCTCCATCCTTTTTATAGCCTTTTCACTTTAAGATTTTCATTTTGTCTTTTTTCTCTCTGCTCACCTTTTTAACACTTGTTTAGCTTTGATGTTTAAAGCACATAAAAAAATCTGCAACCCAGTGTTTTGAATCCCTTTTCACGTCTCATGAATGAACCATACATCCCTTTATCTCCTTTTTTTTATTTGGTCTCTATGCAATTATTTACCTCCCTTTCTTTCAAGCTCTACATGTCTCTCATTCTCAGGTTTGTTGTGTCAAAGGGTGGGCAAGGGTGTGCGCGAACATGTTTGCAATACTAATTGCATGCGCCATACTGTGCAGATGGCTGTGTTGCTCTCATTATGGTTACCGCAGCTCAAAGTGAAGCAGAGGCAGGGCTTATGTGAGGCCATCTGTATGTGCGACACAACATAGAATAACAGGCACACAGTGGGAGTATTTTTTTTTTTCCTGCTCAGTGTTATCAATAAATCTTTCTTGTTTAAACACAGTACGGTACATTAAAGGTGCCAATACATAATAACTGCATCAAAAAGATCTATGATGTTGTCATATTGCTATACAAGGTGTACATGTACATCAGAGACAGTTAGGCAACAGCTGATTATTCTGACCACACAGTGAGATCACTACGCCACACTACTGACACACAGCTGTGTGTTATGCTGCACAGTACTCCATTTTGCTGGTTAATACTGTATTCTGTTTCCTCCCCACACCAGTGGTCTCTTTCTCAATTTACTCTTCACCAAAGTGTGTGTGAGGCGTCCACACCTCTGTGTCTATTCCAGGACATGTATTGGCATGTGCTTACCTTGTGTGAGTGTGATGGCATATTGATCGAGTCCAGCTGAAGTGGTGGGCCCTCAGGTGCGGTCAATCAAAACAATGGGGAACCTATCATGGGAGCGCTGCATTTCACAGGAGCCTTCTGATTGGCTATTACCAAGAAGCAGATTGCCATGATGACGAATAAGATCCTAACAGAGGCTATGCCTTCATCAATGATGGGATGGAACCGGTGCTATTTCATTGTTATTGAGAGCTATTGACAGTATTAGACAGGGAAGATTACAGCATCTATACTCCAAGGAGAAGGAGAGGGTTGGAGGGAGGAAAGAGATGGGAGGCTGTGATAGAAGTAAGCAGAATGGGAGAAAAAAAGAAGCAGAGGGAATGGGCTAGGGACGATGGGGGAATAAAAGAACAAAATTGAATACAGAGAGAAGAGATTGGAAAGTGTTTCTGAAGAAAGAGAGACGCAGAGCAGGATAGAGATAGGAGGACAACAGAGCAGTGGTGGAAAGTAACAAAGTACATTTACCCAAGTGCTGTACTCAAGTATAATATTATAGTTTTTATTGCACCACATTTATTTGTTACTTTGCAGAAATAAGATTAACCTAAAAATATATGATCAACATATGTACTGTTAAAGATTTAGCTCCCAATAGTAAATTAAGTACAATGATCTTCCTCTTCCCTAGCTGCAACATTGAAAACATAAAATTCTGCTGGTATGTTATATAATAATTACAATAATTATAATTCAGTGTATATATATAATAAAATACATTGGGGACATTCTGTACTGTCACACTTCCCCATTATCACTTCAGAAGTTAAAACCTGGTCATCACCGTGTGTTACACTTTATCACTAATGACACATTTAGCACTCATCTCTGCTCTCCCTATGACACATTTGAACTTCCTATTAACAAAAAGGAATATACATCTCATGATGTTCATCTCTAAAGCTCTACTGCTAAAGCTTCCAAACCCACTTAAGTCTTGTAACAACCGTACATGATCCAACTTAAATTTAGATATCCCATATGTGCAGTACTTACTAACCTAAATGCACCATTGGAAAGGAATGAGCTGCAAACTGCCCTCAAGCTAGATTCTCTTATTGCCCTTTGAGATTTAAAAGCTTTACTATTCAATGCTTTTTTACAATGATTTGTAATTGTTTATATTAACTTTATTAATCGTCTGATTGTTGGTGGTTTGACTTTAGATGTGCTGAGTGGTTACCTGATTGTTAATGTCTAATGGTGTCAGGTCTCTATTAAAAAAAAACAGTTAAAATATAACTCCCTGGAAGAAGCCATTTTGCATAATGAGTACTTTTACTTTTTATATTGTAGTATAGTATATAGTATAGTAGAAGTATAAATTACCCCTAATACTACTGTACTTTTGTACATTGTGGCATTCATGTTTTTACTCCTTCCACCACTGCAGAAGAGTGAGAGAAAACAACCAGCTATATGATATTGTAGTAAAAGGTGGAGGGAGTCAGGGAAACAGATACAGTCAGAGAGAAAGAGAGAGCAAACAGTGAGATAGTATTTCCGTGTTTAATCTGCGAGGACTGTGTGTCTGGCTGCTGTACGTGCTCTGCTGCTGTAGTAGTACATGGCTGAGTCCCTGTAGCAGTCGGGTGTCAGTCTGCAGGGAGCTGGAGCAGCGAGAGGCCCGAGCAGAGCCAGACTAGCCTGAGCTGTACAGAAAACACCGCTTCTAGCCCCCCTTGCTTGCTTTCATTCTGCACCCTGCTGTAAGTCACCCCGCGTGCTGGCACCACAGAGAAATACACAAAAGCAAAAATACATAAATATCCTGGCTCACTCTGTGTGTGTGTGTGTGTGTGTGTGTGTGTGTGTGTGTGTGTGTGTGTGTGTGTGTGTGTGTGTGTGTGTGTGTGTGTGTGTGTGTGTGTGTGCATGTTTCTGTGTGTGTACAGGAGAGAGTATAAAAGAGAGAGAGAGACAGAGAGAATGGAGAGTGAGAGAGGGGACATTCATCCCAGTTGGAGATTTAGCTGTTTGGTGCATGCATTCATCTTAGCGTGTGTATGAAGGCATATGCATATTTGTGTGTGCTTGGTGTTTTGTTTGCGTGTATGAGTGTGTGTGTCTGTGTGTGCTGGAGACTTGGCGGCTTGCTTATAGTGTCTGCAGTGCCTATTATGAAAGAGAAAACCGTAAAATCAGAGATCTTAATTATCTACAGAGAGCGTGAGGAAGAAGGGGGAGGCATTGCCAGAGTGGGATAGAGGAAGGGAGGGGGGGAGATATGCAGAAAATCATAAAACGAGGGAACGCTATCTCGCCTCAAACCCCCGGGCAGATGAGGAGAGGACGAACGGAGAGTAAGAGCAGAGGAAGCAGGATGAGCGATAGCAAGGGAGGAGTGGAGGAAGAGAGGGATGCGGCGAAAGACAAAAGGGACTCAGATGGAGAAAAGCAGCTTGAGGGTAGGGTGGGGGGATGGTGAGGAGAAGTAGAAGAGAAGGGTGTCGGTGGGGGGGCTGCCGAATCATTTGTTTTTCCCCTTCTGCCTTATTGTATGACACAAGAAAATCTGACAGTTATCATAATGGAAGGATGAATCATTCCCATAATTGAATTTGCAAGTGGAACGGCTTCAGTGGCTGTGGATTTAAGAAGACTGTACCGCCAGCCATTATGGGACAGAAGTGTTATTTTGCTCATTCTTCTCATAATTCATAGTTATTGTTGACTAGAGAGGGCCTGCTGCTGCACAGCTGGGCTGCTGTCCCTGAACGAGCACGGTCAGGCCGTTTCAGAGCATTTGTTAACCCCCAGACAATATGGACGAGCTGGGAGGTCTGTTTGGTGTTTGTGTGTGTGTGTGTGTGTGTGTGTGTGTGTGTGTGTGTGTGTGTGTATAAGCAGTGTCAGTGGAAGTGGAAAAATACCAAGGACCCTTTGTTCACCCCTTTTGGCTTTTTGTTGGATTAAGTGTTTAGTACTTTGTGTCTCTGTATCTAATATCAAAGCAGCAGCACATGTTCTTGGTCGCATTGACTCAGCATTTTCACTTTGCACCCATCCGCTCTTTTTTCCTCTGCTCTCCTCTCACATGTACCTCTGTAATCTCACCACCTCTGCCTTCC